CCTGTGGAAACCACCTAAATGCCCCCAAACATGAGTGGACCAAGAAGAGGAGGCATACGCACAGTGGAATACTACTCAGCCATCAACAAAGACAAAGTCATGCCATTTGGGGCAATACGGACGGAGCCGGAAGGGATTATACTAAGCGAAATACATCAAAAGGAGAAAGGGAAATACCAGATGGTTTCACTTACGTGTGGGATATAGAGAAACCAATGGGTCAAAGACAAACCATGGAAGGTGCCACAGGTCTGAGGGATCCAACAGGGAGGGGAGGGGGTGAAAAGAGGAGGGAGACGAGGCTACCAGGGCGGGACGTGAGAGGGCTGAGGAGAGGGTGGAGGGGCCTCGAATGCAGGATTACTGGGGCTTTGGTGGTGGGTGTGGCGAAAGAGCAGACAAGTGTAGAGGGCAGACCTACGTCCCTAAGACATACACTGTGATGTCAACCAACATAACCTCAATAAATATAGATTAAAAAAAAAAAAACCAGAATGAGATACCACCGCACACCCGTGAGAGTGGCCCGCATCAGAGACCAGAAACAAGGCACTGGTGAGGGTGTGGACGAAAAGGAACCTTCTTACACTGCTGGTGGGAAAATGCATTAAAAGGATTATTCGCCATGACCAAGTAGGATTCATTCCAGGGACACAGGATGGTCCCACATACTCGACATTCTGAAAATGGACCTACCACATGACCCAGCAATCCCCGCCCAGGCGGCTACCCAAAGAATACAAAATCTAAATCAAAGGGACAGCGGCAGTTCTGCATCCACGGCAGCCTGTTTACAATCCCCAGGTTATAGAGAGAGTCTAAGTGTCCAAGGACAGGCGAACACCTCTGAAGAAAATTTGTCACATGTACATACACATATAAATACATGCATGGTGGAATACTACACAGCAACAAAAAAGTTTAAGCAGACGAACTTTGGCCATTTGCAACAAAATGAATGCAACTGGATAGTGCCACGCAAAGTAAGGCGGAAAGAGACAGCTACAGCCGATGTCACGAACCCATGGTCTTGCTTCCATGTGGAAGACAGAGAAACAAGATAAAGGATCAGACCAAACCAATAACAAACTGAACATCTGACTACAAAGCTGGTGGGGAGGGCAATGGAGCAGGTGGAGATTACTGGGGCGCTGTGGTGGGCAGACTGTGAAAGCACACATTGCAGGGGTTTGAATCTATAACCCCTGAGGCAGGTATGAAAGGTGGGAACCTACTTGACCTCTCAATAAAGGTTAGAAAAAAATTTTTAAATGACACTGAGCTTCAAAACTAACAGATATGACAATCTCAGTGCGGGAGTCTTAATAGGTCTTTTTGTAATTACTTTTAATAGTATGGATTTAGAAGCAAATGTGCTGGGAAACTGTAGTCCTCGTCCTCCCTGGCTCTAATACAAATGTACACCCTGCACACCTATAAGCAGCGATTGTGTGACATCAGAGCAGAGGTCCCGCTGCAACACCTCCCTGGAGCTGACACCCTGAACTCCAGGCAGGATAAACCGTGAGGGCCACCGTGAGCGCTGGCACCAAGCAGGCCAGCTCCTGGGAAGAGTGCACTTCAAGTCCACTTACGGGAATACAAACATACTGACTACAAGTGAAGGGGCGCTAGTTGACATGGAGAAAATAAATCCTTTTTTTTTTTTTAATTTATTTATTTATTTACACAAGCCCTGGGTACAGTCAGAAGTGCGGGAGGGTGAGAGAATCCACCAGAGCCAGAGCAGGGAGCAGAGCAGGCAGAAGGACCGAAGTACACTGCTGAGGGGAGCAGCGGGCGGCAGGGGAGGTCTGCGCGCCATGTGGGACCCTCGAACCAGCGCTGCAGAGGCTGCAGGCAGCTTCACAGCCCAGCACTCAACCGCTGCACCACCGGGGACCCGAGAAAATAAATCTTAATAAAGGAGAGAGGGCCTCCCCTGGTGGCGCAGCAGTTGAGCGCTGGGTTGCAAAGCTGCCCGCAGCCTCTGCAGTGCAGGTTCAATCCCAGGCCGCCGGCAAGGGTCCCGCAAGGGTCCCGCGTGGTGCACAGACCTCTCCTGCCACGCCCACTGCTCCCTTCAGCAGTGTGTTTCGTCAGTCTGCCTGTTCTGTTCCCCGCTCCGGCTCTGGTGAATTCTCTCACCCTCCCACGCTTCTGACTATATCCAGTGCTTGTAAAAATAACTAACTAAATAAATAAATAAATCTTTTTAAAAAATAAGAAAAAATAAAGGAGAGCGCCTATGGAACATCTTCGCCAATACCTGCTCATCTGCCATGGAGTCCTATGCACCTGTCACTAAGCCTGACTCTCGACCTCTTGCCTCTGATTTAAGCAGTTGTTCTTCCCTGCATGATGCACCCACCACCTCTCTCCCTTAAAGCTGCTTCTTGACTGAACCAATCGCTGGTTTTTCTCCTCGCCTTCATTTGATAATCCCTGCAGATAATCATCCTACCAGCTACTAATTGCTAATGGTGCTGGCACTTGTGGAACGGAGACCAGCCTTGGAAATGCCCTGAGCAGCAAAACGTTAGTCACACAACGTGTAATCTCGCTGCCTTTACAACAGTTACTGGACCAGCGCCACTTCTTGCCTGCACCTCTGGAGATCATAAGCAAAACGTAACTCTTTCCATTAACCAGCTCCTTATCGTTTCAGAAAATTCTACTGCAGGTGCATTTGGGAGATATTGTGGGCTGGGTTCAAAAGCACGGCAATAAAACCAAAGCAGTAAAATGAATGACAGGAACTGATTGTTCTCCAGTTTATTTACCTGTAAGGTAGGTGAGTTGATCAGGCTTTAATCACCACTAACCTTGGTGGCTATCACTTGTGGCCTTGATCGAGTTAATGCAGGAGTGTGGGTACAGGGCACGCGTGCCTGACTGTGGACACCTGAGTAGGGTGTGGGCATGCGTAAGTGGGCACACCTGAGCCTGGACGCCAGGGATGTAAGGCCAGTTACCAGAGGACGAAGAGGCGAGACCACGAGAGAGCTCCAGAGAGAGCCCAAAGAGTCCAGATTCTCCAGGGGCTGGGACCCCTGCCAGTCCCCCCTGCCTTGCCAGCCTACGGGCTTGCCACTACAGCACTACATGTGTGTCTTAAATGGACGCTAGATTCCGGGCCCAAAAATGCAACGCACACACCTTAATTAAATATCACAGAGAAACGAAGTCAGCACAGCACATTGGAAAAAGTGATGCCAGCAGACTTTCTGGGCACAGGGGTGGCACAACCTCCAACATGGGTTAAATAAAAATTCCACAACGAAAACCTCACAGCGAAAAGCAGTAAAGGCAGGCCTGGGACGCGCAGAGAGAGACACCTGTTGCTCCCCGGGCCCGCAGCGCGGGCGGGAGGGCCTGGCCTTAGCGCCCTCACCCTGCAAGGCCCCTGCGTTCTGACAGCAGAGCCCTGTGGCTCCCCCAGCCTGGCTCTTGCGTCCCCAACCACCATCTCTCCGGCCCGGCGTCTGGGGCTTCACTCGCTCCTTCCTGACCCATCGGTTTCTCCTCCACCTGCGTCTGCACTTTGGACACACTTTGCTTGCTCGGCTCCCGCAGGCCCAGGCCGCGAGAGGCAGGGCTGGGAAGGTGCTGCGGGCACCCAGGCGCGCCCCAGCGCCCCCCTCGCCGCGCAGCCGGCACCGGCACCAGCAGCGCCCTGCACCCCGGCCTCGCGAGGGTCGCCCTCATGGTCTTCGCTGCAGCGGAACCGTGAAATGCGCCCTATTCCCTGTCAACACCCCGAAAGCCCCAGACTGCGCCCCCCATTGGGGGCACACGCGCGAAAAGGGGGGGGGCGCAGACGGGAATGCCACCGTGGCCAGTGGGCGGGCATCCTGAACCCCGACTCCCATTCCTCTCCAACAGTCCAAAAGGTACCCCCTTGGTGCAGCAATTAATAAAAGCAAACAAAACCTCTGAAAAGAAGGCGGGGACCGCGCTCCAGGCCCTTTCCTGCCGCACTGGGGCCAGGCTCAAACTTTCTAAAACTCATCAGAAAACGCCCGCAACGCGGAGGACGTTCTGGAGCGCGCCCTCTGGGCCAGTTTCCATTGTGGGCCACAGCTGCGCCCCGCAGACCGCACACGGCCGGGGGCGCGCGGCAGGACCCCGGGGCCGCAGCCGGCGCCCGGCTTTGTCTCCGGGGCGCGCGGGCCACGCGCCCCCGCTGCGCCCTTGGAGGGGAGCGAGTCGCGGCGCCAGCGCCCCAAGCCCGCCCCCGGAGCTCCGCGGGGCGGTCGCCAGCCCCGCCGCGCCCCCTTTCCGAACTTTCCACCGCCCGTGCGCGCAGCCAGGCCCCGCGGCACAAAGGCGGCGGCCAGGGCCGGGTGGCCGCCGGGGCCGGGTCCTGCGCCGCCGGCCGCACCCCCCGCTCTGCTCCCCGGGCCCAGCCGCCGCCGGCCCCCGAGCCCCCGAGCCTCCCGCGCGCCCCGCAGACCTGCAGGGAGCGCCCCGCCAAGCCCCGACGCCGCGTCCATGGCAGCCCCGCGCGCAGCTCCGACGCCCGCGGCCGCTTCCTTGAAGCGCCCCGGCCCGCCCCGGCCCCGCCCCGCCTCGCGCCCCGGGGCCGCCCCCTCCGAGCACCGCCCCGCGCGGGGGACGCCGTCGCCCAGGCCGCGCGCCCGCCCACCCCGCCCCGCCGCCCCGCGGGCCCGTCGCCACCCGGGGGATCACGGCGGCGCCCCGGGGGTTCCAGGGCCCCGGGGAGCGCAGGCTGTCCCCGCCCCAGTGCGGGCGCTCCCGGCTCCCCCGGAGGTGGAGGGAGCTGCTTTCCCGCGGGCGCCCCCCCCTTCTTCAGTGCGAGTTGTGGGACGTGGAAGGCTGCAGGTCCTGTTTGCTCGTGGAGGGGACTCGGGGAAAGCAAACTGGAGGCCCCGCCAGCATCTGCACCTCTGGCGTTCGTGGGCAGAGGTGACCCGGGGAAGGAATCCTCAGAAGGGCGCACGGGGCCCTGAGTCCGGACTAAGCAATCTTGACCTCACCTATGAAACGCTGCCCTTGGTGCATTTAACCGAGCTCCCCTGGGTGCTGGGCTGTGGTGTAAATTTGCTTCAATGAAGAAGTCTAAGATCGGATGAAACGATGATCTCATTCCTTGTCACTCCCCTGGGCTTTACCGGCTCAAAAGTAATCAACCTCACAACAGGGAAAATGTGCATAAAATAGGGCCTCCCTGGTGGCAGAGGGTTAAGCGCTGCACTACAAAGCGATCCGCAGCCTCTGCAGCAGGAGTTCAATCCCCGGCAGATCAGGGAGCAACCCACATGGCGCAGCAGACCTCTCCTGAGTCACCCGCTGCTCCCCTCAGCAGTGCATTTCAGTAGATCTGCCTGCTCTGCTCCCCACCCTGGTGAATCCTCTCACTCCCCACATCTCTGGCCTGTGCCCCAGCTCTTGTATGCTGTAGGGTAAGGAAAAATGTCAGGCTTTTCTGCCCTCCCGCCAGCAGGAGAGATGATGGATCCTTGCGGTCCTGAATGCAGGCCTGATGGCGGCACCTGGAGTAGGGTGTGGGCATAGGTAGATGGGATTCACCTGGGCTGAGACTGGATTTTAAGGGCGGTGTCACGGGGACGCCAATAGAAGCCAAGCAGAAGCAGAGAAAAGGCCGGAGAGCCCACAGAGTGAAGACCTGCTGAGGGCTGGGAGGCCTGCCAGCCTCCCGGCCCCCCAGCACCCCTGCCTCCATATGCCTGGTGAACCCCAGTAAAAGACCTGCAAAACCCCTAAGGGCTCCAGAACTCCTCCTTAACCCGGTCTGCATGGGATCCTAGAAAACCTGCTCAGTGTCCTGTTCTTGCCCCTTACATATGCATACATAAATTTTTTAAAAGTGCATAAAATAGGGCCTCCCCGGTGGCGCAGCGGTTGAGCGCTGGGTTGCAAAGCTGCCCGCGCCCTCTGCGGCGCCGGTTCGATCCCCGGCTGCTCCCCGGCCACCGGAGGAGGGTCCCGCATGGCGCGCAGACCTCTCCTGCCGCCCGCTGCTCCCCTCAGCAGTGTCCTTCGGTCCTTCTGCCTGCTCTGCTGCCCGCTCTGGCTCTGGTGAATTCTCTCACCCTCCCGCGCTTCTGACTGTACCCAGTGCTTGTATAAACAAAAACAAACAAACAAACAAACAAATAAATAAAAAACATGCCTCTATAAAAAAAAAGTGCATAAAATATTTCTGAAATCACTATCTTAGCAACTTATTCTGCAGTTTAGACACAGGATAGCCGTGGCCCCGGCTGCGGTGGCCCCCAGGACTGTGATAAATGACTCCAGCACTCACACCCTGCTGGCCCGTTAGGAGCTCAGTCAGTCCTCACCTTCACTGCCACCACCTTCCCAGCTCACTTAAAGCACAACTGGATGCTTTTTCCTCATTTTGATTGCAGTTGTTCGGGGTGTAGGACAACATCGTGAACATCCACTGCATGAGAAGGGGTTTCTCATTTGCACTCTGGACTTCACAGTTACCTGCCCAACACCTTGGCCTAATGTTCAGGGTCTCCTCTGCTTGGGCCCTGAAAATACCCTGTAGGACTGGAGCCCTAATTGGCTGCCCTTCCACTTATCTGAGAGGAACACATGAAAGTATTTTTCCTCTTAAGTATCTTATCTCACAATATTGTATTACTGCTATAGCACATGTGGTTATGCATTTTATTTTATTTTTAAAGATTTATTTATGCATACAAGAGCTGGGGTACAGGCCAGAGGTGTGGGGGGTGAGAGGATTCACCAGAAACAGAGTGGGGAACAGGCAGACTGACTGAAATACACTGCTGAGGAGAGCAGCGGGAGAGTCAGGAGAGGTCTCCTGCGCCATGCGGGTATCTCTCTGGCCGGGGATCGAACTCATGCTGCAGTGGCTGAGGACAGCCCCATAGGTTGGGTCTTAACTCCTTGCACCACCAGGGAGGCCCGGTTATGCATTTTAAAGGACCTTTAGTCTTCCTTAAAAAAGATAAATGCAAAGCATTTGGGATACTCACGTCAGAATTCCAAGTGTCTCATTTTTGGCTTTTAAAGCAATTGCTGTCCCCACTGAAAAGAGGCTGGGAGCAGCACTGCCCAGGTTCTAACCTTGTCCCCTTAATGACTGAGACACTGAACAAGAAATGCCACTTAACCTCTCCCAGCTTCTAATTCTTCTCTGTAAAAGGGGCACCAAACTCAATCGTTTTTGAGACAATCACTGCCCAACTCCCATACGGTAAGCTTTTAGTAGTTAGCCACCGAAGATGGCCAAGGCAGTGCTCAAACTCTCTGAGCCTGCAGTCTGGACTTCATCTGAGCATTTGCCAGAAAAACAAACTTGAGGGACCTACTGAATCAGACCTACTGAGGACAAACTCTGGTGGGATCCACTGAAAGGTTTCAACAAGCCCTTCGGTGGTTCTGCAGCATGTTGGGAATGACTGACAAGCTAATGAGCACCTATACTGGGCTCTGTGATCATGCTAAGAAAAAAAAAAAAACACCCCATTGTTAAACCGTACTTTAAAGTCATTCAGATATACTAAACAAGTCTACCTGAAAATTACCTGACAAGAGGACTCGATTGTCCCTATATGTGAATTGTCACTTTTTTTTTTTTAAAGATTTATTTTTATTTATTTATCCAAGCACTGGGTACAGTCAGAGCGCAGGAGGGTGAGAGAATTCACCAGAGCCAGAGCGGGGAGCAGAGCAGGCAGGAGGACTGAAGTACACTGCTGAGCGGAGCAGAGGGCGAGGCAGGAGAGGTCTGCGCGCCATGTGGGACCCTCCTCTAGTGGCCGGGGAGCAGCCGGGGATCGAACCGGCTCTGCAGAGACTACGGGCAGCTTCGCAAACCAGCGCTCAACCACTGCGCCACTGGGGAGGCCGTGAATTGTCACTTTTAAGGAATTTTCTGCAAGTCTTAACCAACTGTCACCTATCCTGATATGAAATACATAGAAGATTAAATTCAGCTACGGTTCTAGAACTTAAGTGTCATTTTTCTTCAGATTTCACCCCCCTCCGCCTGCATTCCCATAGATAAATCACAAAATATCAACTTCAAATTTCCAAATCCTGCTTCCGACACTTGAGAAAACGTGAGAGCCAGGAAAGAAATGTTTGTCGAGTTGTCAGCAAGGGGATGGGACTGAGATGTGCTGAGCCTGCATAAGCCTGAATCACATAAGTGTGACCATGACTTGTCTGCAAAGACTTCACCAACCCAGCTTAATTTTATGGATGTTAACAGCAAGTTATTTTTCATAACTGGTTTCACTGATTCATTCTTACTTTTTGAAAAAAGAATTGGCAGATGCTGGTTTTGGAAGGTTAAGCAGTGAGGAAAGAGCAAATAATGGTGCTAACTTCCATCACAGCCAGGGATGACACAAGGCCTGAACGCACATGTTGCAGGAAGCACCTGTGAGTGTCAAACAATGCGGGGATGATGTCTGTGGCAGGAACTTACTGTTCTGTCCCAGAATGATTACCATTTTGACCTTCTTATCATTTTGCTCGACTAAACTTAGAACCACTCTTTCCTTTTAAATGGGAGAACCAGTTATAAGCTAACAAAACAACTTTTCACATAGTATTACAAGTCTACACTCGTCTAGGGGTTCCCAACAGAAGGAAAGCGAGTTCTAAAGATGTGTTTTCTTTCTCCTCACATATCAATTCTGGTTTCATTACAGCTTCTCTGTGTGAGTTTCTCCACCTGGGAAGTGCAACCAGCCAAATCTGTCTCTGGAAGATGTCACAGATTTTATAGAGACAAGCAACACTGGAAACCAATATACTTTTATTGTTTTAAAATATCAATATCAGGGGGCCTCCCCGGTGGCGCAGCGGTTGAGCGCTGGGTTGCGAAGCTGCCCGCGGCCTCTGCAGCGCCGGTTCAATCCCCGGCTGCTCCCCGGCCACCGGAGGAGGGTCCCACATGGCGCGCAGACCTCTCCTGCCGCCCGCTGCTCCCCTCAGCAGTGTACTTCGCTTCTGCCTGCTCTGCTCCTCGCTCTGGCTCTGGTGAATTCTCTCACCCTCCCGCGCTTCTGACTGTACCCAGTGCATGTATAAACAAGCAAACAAATAAATAAATAAATAAAAACATGCCTCTATAAAAAAAATAAAAAAAAAATGTTTAAAATATCAATATCAAATTTCTTGCAAAGAGCTATTTAGAGCTTTTTGAGGGAGGAGTTGATTTTCTCTTTTCTATTTATTTTTTTTATTTTTTTAAAGATTTATTTATTTATGCATACAAGAACAGGGGTACAGGCCAGAGGTGCGGGCGGTGAGAGGATCCACCAGAGACAGAGTGGGGAACAGAAAAGGTGTATCTACTGAAATACCCTGCTGAGGGGAGCAGCGGGCAAGTCAGGAGAGGTCTGCTGCGCCATGTGGGTTGCTCCCTGGTCGGGGCTCGAACTTGTGCTGCGGTGGCTGAGGTTAGCTTCATAGGTTGCATCTTAACCCCTTGCGCCACCAAGGAGGCCCTCTTTTCTTTTCTAAATGGCCTCATTCCTAGAGAAGTGGCTGATTCTAGGACTGGAGCAGGGAATACACAAAATGAGCTTAACGCAACTTAGTTTCTTGCCAGAAAGTTCAGAAATGCCCCAAAATCAAAAATATACAAGACACACAGGAGCCTACTAATACAACTGCTGTCATAACCTAAAAAGTTGGAACAATCTGAGCAACAAAATATTCCCCAACATATCAAAAATATATACAAGTCCATACTTATTTATAAATAAATGGGAGGGGGGATGAACAAATCATTCTTATGAATTACTAATATGGATACTCCCCCTTCAGACCATAGAATACAACCTCACTATACCACCCCTCCATTTCCCAGAGACTGGACTTGGTGACTGACTTTCAAAGAACTGAAGGATGGAAAGGGAGAAATCATAGGTTTCCAGTAAAGAAACAGAACAGAACACTACGAACTAACAAACAAACAGAACACTACGAACTAACAGACACTCCTGCCAAGGTCCCTAGAGTTAATACATGAGTGAGTTAGCATTCCACTACTGGTAGGATTTCATGAAAAGAAGCCCTTACCTGTGTGGTTTTCTTCCCAAAAATTCCATACCCCCAGTCCAGTCCTGGGTAAAGATCAGATAAAGCCAAATTGAGAGACATTCTGCAAAACAGCATTCCTCAAAAGTGTCCAAGTTATGGTAACGAGGAAAGACTAGGAGCCATCACAGACCACAGGCTAGCTAGACATGACGGCTAAACACACTGTGGTATGTGAGAAAATCCTGGAAAAGAAAAGGACATTCATGGAAAAACTAGTGTAACACAAATAAAGTTAACACTACTTACCATGGTGCTTTCTTGAAGGATATCTCATGGATATGTAAAATGTTATTAGGTGTACAATGTACAAAGTGATTCTCCATATTATCTCTTCAACTTTGCTGTAAATCTAAAATCATTCCCCAAAAAGTTGTGAGTCTGAACTTACCTGTTCCCACTGACTTCTGCATACCACTTATGATCATGAATACACATTTTGCTAAAACATTCTGAGTTTGTCCTTTTCACAGTACTAATACTGCCAAAAATATCCATAAATTTATTATAACTCCATTACCTGGTCAAGTAATTCAAAGTAAATATTGATTAAAAATGAAGTATTGAGGGGCCTCCCTGGTGGCGCAGGTGGTTGAGCACCGCACTGTGAAGCTGTCTGCAGCCTCTGCAACGCCGGTTCGATCCCAGCTGGTTGGTGAGGGTCCCACATGGAGCAGCAGACCTCTCCTGTCTCACCCGTTGCTCCCCTCAGCAGTGTATTTCATCAGTCTGCCTGTTCTGTTCCCTGCTCTACCTCTGGTGAATCCTCTCACCCTCTGAAGCATCTGGCCTGTACCCCAGTTCTTGTATAAATAAATAAATCTTGGGGAAAAAAAAGTCACTATAAAAAAAAAATGAAGTCTTGATAATAGCTTACAAACTGTACGTTTAAAAAATCTAAGCTGAAAGAAAAAGAGAAATACCGGATGGTCTCACTCACAGCAGGAATCTAGAAAACCTCAATAAGGGACCAGGAAAAAGAATAAATATAAGAAAGAAAAAAATCAAAATCAACAAACAACTATAAATCAGAGACACACAATGGGAGGGGCGGGGAAAGGAGGAATTGGGGTCAAAATAAGGGGGGTGCAATGGTATGGGGAACAAAAAAATTAAAAAAAAAATTAAAACTCTGAGCTATCAATGAAGGATTCCAAATACATACGTTGGAGCCCAGTTAGCTCATTTAGTCACGAGTGACACACGTGCTGTGGACACATCCCTTAGCAGAACCACCACCATCACCTCAGTTCGGGAAGACAGCCGGTTCTCACCAATGACATGCCTTTCATGTTAGGAACCTGGCTCGTTCTCCCCAACACATTTTCCCTTCTGCCCAGTTCTTCCTGGGTTGGCTTGAAAAGAACCACCTCCCCTTGTGCTGTCTTTCACTGACTTCCCGGAATAGTTTCACTTAGTAACCTTAGCCATGGGGTGCCCAAAGGATGTATGCGGCTGGGATCTGGGCTGAGGCCGCAGCCAGTGTAAGCAGAGAGCAGTAAAGGAACAGCTGAGCTGCCCTGGCGTTGAGAAATTTTCCACAGTCATTCACAAATACTTTCAAAAGCAGCTGACACTCTGGGATTTGTTCTTAAATAGCTGTTAATAATTTTCAATATAAATGAGCTCTCTACAAGACAGTTCTTTGTACCTTGCTTTTCCTTTCCTTTTCACTCCACGGTTAGAAACTTAAGAAGAAAAACCAGCAATATCAGGAACAATTTTTATTAGTATCAATAAAAGTTTACAGTCTTTTAAAGATATCCCAGAATCTACTGTGAGGAACATGTGTCAGGAAATAAACGCCACAGCATAGCAGCATACACTGCTCTGACAGGTATGCCGAATGGCTCTGCGCTGTCTCATTCAAGCAGTCTTCTCTCCAAGTTAGGCAAAGGTCATAGCAAAACACGACATTTCTCGGAAGGGATCCATAAAATGGGAGCAGCTGTGCTTCTGAATTTCTTCCATGTTCCCGTCTTGTCGTACCAATAACACCTAGAGATCATGGTGTGGCACCCTAAGAGCTGATGGGTCCAGTTTTATAGGAGAGAGACATGGAAGTCTTTGTATCTAGTCCTGTCATAACAGAGGCGTGACTTATTCATATGCTGAGTGGGCTACAGAAAAATAGCTTATCATGTGTTAATTAAAATAGGAAAAAAGCCAGGCCCTTCCAGGCATAAACGTACATTTAAAATTATACATACTCTAAAATATGCTTCTAAATGAAGATTTCCCTGTATTTCCAAGTAAGGTAACATTGAACATCATACCTTACCAAGATTTTTAAATCTGACCTCATTTGGGGGGTAAATATGGCAGTGGAAATAGAGTAACAAACTTTCTTTTAAAAAAAAAATCTCCCCTTAACATGCACGAGACTGGTCAGAACCATTTGGCACACTAAGGCAGCAAGATCCAGGGAGAAACCTGCCCCCTTTGGGTTACTTTGAAGTTTTAATGCCAAAATGAGGTCTTAAAGCAATCCCTTCACACAAATAAGGCGGGGTTACGCTGCAAACACATTCGCTCCCTGTCAAGGGTTAAGTTCTTCCGTCCTCATTACTGACCACCACCTGCCACGTCTTCTTTAAAGATCTGTCTTTTCTTCATAGCGACACCTGCAGGCAGCGCGCTGGCTGTCCAGGTAGGGCTTGCAGCCTAAGTGGATCACGCTGTCGAACAAGAGCTCCACTGTCGTCTCACAGGCTGCAAAGGGAGAAGATGTGCTTACGGGGAGCACCTGCAATGTCCGCTCCTCCCACCCCTAAGCAAGCGTGCACTGAGCAGCCCCAGAGCCCTCCTCAGGCGCAGCCTCCCAAGGCCTTACAAACCAGCAGTAGGAACAGGCTCAGCCCTTCCAGTGCCCTCTTTTTGGGTATCAACTTTCTCTCTGCATGACACCGCTCAATCTGCCTTTTGGTACTTGACAAACAAGACCCCCTCAATAGCAAGAATTAGCTCAGCGCTGCTACTTCTCCTTTCATCTGTCTCACTAAGAAGATGCCCGGTCACACTCTTAAGTTTTGCATTTCGAGGAAAAATCTGTAAGTGCATGAGAAATGAAAGTGAAAAAATAGAGAAGCCTCAAACCCTTCCTTTATGGTGTCTTCAAAGAACTGATCGCACATCATTTAAGATGCCTGAAGTAAATGGAACCAAACCAATACCTGAATCCAGCTAGGGAGGAAGGACAGAGGACTCAAACACCTTTTCCCTGGAAGACTTTACCAAAATGCTTTAAGACTATAATTCTTGTCTTTTACTTTGCTTATTCTTAGGTACCTGGAAAGCCCAGATGACATTATCTTAATACATTACACTTAACTAGACACGGCACAGAGTGGCCTTTACCTGCCCAAATACCAAGTTTCAAAAATTCATGTAAAGTTGCTTTTTGTTACAAAATCTTAACATTTTCAAAGTTCTCCAAAAGGCTATGCCTGTTAGCTGGGAGGCTGCATGGACCCTGGTTTCATCATCAGCCACATTAGCGTGCCCGAAAGTCAGAAAAGAGGAAATGCAGCCACTCGTGCTGGGGCTGGACATGGAGCCTGCCTCAGCCAGAGGCATCAGAGGGCTGCAGAGGGTGTCACTTCAGGCTTCACCCAGAACGGGAATTTTGTCCTTGATGGTTATTAACAGGATTTTAGAATCAGACCTACAATATGAGACTATCTGGGGAACGTTGTAGTAGAAAGAACACATGTTTTAGAGTCAGATGGCTGGAGGGGAAAGGCTAAGTATGTCAGGGGCCAAGGTACTACTTGTAGAAACTGTTTCCTTCTCTAAAAAGCAGTGATAACAGGGGCTTCGCTGGTGGCACAGGGATTAAGTCTCAGCACTATGAAGCTATCAGCAGCCAGTGTAGCACGAGTTCCATCCCCGGCCAGGGAGCTACCCACATGGCGCAGCAGACCTCTCCTATCTCTCCTGCTGCTCCCCTCAGCAGTGTATTTCAGTAGATCTGCCTGTTCTGCTCCCCACAGTGTCTCTGGTGAATCTTCTCATCCCCGCACCTCTGGCCTGTACCCCAGTTCTTGTATGCATAAATAAATAAATCTTTAAAAAAAAAAAAAAAAGGCAGTGATAACACTACCTACATCTCTGGTCATGACCCTGAGCTGATGCCTGGCCTGAGGAGTGGTTTGGGCACTGGGCCAACATGACACATGCAAAATGCCAGAGTTAAGACCCCATAGGGGCCTCCCCGGTGTCCCAGTGAGTTGAGCACAGCTCTGTGAAGCTGTCCACAGCCCCTGCAGCGCAGGTTCGATTCCCGGCCAGCCAGGGAGATTCCGACATGGCGCAGCAGACCTCTCCTGTCTCGCCCACTGCTCCCCCAGCAGTGCTTTCAGTCCGTCTGCCTGTTCTGCTCCCCCCTCTGCCTCTGGTGAATCCTCTCACCCTCCTGCACCTCTGGCCTGTACCCCAGCTATTGCATAAACAAAAAGAAAAAAAAAGATCCAATCTTCTGAACTTGCTGCCCCAAATCCAAATCCACTGGATGCAGGGTTTCGGACTTTAGGGCGAAGACGATGAGACACACGCAAGGTACAACACCCTGTGCCTGCCACAGGTTCCGAACACTGTTTCTCCTCCACACAGAAGAGCGCAGGGTGTGCGGCTAAGGGAGCAAGCAGTGAAAGGGCTCCACAGGAAAGCCTGCACTAGCACGCACAGTGGTCAATAAAGTCAAAAGCACAGCCGCGGCAGCCGCTCACCCTGCACGTGCTGGGCCAGCCCCAGCGTCCGCTGCACGTCGCGGCAGATCTTGGACAGGCAGTACTGGAACTCCTCGTCACAGTCGTTCTTGCTCTTGCCACAGGTCTCGTAGCAGCGGTCGTGCTGGTTGCAGCACTTGGTCAGGGAAGGGATGCCGATGTTCAGCTGCAAGAGACCGTCGGACGATGGGCACGTTATCGCCGATGAAAAACGCAACTCACCCGCCGAAGCGCTGCATTCACACAGACTCAAAAGCCAAAATTGATTTTGCCCCCCAGTGTCTCCCATGGGACACCTCTCTCCATCGCGCTCCCCTGTACCCACCTGTGTCCCAGGGACCTCCTGCTCGGTGATGCCTCGAGGCTCCCTATTTGGCAAGTTGGCACATTCAGTTACCCGCTGGTAACAAGCATCATTTCTTATTGCCCAAATCACAACACATCACTAACTAGACCTCCATGCAAGTATGATTTCTGCACATGGCGAAATCTATTGTGTCCTTCCTCGCCACCAACACAATCTGCTCTGTAGGAACCATCACTGAAAATCATTAAGCTCTTAGAACTTAAACTTTCCTGTTTTTGTGGTTTAATCTTCCACTATTCAGCTATTCCTTAAAGATACTGTTTCTCCAAATCTATAACTACTTTATACACAAAACTCTTGACTAGTCATCTCTCTCCAAAACATTTTTTCCTTGTAATACATGCTTAGACCCAGCCTGTTTTATCTGTACTGTCTTACTGTTAGGTAGTATTACTTCTATAATCCAAACATCATAAGCCATGTTTCTGACATGAATCTCATTTAATTGGTATTAAGATTCAAAAATAAAACATGAATTTTACTCCTTTTACTTTCATTAGGGTTTATTAAATGTGCTTCAGCTATAAAAGAATATAATAAGCCTATCACTATTACAATAAGCAAAAGTATTGTGAACCTGACATCACATCGATAGTCTTGCATTACCAAGAGTTTTACATAGCCTACGGATCATAAAACTTATCAAATAAAAAACAATATTTACATGAACACCAAATAGTGGAGAGCCACATCCATTCGGCGGGGAGGGTTTATAACCGTAACGTGCGAAAGCCTTAGATCCTATAAAATACAAAAGGTATCATCATTAATTTTCAAATATGACAGAACACACAAAGAACAAAATGTCTACAAATGCTAGACTAGCTTTGCAAGTATTTAATATTTACGTGCTAATGAGTAAATATATCTTTATTCTGATGAATCCTAAGAATGTTCATTTGTCTCCTAATGTTTCTCCTGCAGTGAAATACACACAGAAGTACATATATATACACATATATGTCGGTTCATCACACATGGTAGCTCATAAAATGTAGTTTTATTTACAAGTCTATATTGCACAAAACATAAAAAAGTTTAGACTCGACTGCTAGTGATTTCAGAGGGTACAAGGCAGACTGGTTCCATACGCATGAAAGATAAATCCACCCTATTTTCCTGTACATTCTAACACATATTTTCAGTTTACAACCTCTGGGGCAAGAATTGTATCTTCCCAGCCTCAGCCAATGTTCCACCGCAGACAAACCTTAAGAACCATGAACTAACAAGATACTCTGCTGGAGCCCTGAGCTAAGGCAGACAAGGTCACCGATGACCTTTATAGGACATCACAAGACCACACAGTCTAGCCCCACTCCAGACACCTGTTTCACAATACACTCCTGCCAGCGAAGGAATAAAGTCGGTGACCTGTGATATTCCGGTTACACGGCCCCTGTGACCACCAATGGTTCAGTAACACGGAGAATGACGCTGTCCCAACGATCTTAAATGCAGGCGTCACTCCCTCTTGGAATGCGAAGTTGACCTCGACACATCACAGTCTCCTGCTTTCTCGCCGAATGTTTCCCACATCCCCGGACAGCGCCGGGGAACAGCCCACTCTGTTGTGGAACCATCTTGGTTCTTCCTCAGCGTTCTTGTGAATTCTACCTGTGAGCCATTGTCTGAACCTGGGAGGACACAGAACAAACCAACTCCCTGTCTGAGAGGACACTCCTTTCAAATATTGGGGGTTCCCTTTGGAGACGCAGAGACACAGACTACTGTGGAGACAGTAAGAAGCAGAGTATTCTGTCAACTTTAATTCTAATATTTACTACCAGGAAACTTAAATAAAAATAAATCTCATTGAAGGGTATGGGGGTGGGGGGGTAACCCTTCCAGCAATTATCAGCCTCCAGAATAAGCAAACCACCCAGAGTAACGGCACGAAGCAGCCCAAGTGAATCGCTAGCATTCTCCTGCTTCACTGAGGTGCCAAGTGCAGCCTGACTCACTGTACACATGACTGACACAGAAAAGGGGGAGCCTGTGACAGAGTTGATCTTGTTTCCCCAACATTGCCTGAGGAGCTGTTTCCAAGCCCTCGAAGATGAAGGCAGATGCTTCCAGCAATCACAGATGAGTCACTGATGCTTCAACGCCTGCTTTTTGTCTGCCTTTCTTAAGAACACAGGCTCTGCTTTGGCTTTGCACTGACAAGGGCCTACAGAGGGAGGATACAGGACGTCCGACGGGCACCTGTAACGCACCTGCTGACATTCACCCCGGGACCTGCTCGCCAACAGTCCCCTCTTTCCCAGCAACTCCATCTTAGCCCCTTTTCACTTCCCCATTTTCTTCTATGCCACATCCAATCCAACAGCAGGTCCTGTTGACTCTACCTTCAAAATATCCAAGGCCCAACCACTTCTCCCCACCTGTACTCTGCTCCAAGCCCCAGGACTATCACCAGAACCTCCCAGCTAATCCCCTACACTGGCTCCCCACCGCCCCCACTCCAGTCCACCGTCAACACTGGGCCTGAGCGTCTTGTTAAAAGTGACCTTAGATCACCTCTTTCCACAGCCAAAACCAGCCCAGTGGCTTCTCATGCACTCAGTACCAGGCACCTGCCTCAGCGCCTCTCTCTCTCATCTCCGTACTGTTCTCTCCTCCCTGCTTCCTCCATCTGTCACACTGACTGCTGACCTACAGATGCCCCATGTCTGCTCCTGCCTTAGGGCAGCTGAACCCGCTGTTCCCTACATGGGTGCTCTCTTCCTGGCATGTACACCGTGACCGCTTTACCTGCTCGGCAAGGCACTCCCCAACCACGCCATTTAGTACACATGACCTTCCGACACACGGTCCTACTAACCACTGATTAATTTATTATGTCTCCCATGCTAAAATATAAGCTTTTTGATGGCAAAAAGCTTATCTTGTACTCTTCAGTGCCTAGAACAGTGCTTGACGTTTGGTTAGGGCCACAATAAATATCTGTTAATGAATGAATGAGTCAGCAGATGACCTGGAAGACTAGTCCATGGCAGTTATAATTCTCATGATAAATAAACTGATGTTGCTGTTTAGCCTGCTAGGTACCTGTTTATCTCTTCCGGCTGCCCATCAGCCTCCAAAGACTGACCACCTCCAGTGTGTCACATTATTTTAAAATATGGTGCCCCAAACTCAACACTATTAGATGGGTTTTTTCTAAACAAGTCATACTTGCATCAACACAGCCTAGCACAGCCAGCCTACGCTTAAGTTGGGTCTCAGCGCTAAGATACATCAGACAGCATGAAAGAAACACCAGGTCTTCCTAAAGTGAACTTTTTTTTTTTTAAAGATTTATTTTATTTATACAAGAACCCGGGAACAGGCCAGATGTGTGGGGGGTGAGAGGATGCACCAGAGACAGAGTAGGGAGAAGAACAAGCAGACTGACAAAATACACTGCTGAGGGGAGCGGCAGCAGGGGAGACAGGAGCGGTCTGCCGCACCACGTGGGTTTCCCGCACTGCAGAGGCTGCGGACAGCTTCACTGCACCCAACCACCTGCACCACCAGGGAGGCCCCGTAAAGTGAACTTTTAAGCATCTATTGCTAGAGACTCAGAACTTCTACAGTTAAATTTCTGAGCCTAAATACTAATGCTATCTTGTTACTTTTATTTCACCAGTGAGGGCCGCTCAGCAGATTTAAATCTAGAGCTGTTAATCCAGAGTTGTCACAAACTTGAGACTCATATTAAGCAGGACAGAGAGCTGAAGCGCGTCCTCTCGACAAGTCCTCCCTCCAGGCAGCTACCAAGTCATGAACCCAACCCTCTGGGCAGACCACTCACCCTATATCAAGGCTTTCCCAGTTGATGCCTCTTGTCAGAATATGTATCAGGCATTTCATCGATGATTTTCTTTGTCCTACCACACTAGAACCTCTTCGCGCAAAGGGAAGGAACTGGATCAGCACTGTATTCTTGGGTAAGCCATTGTAGTTCCACGAAACAATATTACGACACTCTCTAATCTTGAGGCTTCCAACAATCAGCTGTTTAACAAATTTAAAAACTCATTTAGGGAGCCACATAAGCAATTTTTAACCTGGGAAAAAAGGGACAATAAAAGTCTCCAGCCTCCATATTCTGGCACCTCTCTCTTTTGCATGAGGTCCAAGAATGAACACCCTCAGACAACACATATGGACTTAGATTTCTAAAGGCATCTGGGTTTCTAGTGTCTTCCCAGCCTCCAGAACTATAAAAAATAAGTCCCCCAGTCTATGGCACTGTGAGAAGTGAAGCAAAAACTCATAGCAGCAGAAACCACATCAGAATCCAGCCAAAGGCCATGTTGTTTCGGGGCCACTGTCTCCTAAACCTTGTAAGCAGAAACAGAAAGTTGTAGGAGAGATGACAGAGTTAGAAGAATTTCAAAAACAGCCCAAACCCACTGCACACAAGTGCATGGAAATGGTAATCACTACTTTCACATTGGCTGAAGCCGCTGCTCTGGAGGCCGCATTGTATCACCTCACGAACAACTGGAATCTAAAGATTTGCGCAGACTAAAGTAAAGGTAGTTCTTTTCTACCTATTTTTTGTATTTTAATGTAAATTCTTCCAAACAGATTTCCTTCACCTGAAAGACACACAGGCAGATGAGAGGGAAAAGGGGAAGTTGCAGGTTGACACAAAAATCTCACCAGTGGGTTGGTGAGACCCCAACCTGCTTTCCCAAAACCTGATAACTTCACATGCATCATCATTAATCTCCACAGGTCATGGTACTTTATTTTCCTAGTCCACTCACTTCCGTGTGTCCTTAAATCTCCAACAATGCCATCCCCTCATCTTTCTCAGCTGATGGCCTCGATTCCTACTTCAAGACGGAGGCAATGAGTGGGCCTCCCCTGGTGGCTCAGCGGTAGAGCGCTGGGCTGCGAAGCTGCCCCCAGCCTCTGCAGCACCGGTTCTATCCCCGGCCACCAGCGAGGGTCCCACATGGCCCGCAGACCTCTCCTGCCGCCCGCTGCTCCCCTCAGCAGTGTGTTTCTTTGGTCTGCCTGTTCTGTTCCCCGCTCTGGCTCTGGTGAATTCTCTCACCCTCCCGTGCTTCTGACTGTACCCAGGACTTGTATAAATAAATAAATTAATTAAAAAAAAAGATGGAGGCAATGAGAGGACATGAACATCTGCCCAAGTAACAGGCACCGTGCCCAGCCTCCGCCTCTGCCCTCTCAGCGGGGATGGGCTCCCTGGGCTCTTGGCCCACCTGACCAGCCCCTTCACTTCTAAGAACGTGACTTCGGCGTTTCTACTCTCTACCGAATGATTCTCAAAAGCAGACATATTTGATTCTGCTCTCCTGAAGAACTGTTTTTCCCACCGCCTTTCCCATTCCACTTAATGCCGACTGCAATCCTTCCCACTGCTCAGGCCCAAACCTTGGGCATCATTTTTGCCTCTGCTCACACCCTACTTCCTAAGATATCAGGCTCTTCCTTCAAAAATACATTGTCACACAACCGCTTCTCTCACTACCTAAACTGCACCAACCTGGATAAAGCCACCACCACCGTGTCTGAGTTCCTGCGCCGGTGGCCCTGCCTCCATCCTGGCTCTCCGATTTCCCTGACCCTGTCTATTCTCAGCACACTATGTCAACACATAAAATATGAATGAATGAATGAATGACTTATTCTTAATTTGAAAACTATGCTTCAGGTCCATTTTGTTTTTATTGTTTGAAGAAAACTAAAAAGTTTTCTTCCTAGAGGCTTCCCTGGTGGCACAGGGGTTGAGGCGTCAGCACTGTCAAGGTGTCACCAGCCACTGCGGCCTGCGTTGGATCCCTGGCCAGGGAGCTGACCCACAGGGCGCAGCAGACCTCTCCTGCCTCGCCCGCTGCTCCCCTCAGCAGTGTATTTCAGTAGATCTGCCTGTCCTGCTCCCCACTCTGTCTCTGGTGAATCTTCTCACCCTCCACACCTCTGGCCTACACCCCAGGTCTTGTATGCATAAATAAATAAATCTTTAAAAAACATTTTTTTCCTCAAATCTTCTCTGCTGTCAAGGAGAACAAACTTTAGATTAAAAAAGGTACAACCACTTGTTTCCCTAAAAAACTTCACTCTCAATAAAGTCTTGTTCTCACCTCAAAGAGGATGGCCGGAACGGAGCGACTCTGTAACGCTAGTTCTTTCCATAAAGCAAAGAAAACTAAGTGCAACGAGTCTGTGCCCTTTAGTGAGACCACCTCTCCCCACCGTTAATCTTTAAGCTCCCTCGACCTCCACTATGAAACACCCCCTGGACCACCAGGGTCCTTCAGCTTTGGGCTTTCTCTGTCTCCATCTGGTTCTGACTTGGTTATTTGCATTCCAAAATACAGGAAAGGGTAAAATAGGTTCCGAGGTAACTTCTCTGCTAGCAACAATTACAGAACAACGGTCATTATGTTGGAGCTATCCGCCTGGTGACTTGGCAGCACAGTCAATGAGCAAGCAGTTCTCACTGAGAAAAGGACTGTCACTGCATCAAACCATCTCCTCAATTCTCAGGTTCATGTGTGCTTTTCATGTTGGAGAGGCTGCACTCCACTCCAGATAGTAAATTTAGTGAGCTTTGTGGAAGATAAGAAGGAATAAGTTTAAAAAAAAAAAAAGAAATAATACAATAAGGTTTTCCATAGGAAAAGTGACCATTCAAACGAAGAGATATTTAAAATACAAGCAAACTCTGCAACTGCTGACTCACAGTAAATTTACGAAGCCTGATTCTTGTGAGTCTTTCCTAGCTGAGTAACTGGAAAGTACACCCTTCCCTTGGCTCAGGGCCAAAACCTCCAGTGTCATCCTTGACTGGCTTTTCGCCTCGGGTCCTGACACCTGCCACGGCCTCTGCCTTGCGCCTTCCGTCCCAGATCACCAGAGTCACCTTCACATTGCAGCTTTCCCTGAACAGTCCAGGGACTGTGCCGACCCCAAGCCTCCCATCGGGACCATCAGCCCTTCCCCTGTGGGAACTCCTGTTCTTTCTCAGTCCCCCCAGCCCCCAGCCACCTGCCCAGGGGTGTCCCGTTCTCTTCCACGCCCCCCTCCCCAGGGGCCAGCCAGGCTGGTCTTGTCAGACACAGGGCTGGTGCACCCGTGATTCTTTTTCTGGTAACTTAAACAGGCCCAGCACCGTGGTTGTACTTCATGGCAGGAGAGTCAGAGGCTGAAGCGACCAAGCAGTCAGCGGAAGCAAGCCAGAATACAGAGGCGCTACCTGCCTGCCGGCGCCGCCCTCTTCTTCCCCTGCTTGCTGGTTCTCCAGGCGCCGGCCCACTTTAGGCTGACTCCACCTTTGGCTTATTTTTCTTGTCATGAATGTACTGATCCCTCTCTCCACCAGAGGTCAGTTCCACCGACAGGAATTTTGTCTGTTTTGCTCAAGGCTGGGTCTCTGGGTCTCTACTCAACAGAACACACCGGACACACAGCCGGCACCCAAATATCTGCATGGGGAACGGATATGACTAAGGAAAACGACCCCAGCTGATAATTACTCGCTTGTGGCTCCTAGCCAGTGCAGCAAGGCCCACAACAGCCCCGTCTGCGCACTGGCGGGAATGCTTAGGCACAAACTTCCCAGGACTGACACATCCAGCACCTCACAGCACCGCAGCGACCGCTCACTGTGTCACCAGCAGGCACGACCAGAGCTAGTTCTCAGAGCTCCTGGCGGCGGCATCAGCTCACGGGACCTGGGCTGCCTCAGCCACACACCTCAGGCTGCACCACTGCGGTCCAAGCCCCGGCACTTGGAGCTGCCAAGCACTCAGGGCGGCCCAGACCTGAGTACCTCCCCGAAGGGGTCTCCCAGGAACGTGCTGCACTTCCCGAGAGAGGCCGAGTCCTTCGCGGGACGATGAGAAGATGAACCTGTTTAAGCACTCGGAGGAGTCAGGGGCTCCCCAAAAAAGCCCTCTGCCTGCAACAGCGAGGTTGGGGCCGCCCGCGGTGTCCTGGGCAGCGCCCGCGCCGGAGAGAAACCACCGCGGGAGAGGCCGACGGGGCGGCAGCCGGCCCAGGGGCAGCTCCCCCGCCGGCCAATGGCGCACCCCGCGCCCAGCCGGCTCCGGGGTGCTCGGCGCGACCCAGCCGGCACGCCGCGGTCCGCACAAAGGTCGCCACTTATTTTCTGCGGCTTTGCCTAAAAATACAGACATTGTTAACCAGTTCCTGAAACACCCGGGAAGGAGGGGCTGGGGAGCCTCGCGGGGCCCTCAGGGCGGGGCGGGGCGGGGGGGGGGGTGGGCGGTGAGGGGAAGGAGGGGGTGAGGAGAGAGAGGTGAGAGAGAGAGAGGGGGTGAGAGGGAGGAGGTGAGGGGAGAGGAGAGGGGGAGGGAGAGAGGGGGTGAGGGAGAGAGGGGGTAAGGGGAGAGGGGGGTGAGGTGAGGGAGAGAGGGGGTGAGGGGAGAGGGGGTGAGGGGAGAGGGGGTGAGGGGAGAGGGGGTGGGGGAGAGAGGGGGTGAGGGGAGAGGGGGTGAGGGGGGAGGGGGGGTGAGAGGGAGAGGGGGTGAGGGGAGAGAGGGGGTGAGGGGGGAGAGGGGGGTGAGGGAGAGGGGGTGAGGGGAGAGGGGGGGTGAGGGGGAGGAGGTGAGGGAGAGAAGGGGTGAGGGGAGAGGGGGTGAGGGGAGAGAGGGGGGTGAGGGGAGAGGGGGTGAGGGGAGAGGGGGTGAGGGGAGGAGGGGGTGAGGGAGAGGGGGGTGAGGGGGAGGAGGTGAGGGAGAGAAGGGGTGAGGGGAGAGGGGGTGAGGAGCCGGCGGGTGAGGAGCCGGGGTGGGGCCCGCGCCCCGCGCCCGCTCACCGTCGCGGCACTTGAACTGGCAGAGCCCGTCCTCGCCGCCCAGCAGGTCGAGCGCGGCGTTGAGGTAGGTGTCGATCCTGTGCACGCCGTTGCGGATGGTCTTCAGGGTGGCCCTCCAGTCGGGCGTCTGGGGCTCCTCCTGGCCCCGCAGCGCGGCGCCCAGCAGCAGCACGAGCAGGCCGAGCGCGGGCCGCGGCAGCCGGGCCATCGGCGCAGCGCCAGCCGCGCGGGGCCTCAGGCTCCCCGGCCGCGCCCGCGCCCCCTTCCCGCCCGCGCAGCGCGCCTGCGCGGAGGCCCCGCCCGCGGCTCCCACGCTCACGTGGTCCGGCGCCCCGCCCCGCCCCCCGCCCGCCTCCGGTCGCCGCGTGCCCGGGCCGCCCCCGCCCAGGAAGGCGGGCCGAGGTCGTCGGGGGCCGGGAGCGCCGACATGTTTTCTCTTACAAAACGGTGCGGGCACGGCCGGGCGCCGCCTGCAGCCCCGAGCGCGGCGCGGGTGTGCGCGGGCGTGGGCGCTGTGGGCGCGCGGTGCCTTGCAGCGTCTCCGCACCTCAGCGCGCCGACTTTTCAAAAACCCCGCAGGTGGCAGCAGGGTGCGGCCACGTGGCGAGCCCGGGGACCTGGTCTGAGGTGTCGGGGTTCAGGCAGACACCCGAAGGGCCGGCTCCAATGCACACGCGCCGCTCGGGGGCTCGAGCTCCCGCAGGCCCTTGCTGCGGCCAGGCGGGCCCCGGACAGGGTCTGCGGAACGCCGGGCTCTCGCTTTGCAGAGCTGGGCTCCCCGGGGCCAGGGCCGCGCGAGGGGGGTCGGGGAGCAGAACAAGTCGACCCAAGGTCGTGGCTTTGGCCAACAAGAATGAGTTGAGGCTGCAGGCCGGTGTGGGGATTCTGGGAGGTTTGGAGGTAAAAACCACAAACACCCTGGTAATGAAGCAGTACTTTACATTCCACATTAAAAAAAAAAAAAACAAAAAAACTTTCTGCAATCACTTTTTCCAATTCAACATATTTTGTAACTTGATAACTACAGATGTTCCTTTTTTCCCCAGAGCTGTGCAAGAGCCTTAAATAACAATTGCAGTAATTTTTACCAGTGCTATAAATATCTGGTTATGTTAGTCTCCAGGCAGGTTGCAGGCGATTTGCAGCCGGAGCTAGTGTTGGGAACAGATGCGTCCTTTCTGAAAGGTGGGCCAGTAAACTCTAGTTTGGTGGTTTGCGTTTGATACAACCTTCGTGCACTTACCGTAGAAGTGCAGACCCAGTTCCTAAGAATTACATCCCTTTTAATGAGAACTTTCTGAGCGCCAGGCACTTCACCTACACACTCACATTCAGGACTCTGCCTTAGGGGATGCAGCCTTCAGGGGAGTTAGAGACAGAAAAAGTACTTCCCAGCAGCCTGCTGTAGCTGCCCAGGCACCGGCCTCGCGCCCAGCCAGGAGACATTATCCTTTGACAGTGGAGGTGCCAGCCAGGAAGTCATGGCCACAATACTCAGTCAGACCATGGTCTCTTTTACTCTTCACTAGAGGCCAAAGGTTCCCCCCACTACCCCCCTCCCTAATTTTTGGACAGTACATTTCAACATGCTTAGAAAAGGGAACATGTAACCCTTTTCTTAGCTTTTGGGAGCACTTAGCTTTCACATCTCCAGAGCCTGGATGTGGGACTACATTACCTCTGAAGTCCCTCCTGCAACTTAAGCTTTAAACCAAGACTGGTTCTATCTAGTCCACTAGAGAAACTCGTTGGGCCAGGAATAAGTCCTTCAAAAGAAAACACAAAGTAATGTAATCCGGTTCCCATCCTCAGGTCTCCAAGCCCCAGGCCTCTCCTTTCCCCTTTTCCCTATCCATTTTACCCTTGGATTCTATTTCATTTCTTATGACTTAGCTACAGCCTCTTAACTATACAGCACTTGGGTATAGTCACCTTGATCTGGCATTTTCCAAACTGGCATTTTCCAATGCCAGTTTCTCTAGCTCATGTAACTGTTCTCTCTCTCTCTCAAACAGATCTCTTTTTCCACTGTGTTCCCCACTAGAATCACCAGCATCTTTCCAGTAGATGAGATTCTGCATTTTATTTTCCCACTCTCTTCATATTCAATCACTAGATATTTGTTGTTCCATGCCAGTAATTCTAAGACCTGCTTTTTCCTCTTAACTCCTGCTGCCAGAGACCTGGGTTTGCCACTGATCACAGAATTGGATACATCATTTCAAAGACTCAGTACAAAATAAAAATGCAGGGTTGCTGCTTCAAAAATTATTAGGCCTTTCCAGATAACAGGGGAGCTCTGACGCAAGTATGAGGCCTTTCAGCATTTGGGCCTGGTGCAACCGTGCTATAGGCATGCCCAGGAAGCCAGCCCTGAGACTGTATCGCGTTACCTCTTCTAGATAAACCACTTGCATCTTTTCTTCCTAATAGCACAAATGCCCTTCTTCACAGGACACTTTAACTACTCAGTAAAACCTGTTACACCCTTGGTTGCAAACCATACCTGTCTTCCTGCTAGCATGGCTAGTTTGCTACTGATGCCATGGATGGATGGATGGATGGATGGATGGATGGATGGACTGATAGTACTTAAGACTGTGGGTGGGCAGGAGCTGAGGCTGGGAAGCCCATTAGGAGGCCAGTCAGCATGTACTAAAGCATTACAGGTAAGACATGATCATGGCCTGGTCCAGAGAGGGAGTAACAGGATGTGACAAGTGATCACAGCTAGACAGAACTTGATGGTGCAGCCAGTAGGATTTACTGATGGATTGACTATGGTGTGTGAGGAGGAAAAGAGTGGAATCAAGGAGGACTCTGAGGATTTGGCCTCTTCAGTTGGAGGGATAAGGCATTCTCACTAACTCACATGGGAGGGTTTCAGAAGGAGCAATTAATTTCAAACATAACATGTTGGAGAAACTTATTCTAACTCCGCAGTTCAGAGGTGGGATTAAGGCTAGAAATAAAATTGGAACTTAAGAACATAGGACTCAACGAGAGCCCCTCGATGAGCGCAGAGAGAAGAAAGGGAGGTCAGGGCAGTGGGAGTCGGCTGGGACGGAGAGGCACAGCCAAGAGCCCGGAAGAGCGCTGGGTCCAGTGTGTCCAAGACAGACCAGCGATTCCGCAGATGACGAGGAAGAGGCGGATGTCGTCAAGCACTGGACATAGGACACGGCTGCCCGTGGTGAGCGTCACAGCAGTACTAGGTACAGCACTCAACTGTAATGGGGGGGAGGAAGAGGAACTGGGAAAGCCAGTCATGGTCAATATTAATGGAACAAAATTATAAAAACACAAAATAGACTATTTTTATAGAATATGCTGATGCCGGCCTAGGAAAGGGGACTTCTGGATGGCAGACATGAAGCTCTTTTCTCTGCAGAGCTTCCCAGTACATTGACAGGCATCAGTGGTCACACATCCCCCCTAGAAACCTCCAGTGGTCCCCCACTACGTGGGCATCGTGTAACAGGAGAAGGATAAGAAGTTTACTGGGTTTAAAGTAACATATTAACTCAGAATGCCAGGAACTGGGATATTATGCAATCCTTTGTGTTACTTGAAATAGCCTAAAATCAACAAAACCCAAAGGCTCAAGGGCACTTTCCGTATTCTGTAGTCTTCTGCAATGTCCCATCCCAGGGCCTCCGCGGCTTATTGCAAGGAAAATAACAACACGTGGTGAAACAGTTCCAGCAGGTCAGTGGAACTCTGGCTGGGACTGGGAAGGCGGGGTGCTCAAATGAGGGTGAACCGAGTACTGGGTTCCTCCCTGCTAAAAATTACCAAAGGCCTGAGTGGCTTTCTAGCTGGGGCAGAAATGAAGGAAAAGAGGTGCCCCGTGTGGTGAGCTCGGTGGCTCTGTCTCAGGTGGGAGAGAATGCACGTCCGCCCCAGGAGGCCTACCAGCTAAGAAATTCAGGTTGCTGGCAAGATAAAGTGCCAGGCAGGATGGCTTGAGAATAAGACATTTATTTCTCACAGTTCCGAGATCAGGGTGCCAGGCTGCTAGGTTCCAGGGAGGACCCTCTTCCAGGTTTCCCACCACCCCACTCCACCCCACCGCTGCCATGTCCTCACGTGATAGGCGGGGTGAGTCCTAATCCCTCGTTACCTAGCAGCTCCCAAAGACCCCACTTCTGGTATCACCACATTGGGGTTAGGGTTCCAGTGTGACACTTTCTTTGGGACGGGGGGGGGGGGGGGTGCATAAACATGAGGAACACAGCAATCAGAAAGAATGTGGGCAGCATGCAAGCTTCTTGGCACACAGAGGAAGTGATGACGAAGATGGAAAGGAACCCCTCAGCTGAGGGTGGGATGAATTCGGGGGTGTGGTTTCTCTAGCCGGGTTCCTGCTACCTCCAGACCTCTGGCTGCTCTTCAGTTTGGTATTTCCTATCGCACACTATACTCCTCCCACGGGCTCCCACAGACACCAGCTTCAGAATAGCCCCAGGCACATCTGCTTCTACTCCTTTTCTTTCCTTTATTTCTGTCATCAGTGGCAATACCAATCACCTCAGCATCGAAGAGAAAATCTGGGGTTTTCCTAGACTCCTGTGTCTGCCCTGGTGCCCCGACCTCTGTTATGTCCCCAAATGGCCCCCTCACTCCTCCCCTGCTTTCATCTGGGTGGCTCCAACAGCCTCCTGTCCGCCCTCCCCCACTCACGCCCTCTACTTCATCTTCCTCAGCGCCTCCAGCAACTTTCCAAACTCCTGCAGTGCGGCCAACTTTGACACCAGACCCTCTCTGGTCCAGCTTTTTCTCCCTCTCCAGCTGCACCCTGGGCTCCAGTCATGCTCAGCTGCTCTGTCCCCCTGGGTGTCTGGCTTCTGAAACCACGGGACCTTCACAGGAGCATCTACCTACTGAGTTCTTTGACAACTCAGACTACACTCACCTCTGGGGAAGGCTTCTTGGACTCCTCAGGCTCACTGCCTTAGTTGCCCTCACCACTGCACCTGGCACCGTGCAGCTGGCTGGTTTCTGTCCCTGTCCCCTGGTAAGGTGGGAGCTCTGAGGCCAGGGTCAAAAAGAAGATGGCAGCAGAGTGCCATGTCTGCTGAGCACTCTGGGCGATCCCCTTCAAGGAAGATCAGGCAAACTTACAAAATTGCCTGTGTTCTGCAGACTATGTGTGGACCGGGGCTGCGGCCAGTAGCAGTGGGCAGCTCTGTGGAGAGGTCCTCAGGTGTCTGTCAACATCTTTCCCAGAGCAGCCTGCAACTCAGGCTTCCCTGGAGATGAGGTACAGAACGCTTCTTTTCCCCATTAGACGCATGAGGTTGGCTTCTGCGGCCCTCGCACAGCTGTCTACAGGGTAAGCCTTGCATCGGGTCATCTGCCCCTGCTGTTCCCGGTCTCTGTCACATGGGGCCTCTACAGAGAAGCTGGCTCTTCAACCTCCAGGCCTGACCCCGGTCAGTGTCCAGCACTGAGGGCAGAGAGCCATCAAGAGTCTGGGCAGGGCCATGTGTGCTGGAAATGCTCTTAGAGTTCCAGATGAGATGCCGAGTGCTTGGTATTCCAGGATAATCAGGGCTGAGATGAGGGTTTGAGAGTCAGGGGCGTGTGGGTGGGGTAGAGCCAAGTCTGGACAAGACCACCAGGAAGCTTGTCAAGCAAGTGACAGAAGGAAGCAGCTGAGAGGAGCAGGGACCCGCAGTTCTCAGCAGGCGGGGGAGATCACGGAGAACTTAGGACACCAGGAAGGCCAAGTTCAAAGAGCTTTTAGTACTTAAAGAGTCAAAGAAATGGAGCAAGAGCTGTGAAGCCCACTATGACCCTGTGACAGGGACGCTGGCAAACACTTGACTTAAATGTCTTGAAATTCCAGTTTCCATTTTAAAGTGAAAAACGAGACACTATGAAGATAGTAATTTGCCTAAGCCACGCATCTAGGTGATGTGGTTAGGGTGTGAACCCAGACGTGTGAATCCAAGGTCATTCCGCGGGCTAAAACCCTTTCGTGTGGTCGTGGTCATCTCTCCGGTGTGAAGAAGTCACGGCATCCCATTTTCTATCTGTGCTTGACTAAAATGGGTTTGAGAACTTTACAGCAGATTTTCAAAATGGCATAAACTTTGTCGAGACCTTTCAAGTTATCTAATAAAATTTGCTTTATTTTTTTCCTCTAAAGAAATACTGATTATGCAGCAATATTTCAACTTAAACAGAACTCCTCGGAGAGAGTGGCGTAAAGAGGGACAGCACACTTTATATATTGTGCTGAGAAATAAGAGACCTTCCCACTCTCTGGCCAATCCAGTCAAAATAATTGGCCACTTTGGTGTAAACACCTGGGAACTCCGGTTTTCCACAGTTTTCACCCCAACTCACAACACCCCAGATATAAGTCACATTGTTGGCATCCTGACAGACTAGGGGGCCTCCAGAGTCCCCCTTACAGGCATCGATGGACCCGTCATCTGTGCCTGAGAAAGACAAAGACAACGGCACCTTTACTGTTTTTGATCTGGCTGCCCGCTGACTCCTGTCTCCCCCACCTCGGGGCTTCCTTCAGCTTCCCTGCCAGAGGCTCTCCCGCCAGGGGCCCCTGCTGGGCTCCCGCATGGCAGAGATGCAGGGTGGGGATAATGAGATAACTTGGATGTGCACTAGAGGGTTGGGTTTGTCCTTCCTCAGCTGCTTGGCTGTAGGACTTTGGGCAAACCGTGTAGCAGCTCTGCACCTCAGTTTCCTCATCTATTAAGACACCCAGTTTTGCAGAGGAGGAAACCTGCCTTAGGCCGCACGACTAGCTATTTGTAAAAAATGGGCTCTAAATGCATGGTCTGGCCCCAGAGTGCTCTTGGTCGCCTCACCAGCCTGCTGTGCACTAGCTGAGGGAAGATCCTCCCTCATGGTATGCGGCTGAGGCGTGTGAGCTAACAGGAGAGGGACTGAGAGTTTGATGGTGCCACTAGCAGAGCCCCTGGGGAGGGGTTGGGGAGGGCATGGAGAAGCCCCATGCTTACCTGCACACTCCATTTCCTTTTCAAAGTAGCGGCCAGGGTAAAACTTAGAGCAGTTGTTTATTAGGTTAACTTCGCCCCACTGAAGCGAATAGACTTTTTGGTTATCTAAACAAAGTGAGAGAGCAAATCGGCATTTAGAAGCCACAAATGAAAGGTCCAAACCAATGCTTACTCTTGTGATTTAGTACACTTTTAGGACCACGTCAAAACATGTTCTTTCAGACATCTGTAAACTTGTGAGGATGACTCACTAGCACCCGAGCTCCTACCCCCAGTGGCTGCAACTATCTCTGACCCCAGTGGGCAGTCAAGCCAGCTCGGTGACACACAGTCTGAAGTCACACTCGGTGACGAGCTAATGGCCCCGCCGTAGGCAACCTATGACCAGCTGAGACAGTGACTGAGGAAAATGCATGGGAAGTTCTCAGTGTGTGTGTATCCGAGGATCTCCACCTCTGGAAGTGACTGGAAGGGGACTTAGGGCTTCCTCCCCATTGAAATCAGAGTTGGGACTTGAACATTTTTGGTTCAAGGAAAAGCAGGGCCAGCTGTGGCTGCTGACTGGCCACTCAGGGAAGGTGAGAAAACCCTAAGACCACGGTGAGAAGTCAAGTCGGCCCATCTTACTCCTCCTCTTCCCAGTGTGAGCACTGCCCCAGGAGGAGGGCCTCAGTCACTGGCTGCTGCGCCAGGGCCCAGCCTCATGCTGGCCAGAGCAGTTAATATTTATGTAATCAATCAGCATGTGAATCACAGTAATTTGGTGCTACACTGAACCTCCTATCCCAAAGGATTTAGCTCTTCAATGAATGTCCAAAGGGGACAGAGGCCCCGGGTTTACCCTGAGACGACACCACAGACCCTCCCCCGTCAGTGGGCACCCAGAGCTAAAGGCAGAACTGGTTTTCTCTCCTGGGAAACAGAAGACAAAGACCCACCAAAATAGATGGCAAAACAGGAAAAACTTTCTCCCTCCCCCTCCTCTTTTTTCCTCCCCTCAAGTCCTACTTCTAGTTAGTGTCAAGAGGGTACCTTCTTCAGGATAACATTTTCTAAAAATAAATGATTTATTATTTTCTCCCAACTCAAGAGAGGGCTTATGAAAGGGGGCACCTGAGCCTTGCGAGCAGTTTCTCATGACCCGGGAGGTCTCCACCCTCTGAAGGCCTGTGCTGTAAGCACACGTCTCAAGGCACCTGTCACATTAGCTCTGTGACAGTGGCGTTTGTGCCTGATGGCTCCCCTGCGCTGTGCATCCCTGGAAAGCAGGACTTGGTCTGTCTACTTGTAGCCTCTGGCAAGAATGGGTCCATATTTTTCATCAGCAAAATCCCAATTATTTTGGCATTACTATCTTGCACTCATACTAAGGGCTCAATAAATATGCTAAATCCCACTTATTAGTAAGGAAAATGCTTATGAACATCTCTACCTACCAGTTTACAGGGGAAAAACATGGTGTAGCTAGAAGAACACGTAAAATGCTAGGTCAAGGGTATAGTCAGCGAGATTCAAGATCTGGACGTTCTGAAATGAGTGGCCCCTTCTTTAATAAATATATTTTAAGTAAAAGACCCCTTCTTTAATAAATATATTTTAAGTAAAAGCAAAGGTAACTGATCTAGATTAAAAGAGATTTAAGAAATTAGCCACTAAATATAGTGTCAGATTTTGGATCTTAATGAAAATAATCTGATTGTAAAAACTGCTATAAATAATTGGGGCGTGTTAAACGCAACTGGCTACTAGATGGTATTACAGAATCACTTTTACCTTGTTGGGTATGAAGGGTAGTATGGTTTTGTTTCTTTTTAAGACCTTACTTGATAAAGATTTACTGGAGGGCCTCCCCGGTGGCGCAGCGGTTGAGCGCTGGGCTGTGAAGCTGCCCGCAGCCTCTGCAGCACCAGTTTGATCCCAGGCCACCGGGCGAGGGTCCCACATGGCACGCAGTCCTCTCCTGCCACCCGCTGCTCCCCTCAGCAGTGTATTTCGTCAGTCTCACTGTTCTGCTCTCCGCTCTGGCTCTGGTGAATTCTCTCAGCCTCCCACACTTCTGACTGTACCCAGTGCTTGTATAAATAAATAAATAAATAAATAAATAAATAAATAAATAAATAAATAAATAAATAAATAAATAAATCTTTAAAAAAAAGATTTACTGGATTACTTGTGGGTGACACGCTATCTGGGATGTGATTTATTATACTTGTGGAAAAATTAAGATGGCAGGTTGGGGGTTAGGGGGATGTTAAATACACCTGAGACACTTTCTTCTTCTGGTAACTTCTCCTGTGCCTTCAGATCTCAAGATGTTCTGGTATTCCTAGTCCTGGGTGCCTGCATAACCCCATGGGTCCCGTAACCCCACCTACATCTTTATAATTAATGCTTTATAAATAAACTTCCTAATTATCCTTTTGTTGAGATCATGAGTGAAACAGGAATAGTACAATGTTGATAACTATGCAACTGAGCAGTGACCAAGTAGAGCTTACTATACTTTTATCTCCGCTTTTAAGTACTCTTGTGACACTTCAACACAATAAAGGTTTTCTTTATAAATGCAACAAATGTTGGGACATAATACCTTCCCACTTAATTGCTAATAAAATTTTGCATTCTTTAAGTTTGGGGCCTTTAAATACTGCAAATTAAGGTTAAGTTTATGTATGAATTTTATACTTTCCAATGTTGCAATTATAAGGTATATGCTAGACTCTGCCTCTATAAGTCCAATACAGTGAGGTTATTTACAAGGAAAGTTAAAGACCTTAAAAGGAAGCTCAACTGGAAGAAGGAGAAAGAAGGAGAAAGCCTTGGCCAATTTCATTCTAATCTAATTTAGCAGGCTTTCTACTGATTTTCCCTAAATATCCACATCTCTTATTCATATGAATGTTCCCATCAGAAGCTCAAAAAGTGAATTCTGCATGTTGCCCTGTGGGGTGTGGGGAGAAGGGGAGGGAAGGAGTGAGCAGCAGGGTTGTGGGGTGACTGACTCAGCATGTGCTGCCACCTTCCCTCGGAGAAGCTTCTTATCTTCCACTCCTATGTCTCATATGTCCCCTGGCTCTCTCCTTTGTTCTGGGTGAATGGTTACCCCTTGATATATGCTTCAGAAGCAGAGTGTGGGCACCCTATGATGTGTAAATACTGCGTGCTAACCCATTGCACACTGGAGCTCCTCAGGATGGGCTACGTAACCTGTGGAGCCCAGTAGAAAATGAAACTGAGGTGGTGCCACTAGAATTACTAAGAATTTCATGGAGGTGATCGCAGAGCAAAGAGCCAAACACAGGGCCCCCTGGGAGCTCGGGTCACATGCCCAAGAGCTGGGTGCTTGTTTTTCTGGATTTGATGCTGTTTCTCTTGAGCACAAGACTAGGTCCTGTGCCCAGGAGTTCATTTCATGTTCACCCTCTGGATTCTGAGGGGCAAATTATAAAACATACCTTTTTCTCTGCCCCAGCCAGAAACAATGCATCTCTCACCAGGCTGGAACAGATACGGCGACCAGGGGACGCAGGCAGGGACGGACTTGGACAGCACACACTCTTTTTGGTTTGGGCTTCTTTTCAGTTCAATCAAAGCGATGTCATTTTTGTAGGTCTTGCCATCATAGTTTTCATGGATAATGATTTTATTTACATACCGAACCAGTATCTCAGAGTTAGGCCTTATCCAGTCCACTAGGGATGTCCATATCTGGTAACGGTGAATTTTACCAATTCTGTAAGAGGAAGGCAAAGGGAAGTAAAATATGGAGAAAAAACCCACCTATATGTAGATGAGGAGAGGAATCACCCGTTTAACTGCTGGATGTCAGAGATTTGACGAGCTACTACCCTCCAGAGGAGCCTGGCGGCCTCGGGTAGGAAAGCAGATGATGCTGAAACAGAGACCCGCCAGCATCCATCCAGAAACAGGGGAGGAGATGGGGTTGGGGCACACATCTCAGACTCTGTTGGTGGCAGGGTCGTGGGCGAAGACCACCACGGTCGCTGTCTGACCTCTAAGGCTGGCTCTACCCTACTGTTTGTCTGTTCTTCCCACCAGGCCTTGCTCCCAGAGTCCCGGGCGTCTTTTCCCACTATGCATAGATGCTGTGCCCAGTGCTAAGCCTGGAACATAGGGGCTGTTCTAAAATCTAATTGAAATGTAAATGAGCCCAATATTCCCTGTTCTTATGCCTCACTCCATTTTCACACTATTGTCACCTCATGGTATTCAGAAAATTGGGCATCTCCCATCACCTGCTGAGGTAATGAGTGTCACACAGTGACGTCCCAGGAGCAGGAGGCTCCTCTTTAGATGTTGCCCAGCCAACTGAGGTGGTATTTCTAAGAATGTGGTGTATTCTAAGGTAGTGTATTCTAAGAATGCTGCGCCCCATCTTAACTGCGGTTGGTGGTTTTTCAGGACCAGAGGTCCTGAACATTGCTTAACGGTTAACCCTGTCCATTTAATTTACTCAGCAAGTACTTAGTGTGCACCTGCTGTATGCCAGCACTGTGCTAGCCACTGAGATACAGAAATGAGAGAAATCACAAGGCTTTCAGTCTTCACAGCGGGAAGAGTCTGAGGTGAGTCCTGGCATCATGTGGACAGCTGCACCTCCAGGCAGCAGGGAGCAAGGTGTCCTCGAGCAGTGATGGGACGGAAGCGCAGAGCAGGAGAGGTGGACAGCAGGAGGGGAGCTGTGGGGAAGCTGAAACTGGCAAAGGTATGTGGGTCCAATTACAGTGGGCCTAATAGGACATTTATTATTTTTGTTTACTTTTTCATGTTATGGGTGATAAAAATTCATTTATTTAATGGTCAGCGATATGGAAATAGCACTCCTTCCACACGCAGTAGAGAAAGGACAGGTGCGGGCAGGGCGGGTGGAGGTGAAAGTGCGTCGTCCAGCTAGGAGGCGGCGCATCGAGCCCAGGTGAGAGGAGAAAGCAGCGGGACCGTGGAGAGGGAAAGGCGTTTTGAGAATTAAATAGTTAGAAATTAGAAATACCACCTCGGTTGGCTGGGCAGAGTGAACTGTGCTGGTTCTGAGGGGGCAGCCTCGTGTAACCAGATGCCTGGTGTAGTCTCTGAGAGGAAGCACGGGGACGGGACGTCTGGGGTGGGGAAGAGATGAGCTCAGTCTTTGGACCAAGCCAAGAAGCACTGACTTTCGGGTCCGTGACTGGAGGACAGTGGTTCTTTATTTATTTATTTATTTATTTTTAATAGAGGCATGTTTTATTTATTTATTTGTTTGTTTGTTTTTTTGTTTATACATGCACTGGGTACAGTCAGAAGCGTGGGAGGGTGAGAGAATTCACCAGAGCCAGAGCGGGACGCAGAACAGGCAGACTGACGAAGTACACTGCTGAGGGGAGCAGCGGGCGGCAGGAGAGGTCTGCGCGCCATGCGGGACCCTCCTCCGGTGGCCGGGGAGCAGCCGGGGATCGAACCGGCGCTGCAGAGGCCATGGGCAGCTTCGCAACCCAGCGCTCAACCGCTGCGCCACCGGGGAGGCCTGGACAGTGGTTCTTTAAAGCACAGAAAGCCTTAGAGAATGGGTGAGGCGGGGAGAGGGCGTCAGGCTGAACGCGGAGGGTCTGCACGGTTGCACTGCAGCAGTGCTGCTCAGTCACAGGAGGAGGAAGCTGCAGAGAGGGCAGAGAAGGGGTGGCCGACGGGAGGCAGAAACTCTCGAGAGAGTGTCGTGTCACAGGAGCCAAAACAAAGGGTCATTCGGGAGGGAAAAGCCAGCAAAGAGGATTTTTATGGGTACCATACTTCATCACTCAACATGCTTCCCATCACTCTTAACTTTGGGGCACCTACAAATTTGCAAATGTCCATCTTAGTTACTGTCAAATATGTTGAACCTGGTTTTATCAATGATCTGCCACTGACTTAGGAATAGGGAGCAAAGTGTCCTCGAGGATGAAAGCCCACTTCTCAGTCTCACAATGCTCCTCTACAAATGGGAAGAATAACCTGAGCTCGCAGGACTGCTGAGAATGTCAGAGCAACATGACACTGTGACAGTGCCAGGCCCAGTGTCTGGCCCGGAAGGGGCATTCAATGCATGACATTTCCTTCATTCTAGAGAGCAGATCTGATGCTAGAATTCCAACCTTGGCCTCCTCCAAGCTGACCTTGACTCATTATCCACATCTTTCAGGTACTGCCCATTGGGCTCCTGTAACAGACCTGTATTCCCCTAAAAGTCATACACTAAGACCCAAACACCCAGCGTGACTATATGTACAGGCAGGCAGGGCCTTTAAAGAGCTAGTTAAGGCTAAGTGAGGTCCTCAGAGTGGAACTCTAGTCCCCCACAATGGGGATCCCTCTGAGAAGAGCAGCAGACACTGGGACATGTACATGCAGACACAAGGCTGTCTGCAAGCCAAGAAGAAACCAATCCCACAGAATTTCTAGTCTTCAAAACTGTGAGAAAATAATTTCCTGTTGGTCAAAGCCCCACTCTGTGTCTGTGGTATCTCACTATGGCAGCCCTTGCGGTCGCTGCCGACTCAACCTTTCTGGCCCTGCATCCAGCTTGTATTTCCCTTCTGTAGGCAACTATGAGACATCTTGTCACTGCCCAACCAGAATCCAGACAACTCTACCCACCCCACTGCTCCAACCTGAGAATCTCAAGATCTGAGCGGAGGAGGAAATCACACAACTTGCTCTTCATCAGGCAAGTCTCCTCCACAACTCAGTAGGCTTGCCCTCTGCAAGGCATGGCCCATCAGCCAGGACCTCCCCAGCAGGGCATGGTGGCCTATGGGTGTGCCAGGCTCCAGCTCTGTTTGAGGGTCTTAGCATCACAGAGTGAGCCAGTCAGTGTGGGAGCAGCATGTGAGAGATGGAGTGAGAAGCTGTCAACTGCTTTTCTGGAACCATTTCACACAGCACACGGGGCATGTGCCCTTGGGGGCATGTGGTGGGAAAGATGTGCGTGTTTGGAGGTGCTGCATGAATACACTGCTGCATAAGCAACATCTTGCTTATTATATCTCCTTACAAAAACTCAAGTTATAATCGCCTCCCTCCAATTTGGTCCTAACTCTACAAAGTGTAAGGAGTCCTACGTGGAAATGAGCCAAGGGAAGTCCTTGGTACCCACGCATTTGTGCTGCTCTGGCCAGCTGGGATCAACAGTTTGGTTCCCCAGTGGTTCTGGGGGACTGGCCTCTAGGGTCTGGCCCATCAATCCCAGAGGGCATTTAGTTCACAGAGAGGAACTTTCCAGTGATTTTTCTCAAATGTGCTCATACCTATCAACTGCCTCAGGTGCTATTACCCATTTACACTGTTTTAGGAAATCCACAGTCGAGCAGACACATCTGTTACCTGACACAGTGTGCTGCTGTCAGGACCCAACAGCCACCGATATAAATTCCTCCACAGGTGATCCTCTCGTCCTCCTTGATCGCCACCTGCCATGGGAATTGTCCCTGGAGAAGACATTTGTGTGTTTGTCACGAGAGAAGGATATACGCAGGAGCCCCAAGATACTCCCCCACAGACTCCCTGCCTCCTGCGATCACACCCCTCCTCCCTCTTGGTGCTGAAACATGGATCTTTAGGAAAGTGGCCACGGCCTCTCAGGGCTCACCACGATCGCCGGCTTTCCTCCCACCACGCGTTTCCTTCGAACGGGCATGCTGTTTCTAACTCCACAGGTGAGTTTAGGGGAAAATGACTTAATCCGTTTCCTTTCTACAAGAAAGAAAGAGATAGCATCATGATGATTTTGAACCCACTACCTTGTGGGCAGACACTTCTGGATGATCTACACCACAAAAACAGCAGAGTCACAGTTACCACACAGCAGACTGGATTCATTAGTAAATTATTTTGAATGCTAAGCTGTTCATCTTGTTTTAAAATTCTGGCATAATATTAACATTGGCTTGAATCTCTAAAGGTCTGCCTACAGGCAGAAAGACTACTGGCAGGAGGGTGATGGATTTAAAAATGCACTAGCCCCTGGGCAACTAGAGAGAGAAACTGCAGGCCCCCAATGGCTCAGGAGGGGGATGAGCTCAGGAGGGCTCATGTTCTGAAGTCCTCAGAGTAAGCTGAGCATGTGGGGAACTCCATCTTCTCATTTTCATAGCTATTACTTTCAAGAGGCTGTTTATACCAAACTCTTTCAACAATGTTAACATCCACGAGAGTACTCCTGAGTACTAAGTTTCAGACCCATGCTAAGTACCTTGATTGTAGTTTTATCTCATTTAATCATCACATTAGCCCTGAAAGGAAGTGTATCAAGAATCCCGGGACAATCCCGACCAGTGGGCTGGGGGTAGGGGTGGGGGTACTTGACCCTAGTGATGTTTCCTTCCTCTGTGAGCATCTGTCACTGGAAAGCCAGGCAAAGCAAGACTGAGGGCGTGATAAAGGATGACTATGATGACAGAAGATTTGGGGGGGGGGGCGGTGGGGCAACCATCCTAAGAACTAGGTTGGGGGGAAGGAAGTGTGACGGTAGTTTTTTAATTTCTAGTTAACCTTAGAAAGAAGAGGTCTTATCTACTGAGGACTGTGAAACCAGCTTGGGTAGTATGTAAAGATTAAAGTTATCTTGAGTAGAAAATGAAGGGTCTTTGCCTTTGTTGAAAATCTCACTGATGTCTGTAACTTTAAGTTATAAATCTTTCACTATTCCCTGATATTTTAAAAATATTGTTCACTTAAGGGTCTGGGAATTACAAGAGTCGTACCTAAATTTCAGTGTAAAATCCCCCTAAACAGAGACCTGTCTGTATCTGAGGTTAAATAACTCACTTGCTAACCAGCTAGCAGATGAGCCAGGCTTTAATGCACAGTCAGCCCAACCTGAAACCACCTATCAATTACTGTCTTCCTGGAACCTGACACTTTGATTTAATTAATGTGGCTCTTAGTGCACAAAGGATAGAGTTCAGATCTTCCTAGATCCTGTTATCCTGGTTTAGAACACTGCAAAACAATAGTTTAATTCAATTAAAACTTACTATATTTCTGTTTCCAAATGTATGTCATGGATCACATTTGATATCTGGCTGGTTTTGACAAAACACCTGACAAAGCTCACAACAGATAGAAAAACTTTACATATGGCAATTGTTTTTACTTCAAAATTAGCCCTATGCACTGGGGCTTTGGTGTAGGCTGAGTGAAATGTGCAAACATCAAGGGTGAAGTTGAAATCCCCAAACACATATTGTGTACACAATTACAAATCAATAAAATTAAAAAAAAAAACATAGCAATATGCACTAGCCCTTTTTTTTTTTTTTTTTTTTTTAAAGATTTATTTATTTTATTTAAGCACTGGGTACAGTCAGAAGTGCGGGAGGGTGAGAGAACCCACCAGAGCCAGAGCGGGGAGCAGAACAGGCAGAAGGACCGAAGTACACTGCTGAGGGGAGCAGCGGGCGGCAGGAGAGGTCTGCGCGCCATGTGGGACCCTCACCCGTGTGCCGGGGATCGAACCGGCACTGCAGAGGTTGCGGGCAGTTTCACAACCCAGCGCTCAACTGCTGTGCCACCGGGGAGGCCCATGCACTAGCCCATTTTTAAAATTAGTTATTTATTTTAGATTGTCAAACTCATTGATTCTTTTTAAAAGCAGTTCTCAAGAACATTTATGCTTCTTTTTTTTTAAAGTGATAGAGTAGGGCCTCCCCGGTGGCGCAGTGGTTGAGCGCTGGGTTGCGAAGCTGCCCGCGGCCTCTGCGGCGGCGGTTCGATCCCCGGCTGCTCCCCGGCCACCAGAGGAGGGTCCCACATGGCGTGCGGACCTCTCCTGCCGCCCGCTGCTCCCCTCAGCAGTGTACTTCGGTCCTTCTGCCTGCTCTGCTCCCCGCTCTGGCTCTGGTGAATTCTCTCACCCTCCCGCGCTTCTGACTGTACCCAGTGCATGTATAAACAAAACAAACAAACAAACCAGCAAACAAATAAATAAAGCATGCCTCTATAAAAAAAAAAAAAAATAAAAAAAAAAAAATAGAGTAATTTTTTTCTATGTAAATTAATGAAACAGTAACTGTGACATGAATCATATTACATGCATGCATCCACACACATACACATGACACTAAAATGTAAACTTAAAAAAACAGTGGCCCACTAGTAAAAATAAGTTAACTTACCTGCATCCATATCAGCACTCAAATATTCCAGTACTCCTATGATAAAACAAAAATTCCAATATTTAAAGTTGAATTTATGGTAAAAACTAAATCATTAAAATCATTTTGACTTTGATAATAAGTTTCAGTCTTAACCCTTGTCCTCCCTTTTAAAAGGACAGTGCAAAATTCCCAAAGTACATCATCTCCTCCCTTTGTATGGCTGTAAAGGCTCAATATGAAATATGTAGCGCTCTTGCAGGTACAAGGAGACGTGTCTGTACAGGGGACAGTGACAGTCCTGGGGGCTGCACTTGGCTGCACTCAGAATAGGCAGATGCCCAGGGCAGAAAAGGAAAACTCAAATTTCAACTCTGCATTCACCTGCAGCAGGTCTTGCCTGAAGGTAGTAAGCAGTCACTCACATGACCCAGAGTCCTGAGCTGACTTTAAAAAGACTTCTCATTTTGTACAGAGGAAGGCATCTTGAAAGAGCTCATGCAACAGAGCTCTTTCATTGGTTGCAATATTAGGCATGCTTAATATTAGGCATCTGGGATGCAGATGTCAAAAACAAGCAAACAAGGGGTGGCTCAGGGGTTAAAGACACAGCACGATCAAGCTATTGCCAGCCAGTGCAACATGAGTTTAAGCCCCAGGCAGGGAGGTGACCCACATGGCACAGTAGACCTCTCCTGTCTCCCCGCTGCTCCCCTCAGCAGTGTATTTCAGTATATCTGCCTGTTCTGCTCCCTATTCTGTGTCTGGTGAATCCTCTCACCCCTCCCCCCACCTCCGGGCTACACCCCAGTTTTGTATGCATAAATAAATAAATCTTAAAAAAAACAAGCAAACAAAAAAGTCTGTCTTCTTCCTTAAGAGTCAGCTTGAAGCTAGCGGAGGAGCTCTTTCCTGTGCTGTCCTAGCATGTCAGTCATGGACAGGATGGTGACTTCTTTGACCCAAGGTAGATCCCACCATCGGGTGGCCCTACTTTGGGTGAAGAGATAGCCGGCAAGGGCAATTTTCTTTGCTGCAGCAATCCTGTGTCTTGTCCCTGGATTTCTCAAGTTCTGCTCAGAGCTTCCACTAAAGCAGGAATCAAGGACTCAAACATTCCATTATGTGCTCAACAAAGCTAGATGTCGAGTCCCATGCAGCTGATGTGTGCTGGGTGTTAGAACAGCACAAAGCTCCAGAAGCACACATGCAAGTGAAAAAAATCCATGCTTTTGATTCTCTAAAGGGTATGAGTTTTTATTCAACAAAGCTCTCTGCATAAAGTGAAGAGACGGTGGCAGGGTGGAAGGAGCCATCTGCAATGTCTAAAACTGCAAATGGATTCATATCTGGAACGCAAATCACCAGGAAAGAAAATGTGACCTCAGGATGAAACGAGACAGGATGTGTGCCAGAGAAAGGACAGCAGAAGAAACAGCAAACTACAAAAGGGGCTTGGAATCTCTGGTTACCACATAGTCTCAGGCTAATGGACGATGCTGTGCCGCTGACAGCAGGAGGCCAGCACAGATGGGTAATGTAAGTGGTGGTGGCTGCGGAGAGGGTGGGTGTGCTGGTGGAGGTGTAGGCAAGAACCGGTCAGTCCAATTAAGTAGATGCAAAACCCCAAGACCCCACAATCCTCGTCAAGCACGATGTCACAGAGAAATCCTCCCACACATCCTTCAGTGTAAGAGTGGGTTCAGAGTCTGTGACTGAGAAAGTGAACTGTGGAGGATGAACTGCACAGAGGATCTCACACGGCAGTTAGAAGCAACAGAGTGGACGGACACACAGCAGCATGGACAGAGACCTAAAATATAATGCTTTATGTAAAGAAAAAAAGGAAATGTGAGGTCTGCAGCTTGGTATTATGTGAACGAGAAACGTACACTCACAAAATGACATCGCAGGGGGTGAGAATGCACACAAACGCATTACCTCACGTTAAAAGGGTGGCCCAAGGGGAGCAGGGGACAGCAAAGGAGAACAAATAAAATGAGAGAGGGTCTTTGCCTGGACCAAAATGACCGTGTACAAGGAACGGAGGAGGGCCACGAACACATCTCTCTGCACCTTACATCTGAAACCAAGGAGGGAGGGCAGGGAAATGGATAGAGGCGAGCAGGAAAAGGAAAGCACAGCAGCCGTGGAGAGCAAACTGACAAGAGGTGGGGGCTACAAAGAAGTGGAGGGCGGGCGTGAGGGCGGTGATTCCAGCATGTGAGCGCCGGGGGGTCCCAGGGAGTCCCACGGAGGACCAGCATCTTGGGCTGGAGATTTGAGTCCCCGCATGGGAATATTAAACAAAAAAGCAACCCTAACAAGCTGGAGGATTTGGGGGACATCTGGCTTACAAAAGCGAGTAAGATAATAACATCATGAAAAGATGTTACCTTTCCTCTGGTGGCAGGTTCATCAGCAGTGGCGTTGGTTTTGAGGAAAAAGTAAAGACAAAGGAGAAAGGTGTTTGGCAAAGGGGGACTGCGCAGGGACTGGACCCCTTTGGGTGGTTTTTGGTTAGCGGCCAAGCAAGGGGGTGTGAGAATAGAAGTTTATCATAGTGTGGAAAAGGCGTCCGTGTTCAAACTGATATTAAAGCTCGGTTGTTGGTAACACACAGTCATTTCCTTCTCCGTTAATAGTTAAACATTGAAATGTAAGGAGACAGCAGTACCTTTGCATTCTTTCCACTTTATGATATCCCAGGAATTTAATAAAATTTTTACCTTGAGCTGTAGATAAAAGGCGTAAAAAACAACACACAAAACAAAAAAATGTTACCACAATAGAAAATAATTTTTATGCGAGATAAACGCACATTATACCAAACTGATATATTATATACTTATAAAAAAGATAACATCTAATTCTTGTGTGACTCTGTAACACAAATCTATTATAAAAATAGATTTAGGGCCTCCCTGGTGGCACAAGGGGTTGAGCACAACACTGTGAGGCTGTCGCAGCCTCTACAGTTAGGGTTAGGGGTTCGATCCCCAGCCGGCCAGGGAGCAATCCATATAGTGCAGCAGACCTCTCCTATCTCACCCGCTGCTGCCCTCAGCAGTTTATTTCAGTTAATCTGCCTGTTCTGTTCCCCACTCTGTCACTGGTGAATCCTCTCACCCCCTCATCTCTGTCCTGTACCCTAGTTCTTGTATGCATAAATAAGTCAGTCTTAAAAAAAAAAGATTTACCTTTTTTTCTAGGATGCACATCTCCTAAAAACAAAACAAAACAAAACAGCTGTTGTATCAAAGACATAATTTTCACTTGGATAAATATATATAGAAATCATTAATATGTCAGGGTTAGTGTAACAAATTGATATTCACAAAAAGATGAAAGAGAAGTGTAATACTGCCTAGTAAGCACTTCATCTTGCACGTAAACACACACCACTTTCACCACAACAAGGAATTCATTTTAGCTTGAATTTTAAAAAGAAATTTATATTTCGGAGATATTTCAACATATATTACACAGTTCTACGGAATTCATAACATCTTTAACTTACATCAAAGGTGGGCTTTAAAAAATTAATGAAAGCAAGATATATTCCAACCCCCCCCTTGATTGAATGATTCAGATCTGCCCACTGAAAGGAGAGAGCAATAGAAACATTAACATATTTATTTTACATCATTGATCTCACTTGTTTTTCTTAAAGGGGAAGAATTAGAACCATTCTGACATTCAAAAGCCAGAGCTCACGCCAAATAAAGGTGAATTAAAATGAAAGAGGTGACTGAATTGAAGCTAGTCCCTTGAAGTAGGTTTTTCCTAATAAACAAACAAGAAAATAAGCAAGTTGATCATTCTGGCCAAAAAGTGGTGACTGTGGAAGCTGGGAGATGGGTCCATGGGGTCCATTCCAACAGTATATTTTTGTGTGTGGGGTTGCTTTTTTTCTAAAAAGTTCTGAAACCAGAATAAATATTTAACAGCTATTAAATTATTTAATGGAAACCTTAAATAATTAAATACTCAATAATTCACTATGAAAATGAAAGAGGAATACCCCACAGTTCTCCCAAGGTGACGCAGTAGCACTTTTACCTATGCGTCTTCTTGTGGTCCTTGGAGTTTAGAGTTTGCCTAAAGACAAATTTCAGAGTCCCTGGATAAAATGATGAACACAAGTGACTGGAGAGGCCTTTCCTTTCCGTTACCTCCACAGTGGACCTCATCATCCCCTGTGATGCAGTCCACCTCCCCGTCGCATCTGTGCCACGGTGGGATGCACACGCCTGACTTACACCGGAAAGCTTGCCCTTGGCAGCCTGCAACGTGAAAAAGTTGGGATCTGAAATTTTCGATGGCGCAGTTATTGCTACTTTTTGAGGGAGAAGAGCACATTGGGGGTCCTACGGCCAGGTTGGAGCGCTACCTTTACAGCACAGTTCGTCGCTCTGGTCTCCACAGTCGTTGACCCCATCGCAGACCTTCTTCTGGTCAATGGGCTTCCCGTTCACACACTGGAAGGAGTCACTGGCTGGAGAAACTGTAAAGTAGGAATTATGTTTGTGAAATTTAGCAATGCAGGTGTGGGTGACATCGGTACCATATTTTTGGAATAATGGGGACATTAAGATCAAGTCAGAGGGTAAATAAAACATGATATAAAATGTAATGGTAGCATCGATATAGGATTTCTGCTCATAAGATGAATGCCACAGCGGGCGTGTGGCAAAAGCCAGTACTCATGGTGGAAATCTGTGCTCTGGGAGACTAGCAGGGTGGGGGTTCAGGAGCCCTGGCCTTTGCTAGCAGAAACTACTGCCCCCTCACGCCTCTCATGCTCCCCTCACCCCTTCCAAAGATGTACTTGGACAATGCCATTTACATTTTAATGATTCTTTTTTGTCAGCACCGAAAAGGCTTGATCTTTAACACAACGTACATATGGCTGCACTCTTCCTGTGCTGGGAAGGAGGAAGGCATGTGACTGCTGGGAGACCGAGGAACCAACAGGTGACCTAAACATCTTAAGGAACACACAGAGGCTGGACCTCTCCTGGGAGATGCTGGTGTTTCTTGTGATGTTTGAATGACTTGTGTTTGCTCTACTAACTTTACCCAAATGTTCACAGAAGCAAAGGGAGTCAAACACCATTGCTCCCCAGTTAGGGACCTGGAGAGAGGGAATACCTGAGTGGCAAAAGAGGACACAGGGAAAAGGACATTGGGCCGTGACTGGCAACCAGGCAAACAGCTGAAATCAAAAGCCTTGAAGAAGGGGAAGTATTCCACACACCTGTAGTAGGTCTGTAACACACCACGCCAGCTAACCCCTCGTTACTGACGGCTTCTCTAGTAAAAGTACACTCAGACAAACTGGTCTCCAGTCCTCGACAGCGCACATGCACACACTCAGTGGAATTGATGTGGAGATCTGCAGGCAAATGAAACTCTCCTCTAGCTTCTAGAGCACCTCTGCAAGTAGAATAAATGAAGCAACAGGGTAGAAGAAATTAGTGCTTTCCATTTATAACCTTAATGAGGAGTTACGGGTCAGAGTTATTTCCTCTCATTCATTACACAGTTACATTTCATTTTTTGGGTTAGATGAGTATGCTCCCCCAGCCTCAATATTTTCACCTGTAGACAGGAATAAAACTATCTGACTGAGTTTTGTAAATATTAATTGGAACAGGCCCTCCCTGGTGACCTAAGGATTAAGTCTCAGTGCTACCACAGCAATGGCCCTCCGCGGGACCTGAGCTCGATCGCCAGCCAGGGAGCTGACCCACATGGCGCAGCAGACCTGCCCTGTCCCACCTCCTGCTCCCCTCAGCAGTGTATTTCAGTAGATCCACCGATTCTGCTCCCCACTCTGTCTCTGGTGAATCCTCTCACCCCCATACCTCTGGCCTACACCCCAGTTCTTCTACACAAAAATAAATAAAATCTTAAAAAAAGATTATTTGGAACAACCGATATAAAGTTACTAACCGAAGTTCAAAACATGGCAAGCCCTCGGCAAATACTCGTTTCCTTTCCTCTGTTTCTTGTTAAAGAGAAATGCTTCTTCCTCACTTTGGATGTTTCCCTCCAAACTCAGATTTGTCATTCTCGGTCTCTCTCTACCTCTTAACTGCTCTTCTCTTCAGGACAGGGAGTGGATTACTTTGATGAGGGAATTATGGAAATATGAAGCAGGCATGGGCCTCCCCAGTGGTTCAGCAGGTTGAGCGCAGCGCCGTGAAGCTGTCTGCAGCCTCTGCAGTGCGGGTTCCATTCCCGGCCAGCCAAGGAGAAACCCCACCTGGCACGGCAGGAGAGGCCACGCTGCTCCCCTCAGCAGTGTATTTCAGTCAGTCTGCCTGTTCTGTTCCCCGCTCTGGCTCTGGTGAATTCTCTCACCCTCCCACGCATCTGACTGTACCCAGTGCTTGTGTACATAAATAAATCTTTTAAAAAATAAAATAAAATAAAATAAATTTTAAAAAATCTATGAATCAGGTGTGGTAAGGCCAGCTCTTCACCTTTTCTTTTGGGGGGCCTCTCTGCCTGCCCGAGTGCAGTAAGGCTGACCTTGTGGCTTCATTGATGCCTAGGATTTGGAAGATTATATTAGTTTAATTCTAGAAGGTCCACTTTGCTTTTATATTAAACAACATCCTCAATTAAGCCTTGTCAATATTAAGGTGATATTTTGGTGCCTAATGTCATTGATTGCACTTGTCAGTTTGTTCAGAATTTGTGTAAGCAAGAGGATACCTCAATAACCAGCGCCCTACTGATGATGAGCTACAGAGAACTATTCATCCAGAACATTCAATTGCTCTTTGCTTCTCTTTATGAAGTAAATGGGGAAAGTGTGTAAAAATAAAAGGTTGAGGGCCTCCCTGGTGGTGAAAGGGGTTAAGACGCAACCTATGAGGCTATCCGCAGCCACTGCTACAAGAGTTCGATCCCCAGCCAGGGAGCTACCCACATGGTGCAGCAGACCTCTCCTGACTTTCCCGCTGCTCCCCTCAGCAGTGTATTTCAGTCAGTCTGCCTATTCTGCTCCCCACTCTGTCTCTGGTGATTCTTCTCACCACCCCCGCACCTCTGACCTGTATCCCAGTTCTTGTATGCATAAATAAATAAATCTTTAAAAAAAATAAAAGGTAAAGCAATGTTGCATCAGGCACAGGTAAGCAAAAATAAAGTGATAATGACATTATAATTATTAGACAAATTAGAATTAAAGGCAGAGAGAGAATAAAAAGAACAAGGAGGACATGTTTAATTATTTCTATTCATAATGAGGATATTGCAGTCATGAAACAGCAAAGAGATCACAATAGGAGACCAAATCAGAGCAATCTGGGGTAATCTAACAGGTGGATCATCTGAAAAACCTCTCAACCTAAAACTACCTAAAAGCACTAGGTAAAATATAATAAATGACCTCAATGAAGTTGAAGGAAAGTCAGAGAAATGTTCACTGGATAAAATCAGAAGTCTGTCCATGAGCTGAGGCAACAATGCAAATAGTCACAATACTGTAAGTGAACTAAACTCTTTAGCTAGTGGTTGTCATACTGGATTAAAAAACAAATCTGTGCTATTTATAAGACTTACAGTTAAAAAATAGGATTGTAAGTAAATAAATGGACAGGGTTTGAACAAAGTTAACAAGGAATTACATATATATTATATAGAACCAATAAATGAAGCATTTAAAATGTCCTCAACCCAAGCAAGGCTCAACAAATATTTAAAGAATTGTCACGATATAGACACATTCTGTGACCACAAGGCAATTGATAGGAAATCAGTAAAATGTTAACCGAATGCAAAATAATATAATCACTAGGAAAGTTAAAAAAAAAAAAAAAAGGAGGCCTCCCTGGTGGCGCAGCAGGTTGAACGCGGCGCTGTGAAGCTGTCTGCAGCCTCTGCAGCGCGGGTTCTGATTCCCAGCCGGCCACGGAGACTCCCACATGGTGCAGCAGACCTCTCCTGTCTCGCCCGCTCCTCCCCTCAGCAGTGTCTTCGGTCTGTCTGCATGTTCTGCTGTCCGCTCTGTCTTCTGGTGAATTCTCTCACCCTCCCGCGCCTCTGACCTGTACCCCGGTTCTTATGTAAATAAAATCTTAAAAAAACAAAAAATGAAACTTCTAAATTACAATATGGGTCAAGGAAGAAATTATTTAGAAAATATTTTCAACTAAACAATAAGTAAAATGCCATTTATGGAGGCTTATGGCATACAGATGAAGGATTACGTAGATGGAAATCTGTGCTTTAACACTTATACTAGAAAATAAGGGAAAACAAAACCTGCTATGTAAGCATTTATTTATTTTTTTAAAGATTTATTTATTTATACATACAAGAACTGGGGCACAGGCCAGAGTTTTTTTTGGGAGGGATGAGAGGATTCACTAGAGACACAGTGGGTAACAGAACAGGCAGATCAACTGAAACACACTGCTGAAGGGAGCAGCAGGTGAGACAGGAGAGGTCTGCTGAGCCATGTGGGTCACCTCCCTGGCCGGGGATTGAACTTGTGCTGCAGTGGCTGCAGGGAGCTTCATAGGTTGCGTCTTAACCCCTTGTGCCACCAGGGATGCCTCTGCTACGTAAGCATTTAATTAAAAGAAATAAAAAATCACCACAGAGAAAAGAAAAGCAGCAAGCATTAATGCTGTTGAAAACAAAGAAACAGACGATGTACAAACACAGAAATAAAAAACACTAGAGACAAATCTCTGCAAGACTGATCAAAAGAGAAGGTGTAAATAAATAATAAAAGGTGTGAAAATGGACAAAACTGTCAGTAATGAACATGTGAGCAACTCTCCAACTTGGCAACGGAGCCGTACACAGAAACTCTGATTAGCATGTTAAGGGCTAGTCAAACACAAAGTACATTTCATCTTCAGAACAATGCTTCGAGGCAGGAACTTAATATGCTCAAGTTACAGATGAGGAAATTGAGGCACAGAAAGATTAGGCATTAAAAAACAAAGACTTGGAACAATGAACTCAGTCTTGAGAAAATACACTGGTACAATTACTCACTGTGGAAACCCCCGGTCAAGGCATGCCACGTTGGCCTGCGTTATGCCCCAGCTGCTCTCACAGATGAACATTTTCTCATCTTGGTCTACAAATTTTACTTTGACAATTCCTTCTGCATCCGTATTTCCATAATTCAAGGAAACACTAAATTTTCCTAAAATAAAAACCAAAAGAATAAGCTTTAATGTAAATACTGACTTTCCCCCTCTTGATTAAAAACCTATAAACATTAACTTTGACACCATGAAGATTTTAACATTTAATGATAAGCAATTATTTCATGAGGGTTTATGATATGGCTGTGCTACCTAGTTATACAGAATGTCATAAAACCCTTACCCTAGGAAGATGAAACTGATATCTATCCTCATTTCTCAAACAAGGACCTAAATTCCTCTATTTTACGTGTGAATTAAGTTCTTACTCAAGCAGAGAGGCCAACAACAATCTAAACCTGCTATACTGATCTTACTACAAAGTCCATATCTTAAAAGTGCACCAAACACATAATGGAAATGTAAGAAGGGTTTACGTAGTCTCGTATATTTGCAGCACTTACTGTCTCAAGAGAACAAGTCTGACACTGACAAAATGATTTCCACTATCTCCCGCCTCTCCCACAGTAACAGAGATGGGCTCAAATTGGGAGCTATCGCTCTCCTTTTTCATAATTCTTCAACACAGCACTGCAAAAATATTTCGACTGCTCTAAGAAGATCTATGTGCCAAGTGTTTTTTTTTTTTTTTTCATTTTATTTTTAAAGAAAGACTTATTTATTTATACAAGCACTGGGTACAGTCAGAAGCGCGGGAGGGTGAAAGAATTCACCAGAGCCAGAGCAGGGAACAGAACAGGCAGACTGATGAAGTACACTGCTGAGGGGAGCACCGGGTGCAGCAGGAGAGGTCTGCGCGTCATGTGGGACCCTGGCTGGCGGTCGGGGATTGAACCGGTGCTGCAGAAGCTGTGGGCAGTTTCGCAGCTTAGCGCTCAACTGCTGTGCCACCAGGGGAGGCCCTGTGCCAAGTGCTTTTAAAAAGAAAGTTGTGGGCCTCCCTGGTGGTGCAGCGGGTTGAGCACAGCGCTGTGAAGCTGTCCACGGCCTCTGCAGAGCGGGTTTGATTCCCGGCCAGCCAGGGAGCTACCCACACAGAGCGGCAGACCTCTCCTGCCTTGATGCTGCTCCCCTCAGCAGTGTATTTCGGTCCATCTGCCTGTGCTGCTGCCCGCTCTGTCTCTGGTGAATCTTCTCACCCTCCCTCGCCTCTGGCCTGTGCCCCAGTTCTTGTATAAACAAATCTAAAAAAAAATAAGAAATACGTGAACCCTAAAAACTCCCTGAATTATGGGCCTCCCCGGTGGCGCAGCGGTTGAGCGCTGGCTTGCGAAGCTGCCTGCAGCCTCTGCAGCGCCGGTTTGATCCCCGGCTGCTCCCTGGCCACCGGAGGAGGGTCCCACATGGCGCGCAGACCTTTCCTGCCGCCCGCTGCTCCCCTCAGCAGTGTCCTTCGGTCCTTCTGCCTGCTCTGCTCCCCGCTCTGGCTCTGGTGAATTCTCTCACCCTCCTGCGGTTCTGACTGTACCCAGTGCTTGTATAAATAAATAAATAAATAAATAAATCTTTAAAAAAAAAAAACAAAAAAAAAACTCCCTGAATTAAAAAAAAAAAGTTGTAAGCATTCTGTAAATTCATGAAGTGTTTGTAATAGTATTTGAAGACAACCAACCTGCTGTCACAGCTAAAATCTCACAAGCACTTTGTGTGCCAAGTTCTGTGTGAAGAGCTTTACATTCATTTTATTTAACTTTCATAAGGGTCTTATGAGGTAGGGACTACTATTACTCATTTTATAGATGTGTAAATGGAAGCCCAGAGAGTTTGCATAACTTACCAATAACCAAGGGTTTGTGACTAAATGCAACTTACAGCATGACCCCTAATCTTAATGACTCCGGTGACCACACAGTAGGATCCCAGCTCCTCACTATAGTAACTTGGATCGAATGTGCACAAGTGCAACAACCCGATATGATAAGCATGCAAGGTCACGATGGCCTGAGCTCCCCTTGGGTCACAGTCAGTGGGTTTGGGACCAGAGAGAAGGTTAATGACGGGTGGGCTGGGTGCCAGAGAAAATGAATGGAAACACAGGTCCAGAAGTCCAATCTCCTGTAAAGACTCTTTTCACTGGATTCTGAACCAATTCTATGATCCTGGGACTAATCCCTTCAGCCAAGTAGAAGTGAGGGTGGAGATAATTCTGAAGGGCTGGGTAAAAGAAGTGACATGGCCTGGCAACCCCTATTTCTTCGGTTATCATCTCACTAATGCGGGTCTGGAAAAGATTTTTGAGTTGTCATACCAACATTTCTCAGGAAAAGTATGGTAATGATTTCCTTGTGATGCCGTAGACTAAACTAGGCGTTTCCTACCTTCACCTGTGCACATTCCATTCTTTAAAAACTTTGCCTCTGGATGAAGACACTCAAAACTCTTCTGCTGGCAGTAAGTGGGGTAGCTTTTCCCATTCGTTGAGCACACCACAGTACCATTCCTGGGGCACTGATAAGGGAGTTTACAGACACAGGTCCCATCGACGCATTTCTGCCATGGTTGACAGAAGACTTTACTGCAGGAGAGATGTGTGTATTTTTTAGCTAAGCACTTTTTGTCTACCAGATCTTCTTGAGATGCATCAGATGTTGAAGTATGCTGTAAAGCACAAAGAAATTAACACACAAAGAAATTAAAGTATGCTGTAAAGCACAAAGTTATTAACAAACTAAAATCTTCTTGAAGATGAGTAAGTGAAGGGAAGGGATAAAACAGACTCTCCAACCCCACAATCCAAATCAAGGTGAAGTGTCTGGTGTTTTTAGACAAGTCTAACCTCTAGTACCAGCTTGGGCATGTAAAGTGGCTTTGGGCAAGTTATTTACCGTGGTGAGATGTGAGTTCCTCATATGCAAAATGGGGATAAGATTGATTTTACAAGGATTAGAAATAACATACACATAATGGTTGGCAGGCATAAGGTGAAGTCAATGGGAGTTATTAATGGTCTAAAACAAACATTAAATTCCACCTTTGAAGACATCAAAGATTCTCATCAGTCATGTTAAGAAATAACAAATTTGATGTGAAATATAGTTTCATGGAATGAAGAATGAAATTGATTAATTACATTCATAAATGCAAGACCATTTGTTAAACTCTTACTGTTTGCATTATCTAATATTAATAATGTTGAACTTTTTCCTATGCATTTATTGTGTATGTTGTTGCTCTTTGTGCGGTAATTTTCCAGCTAACATACCCCAAATTTGAGAAACAATGAACTGTATGATGGCATTATTCTATTAAAAATTAATGATGAAATCATTAAAAATTTTGATTTTTAATGTTTAAAAAATTTTAAATTCTGTTTTTAACATGCACTTACATGTATAGACGTGTATTTATTATTTATTAATAAATACATTCACATTTACACACTCAAAGTTTTAGCAATTACTACTATAGCCTAATTATCTACAAAACATGATTCAACTTTAGCTGCTACAGCTTCTTTGTATATCTGAGGTTTTCCCTATGTTGTTCCTTCCCTTCATACTTGTAATGATATAGCAATTATTTTGATGTGAACTTTGTCTTATTATTCTAGACAGGAGTACAATGAGACCATTTTGGATAGTTGGTAGGTTATTACAAAACAGACTAGGGGCCTCCCCGGTGGCACAGCGGGTTGAGTGCAGCACTGTGAAGCTGTCTGCAGCCTCTGCAGTGCGGGTTCCATGCCTGGCCAGCCAGGGAGATTCCCACATGGCACGGCAGACCTCTCCTGTCTCGCCCCCTGCTCTCCTCAGCAGTGTATTTCAGTAGATCTGCCTGTTCTGCTGCCTGCTCTGTCTCTGGTGAATCCTCTCACCCTCCTGTGCCTCTGGCCTGTCCGCGCTTCTGACTGTACCCAGTGCTTGTATAAATAAATAAATCTCTTAAAAATAAATAAATAAATAATTTTTTAAAAGTAAGACCTGAGGGCCTCCCCGGTGGCGCAGCGGTTGAGCGCTAGGTTGCAAAGCTGCCCGCAGCCTCTGCGGCGCCAGTTCAATCCCCAGCTGCTCTCTGGCCACTGGAGGAGGGTCCCACATGGCGCGCAGACCTCTCCTGCCGCCTGCTGCTCCCCTCAGCAGTGTACTTTGGTCCTTCTGCCTGCTCTGCTCCCCGCTCTGGCTCTGGTGAATTCTCTCACCCTCCCACACTTCTGACTGTACCCAGTGCTTGTATAAATAAATAAATAAATAAATAAATAAATAAATAAATAAATAAATAAATCTTTTTTTTTTTTTTAAAAAAGTAAGACCTGAAAGGATCAAACTGTTTTCAAAAAACTTAGCTGCACGTCACCATAAAGTTCAGGAGTATGCACAGTAATAATAAAAAAAAAAAATACCCAGGTTTACAACTGGTAAAGTTAGTAATATCTGGCATCCAGAAAAAAAATTTCTGGGCATGCAAAGAAGCAAGAGAATACGACCCACCATAAAGACAAAAATCAATCAATTGAAACATACCCACAATTCTGACACACATGTCAGAACAGCAGGCAAGGATATTAAAATTGCTATTGTAACACTATTCAAAGGTTATATTGAGACATGAAAGACACAAAAGAGATTGAAATGGAATTTCCAGTTATGAACACTATAATATCTGAGATGGAAACAATACATTTGATGAAATTAACAACAGATAGGACATTGCAGAGGAAAAAATGAGCAAACCTAGAGTTTTCTTAATAGAAACTATGCAGAATGATAGGCAATTAAAAGAACAAGAGGGGGCCTCCCCGGTGGCGCAGCGGTTGAGCGCTGGGTTGCGAAGCTGCCCGCAGCCTCTGCAGCGCCGGTTCGATTCCCGGCTGCTCCCCGGCCACCAGAGGAGGGTCCCACATGGTGCGCAGACCTCTCCTGCCGCCCGCTGCTCCCCTCAGCAGTGTACTTCGGTCCTTCTGCCTGCTCTGCTCCCCGCTCTGGCTCTGGTGAATTCTCTCACCCTCCCGCGCTTCTGACTGTACCCAGTGCATGTATAAACGAAACAAACGAACAAATAAATAAATAAATAAAAACATGCCTCTATAAAAAAAAAAAAAAAAAAAAAAAATAAAAGAACAAGAGAACAGAAAAAGAGTGAGTTGTGAGTTGAAGCAGCCTCGTATGTGTAATAAGAGTCCCAAAGGAGAGAGAGAAGTGGGAACAAAATAATACTGGAAGAAATAATGTCTAAAAAATATCCAAATCTGATGAAAACTATAAACCCACAGATCTAATGAACTAAATTAACCTCAAGATCAGACACATCAAGGCATATTATATTCAAATTATTCAAATACCAACAGTAAAGAGAAAAATCTTCAAAATAACCAAGAAAAAAGACAGTACATGCAAAGGGAACAAAGAATAGGGTGACAGCAGATGTCTCATCAATAATGCAAGCGAAATCACACTGCAGCAACATTTTTAATGTACTGAAAGAAAAAACTGTCAACTCCTGCTGGGTAAAGACCCAGCAAAAATATCATTCAAAAAACCAAGGCAAAATAACCACCTTTTTAGACACACAAAGCATCAGAACTAGAGCGCACCTGAGCCCTAAGAACTATGAAGACGAGTAATGTCCTTCAAGCAGAAGGAAAAGCATACTGTATGGAAATCTGGTTCTACAAAAAGGAATGAAGAATACTGGAAATCTCTGGGACTTTTTAATGTGGTGACTTACTGAATTTATAATATAGTAACTATCGAAATCAGATTTTCCTACTCATAGGGTTTATTCTTGTTGTTTTCTGTAGATTGTAGTGGTTTAGTGACTTTTTTATACAGGTTCTGTAAAATTTAGTTTTTTCATGTGTGACTCTAAAGTCTTGTTCCTTCAGCTTGTATTCAGCTCATGTTTAGAGATTTTCTGAGCACAAGGAATCAGGAAAAAAAAGGGAGAGGGAGGGAAGGATGAAGAGACAGCTAAAGAGTTAACAGAGAGAGAAGGAAAGGAGAGAAAGATTAAGACATTCTTCAAAATCAACAACAAATTGCAAATTTGCAAATCGCACCGTGCTGAGGCCTGCTCCTACAATGTGTAGGCAGCCACTTGGGATTTCATCACAGCCTTCACTTCTGACTTGCACTCAGCCTAGAGACCATCTAGAGGTGCACACTTAGTATCTTCTTGGGCTTTTCTGAACATGCCTCCTACTGGGTGTGTGTGTTGCTTTCTAAATTCCCCCAAGGGCTTTTGACAGCTCTAATTTTCCATGGACATGCTTCCTCACTTCCTCTCTCAAACTCTGGCGCTGTTGTAATTTCTCAACTGGAATCTGTTGTCCAAGGTGGCTGTGATGTGTTTGCCTTAGTGTTTATAAGGAATGTCCGCTGCCTCTCCACGCAACAGTTCCAAGATGGGTGAAAAACAGAAAAGTACTTTGTGTCAGTGCATCAGGCGGTGCTCAGGAAAGTGGGATCAGACAAATGTGTTTCTTTTTCAATAGTCATCCCTGCTCCTTCTAGAATTAAGGACCAGAGTTCCACACTGGGCGCATGGACTGCCACCTTCAAGATTGCCACTGAGCAGGGGATAGGGTGAAGCAAGGGCAAGAAGAAACGTCCCAAAGTTTTCTCACCCTTTTTTAAGTTGCCTTTTCCTTCATTCAGCATTCACTAGGATGCTGCGCCCCACTCACTGATAATCAGAAATCTACCAAGTTTGTTCTGACAGTCTCCACTTGTGTTTTTTTAAATGGATGGGCAGGTGTTTGGAACTGCCCGCTCTGCCTCTTCTGCAGCCACCATTTTCCTCATTGCACACTGCCTCCCCTGCACGTACTTTTTCCAGTACCTCTTCACTGGCTGAACATCACTCTAGGTATTGCTCTCCAAAATGCTACCCATATAAAGCTAGGTTTGTAGTAAATTGTAGGATGAAATGAAAATGGAAGGCTGCAGTCAGGGGTGATGTCACACCATAGTACTATCATGGTAGATCGCCACATTGACTGAAATATTTGACTTTTGTATTCTTTAATATGTTGTGGTTATTAATACAACAGCCTCTCCCTCGTGCTTAGGGCTTCCCTTCTTCTCTTTTCTGTGTTTCCTAATTTCTTTGTTTGGGCAGGTTCCGTGAAACCTGAGTCTCATTTCACTATTCAAAGCAAAGCAACTTTCATCTATCCCACTGCCAAAACACCCTTGTCATCAGCATACTTCATCTCAAAATTGGTCTGTCAATATATTGTGCTGAAGAAGAAAGCAGAGCTTTTTATCCCCTGGAAGGAAATCTGTTCCCAGCCTTCAAAGCATCCAATGCTTCTCCCAGCTGTACATATTTTATTTCATTTTGAAGACACATGTCCTTTTTTAACCTTCTTTGAGCATATCTATTTCTATGGCAACCTCAGTTTAAAAATGTTTATTTCTCTTCAGTTGGGATAGAAAATTCCTTTCTTTCACAAGCTAATACTTTATTTTTTTAAAATAATAAATTTTATTTTTATATTCCCCCATACAATTGCAAACCCCCATTCTGACCCCAATCCCTCCCCTCCCACCCCCCACCCCCCAAAAAGTGTCTCTGGTTCATAGTTTTTTGTTGATTTTGATTTTCACTTTCTTATAGTTATTCATTTTCCTGGTCCCTTATTTAAGTTTTCTAGATTCCTGCTATGAGTGAGACCATCCGGTATTTTTCTTTTTCTTTTTGGCTTATTTCGCTGAGCATGATCCCTTCCAGCGCCATCCATGTTGCTGCAAATTGCATGTGTTTATCTTTTTTGAATGCTGAGTAATATTCCATGGTATATATGTACCACATCTTCTTGATCCCACAAGCTAATACTTTAAAAAGTTCTGAAATGCTCAAAAATATTAACCACTCTCAAAAAGTTGTTTCTTAATGGAATGAAGACAACTTTATTGTCAGTGAACTTTATTGTTTGGTAAAACAGGTTCTTTTCCTTTTTGTAAGTGAAAGCTACTATTTACAGTTTTTATTTTAGTCTGTTTTTGCAGGGATCAAAAACATGGCTGAAATATGCATTTAAAAATAATTTTCTAATTACAAAATAAGATTTATTTGATACTTAAAAATGAATGAAACAGAATTTCCAAATTCTGAAAATACATGTGTCAAAAAGAAAACAAAAGTCACCAGCAATCTCATCACCCAGGGACACCAACTGCTGCCTATTTGATATATACCCTTCAAGAACTTTTACACTGCTCTTTGTAGAGCAGCTATAGATCTTTGTTTACACGTACAACTCCATAAATGTCTTATTTTTTTAACAAAAATAAGAGTTTAGTAAGACTTTTTCATTTCAATAAATATGAAATGGCTATATGTTAGCTCATTATGACTGCAATATTTAATCAATTTTTGATCAATGAGCATTTAGTTTATTTCTGTTACTATTATAAAAATGAAATCAATAATCCCATTTTATAAGTTACAATGAACTTAAAAGTATGTCATTCTGATTTCTTAAAGTTTTCCTTAAGATGTGTTTCTGTAAGATGACGTGAAGATGCAAGTTCTTTATAACTCTGCAAGTCACTTCCTCCTCTTCTCTGATGATCAAATCTAATCCGGAATTATAGGTCTACTCCAATCCCCATTCAGCCCACAAACTTTGTGATCTTCTAGCAAGAAGATTTTCCCTCTCCCTCAAGCTCCTTGGCACATGGTATTTGTACCATTTGTGGCAATTAAACATATAATGTCCTATAACAGGTCTTTCTCCTATGCTCTCAATTGTTATCTGAATCTTATTATTTCCCTACTGGCATATTTGTATTGTCTTCCTACAACTCTACCATAAGGCTATTGGAGAACAAGATTTACTGTACCTTCTTTCCAGTACTATACCTTGCACAGAGGAGTCTGGTAAGCATTTACTGACTTAATGGTTACTATACATTACAGATATATGTTGACAAATTTATCATTCAGTTCATTTTCTAGGCAGAGATGAAAGTGATTTTTTTAAAGCTCATTCACAAGATTTTATTAAATATTTATATTATCATTTTTGGTAACTGAAGCAGTTATCTTTAAGTCAATAGACAGTAAAGATTTTTCTATATTATATATATTTAATGTACACATTTCCCTATGTTATATATAGTCTATACTTTCTATTTAAAATAGTTTGTATAAATAATGAATTACCTACCTTGCAAAAACTTAAGTAGAAGCATAAAAGTAGCAGAATGACATGTACAAGCTTCATGTTGGAAACAGTCAGTCTGTGTCTCTACCAAGGACTCTTCCCTACCCCAGATATTTCAAATTTAATTTTTAACCTCTGAAAAAATATTTAAAAAGAGCAAGACTTCTAAAGAGCTTTGTACTTTTGAACTCGTATAATATTTGGCTAAAATCCAGGGTTTTACCGTAACTGAAACCAAAAATGGCCTTCCCAGTAAGCAGCTGAGGAAGAAAGCCAATAGGGACTGTGTTTCCTCCAGAGAAAACTGATTTCTCCCCTTGTTGCTAAACAATACCTCAATTCTGCTCTTCAGGGAAGACAGAAAATAATGGAAGAAACTTCATGAGGTTTTTACAAATGGAATTGCACAAAAAATGGAATTGCAAAAAAAATGGAAATGCACAAAATCACACAAAAAGCTTCTATACAGCAAAAGAAACTCAGGTAAACAGAAAGACAGCCTAAAATGAAAAAAAGCATTTGCACATAAAACAAATATCTGACAAAAGGCTGATATCAAAGTATCATGTGACTATCGAGTAGAAGCACAAAAAAGAACCCATGTGATCAATTTAAAAAAAAAAAACACACACACAAAGAATCCAGTGTACAAATGGGCAGAAGAACTATACAGGCACTTTTCTAAACACAACAGAGAGTAACAGGCCCATGAAAGGATGCCCATCATCATGCGCTGATCATATTAACATAGATATCTATATTCATGAACATATGAATGTATCAGGGGTTCTCAGACATGGGTTTCTCCAGGGTAAAAAGACAGAGAAGAATGGCAATGAAACTAGTTTAAGAGGACAGAGGGATGCCATTTAGGTAAGGAGGGAAATAAAATAAAGTTAAATTAATAAAATTAATTATATACAAGGTCTAATGGATGGCTTGATTTTTAGATTTGGTACAAAAGGAAATGGGAGCTGTGGATATGGTCTGAGGAAACTTTAGTAAGTTCAGTATGTCATCAAATACAGTACCAAGGGGAGGAAGAAACATTAAGTCTGGAACTGTTTAGTTTGAGGCAACAAACTTCCTTGGAAATTAAGAGGATGTAGTTCACTGCTTTTATTTCTGGACCACTGAGTTCTCGTAATAGATTATACTGAGTGACTTAGGATAGGAATAACACAGGACCGTGGTAGTGAGACCAGGAGGTACTTAAGAAGGAATTAATAGAAACAATAGCATTTGATAAAAGAGACTGCAATCAAGATTGGGGTAGAGATAGTGATAATAATGATAAGAGGAGAATGCTCCAAGGTCTGAGTCCAGGGAAAGAGAAACCAAGAGTATGACGCTGTAATGAGAACAAATAAAGAGCAGGAATGAATAACAATTTGGAGGGAGGTGGGATAGGCTGGAAAGGACAGAGACCTGTGAGACTCCAAGGTTCTAGTTTGTCCCTCTTTGACTACGGGGGAAGTTACTTCCCACATCTGGACGTTAGCTCTTTCCATGAAAAATAAAGGGGCACAGTGTAATCTTGAGGGTGCCATAAAAGATCAGTGGTTCCCCACATTGGGTTGATAACAATGGAAAACCAAATGAAGATAGAAACAATGAAGGTAAATGCTAAATCACACAAAGCAAAACAGAGCAGGGCAGCTAAAAATAATTCCATCTTTGTATGACATAGAGAATGGAAAGTAATATTTATCAAAACTGAACTTTTTTTTAGAGGATTACTTACTTTCTCAAGAAATAAGAACACATATTGTGATGCCAAATGCTTCCATAGTGGAGTTTATAATATTCTTTCAAAAGCTCATTGAAGCATCCTCTGAAATGCTACTAAGTTCCATCTTCTCTCACTGAGGCGGCTTCTGTGGTAAACATAAACACCAAGATAAAGTGTGAGAAGATTCAGGTATAAAGGAGCCCAACCAAATTCAATAGGTCACTACCATTTTGGGGGAAAGACATCTCAGTGGAGGCTATCATCAGATTATCTAGAGCTTAAAGGGCCTCGTAGTACAGACGCTGTAGGGTAGGCAGAACGTTTTTGACAAATGAATACACTATCTAGTACAAAAGCCGTATATTCCTACCCAGGCATCGGACGGCTGTATGTTATCCTGGGGTACCTGTATTACTTGGGGGTATAAGCACATTCACCAGCAGCAAGGACAAGCCATCGAGTCTACGGCGGGGTGTCTCATAGATTCCGGGCACAGCCCAGCTGTGCATGCACGGCCTGGCTGCCGATGAGCTCATCAGGTAAGTTTCTTTAAAAGCACAAAACCGCACTTTTTCTTCCCTTAGTGGAACCACAGGACAGGCGGGACCCACCGTTCACCCCACAATCCCGCGTGGGGCGCACGCTCCGGAGGGAAGCAGCCCCGGCGGGACCCTGAGGTGAGCGGGGAGGGCAGCTAGCGGCCTGAGAGCCCGGTCGCCCCGCCCCGCCCCGCCCCGCCCCGCCCGACGGGCCGCAGCGCCAGCCAACGCTACCGGCAACAACGCGGCGGCGCGGCGGCAGCGTCGTGACGCAAGGGCGCCGCCATTGCGCGTCATCTCCCGCCGCCGGAAGGCACGCAGCCGGGCCGTCGAGAAAGTCGTAGCTGAGCCTGGCGTTCCGGCTACTCCTCCGGCGCCGCGGGGGTTCTGGGGAGCGGACGGGGCCGCGGGGCCTGCCGGTCCCGGCCAGCAGGGCAGGGGGCTCCCGAGCCCACAGGCCGCGCCGCCCGCGCCGCTACGGTGGCCGAGGAGGCCCGCGCGAGGCGGAAGCGGCGGCCGGGGGGTGTGCGCGGCGCGGCCCGAGGCGCACGTGGCGCCGGTGAGTGGCCGCGGCAGCGGAGTCCGGCCGCGCGGGCGGCGGGCGGGTCTGGCCGCGGGCGGGGTGGCGGGCGCCGGGCGGTGACAGCCCTCCGGGGGCGCCCCTGCGCGGCGTGTCCCCCGGCCCGCGGTGACCCCGCGGCGCGCCGCTGTCCTCTCCCCCCAGGCGGACGCCAACATGTCTTTCCGCGGCGGCGGGCGAGGAGGCTTTAATCGAGGGGCTGGAGGCGGCGGCTACGGTCGCGGCGGCAGCAACAACCACTTCCGAGGCGGCGGCGGCAGCTTCCGAGGCGGCGGCGGCCGAGGGGGTTCGGGCGAGGCGGCGGCCGCGGGGGCTTCAACAAAGGCCAAGACCTGGGGCCTCCGGAACGTGTGGTTTGTATGTCGACCTCAGTCCTAGGCTGCTGGGGGCCGGGGAGCGGCGCTGCGGGTCTGTGTTGCTCTGAGGGCGGGCTCCGGTCTCGCTGGCCGCTGCGGGGGCAACTCTGTGGGAGATGCCGTGAACTCACAGCCCGGCTGTAGCGTGGAGTGGGGAAATCCAGAAAACTCAAGGACACTTAGACTGTATCACAGAGAGGAAACTGAACTTGGACAGAAAAGGAATGCATTAAATAGGTGGTACTACTTGCAAACCCCGTTGTCCCCATCTCACAGATCAGGACTGAGTTGTTGGATTTGCTAGGCATTGCCTGTCGTAAGTGCTCATTTTAAGTTTGAGGTGCAAAACCAAGTTTTCTGCCTCCAAAGCCCATGCTTTTAGTTGCTACTTACAAGTAAGAGAGCTGGGAGGGGTAGCTTGTAAGGGAGACTAAAGGGGGTGTCAAGGAAGAAAAGACCTACCGAGAATAGTTTTGGAGCGCTTGGCAGTGAGGGAGGATGGGGGTCATGGAACGGGAGACCGGGATGTGACAGGACAGAGTTGGATCAGACGCAGGAGGGCAGGCAGAGGGGCAGTGGCGGGGTCCGAGGTTCTAGCCCACAAGCCACTGCAGCAGTCCACACAGGAGGCATTAAGAACGTGGTGGAAATGATAGGAAAAGAGTACTTTCCAAGGGGGGAAAAAAAGAATTTCTTCAATACTGGGAATAGATTTTTGAGCTTGGGTGATGGGGATGGAAAGTTGGTTTTGCAGAAACAAGATGACACAAAGATATTTTGAGATTCTAGACTTACTGAAAAGATTGAGCAGTCATTGGTGAGGAGATGGCAGCGGGTAAGTTACAAAGGGGGAGAAAGCAAAGCAGAACAACAAAGACTTGCTTTACATTTAGCAGTTGAGAAGAAGGAAGAAGAGCCGAACAATGGTTATTACAATAAAATCATTTTGAGTGGTCTCATTTTACTAGGCACTTTTCCGAAGCACTTTACGTTGATGATTGCACTTAATCCTCAATACTTTAAGTGAGGTGTCAGTACAGTTACTAGCTCTATGTTAAAGATGAGGGTCCTAAGTCAGAGGGGAGGTGAGAACCTTACCTGCGTCACATGGCGGGTATCTGGGCTGGTACACCAAGCCAGCAAGGCTGTCCTGCCTCAGGAGAACCGATGTGAAATCTCAAGCAGCACAGAAGAAAGCTGCCAGATGGGATTGGTCAATATCATTTGAAGCTGTATTCTAGTATTTTTTTCTCCTGTTTCAGTATTAGGAGAGTTCATGCATCCCTGTGAAGACGATATAGTTTGTAAATGTACCACAGAAGAAAATAAGGTGCCTTATTTCAACGCTCCAGTTTATTTAGAAAACAAAGAGCAAATTGGAAAAGTGGATGAAATCTTTGGACAACTTAGAGATTTTGTATCCTTTTCAGTTGGAAAGGGACCTAGTGATCTCATTCAAAGGTATCCACTTTTTCTGAGGCTAAGTATTGCTTAAGCCTGTTGCTTCATGAAATTGGACACTTTTGCTAAAATTGAACTATAAGGAGAATTATGAGAAAATGTATTTCCATGTGTGTTGAATATAAGTCCTATAAAGGAAGCTTCTCTTTTGAAAGCTTTTCGAGATGACTGCCATTTAGGTAAGCACTGTAGGATTGAGGTGTTAACGCCACTGGATATGATGATGTCACTGGGCTGCGAAGGTGGAATTGGAAGTATGAAAGACAAAAACTGAAACTTCATTTCCACTTGGAAACTTTTCCTAAATATTTCCTTGTTTTAAAATTTTATACATGAATGCAGGAGGTTTGATACCTTTTTTGATCTTAGTTGTTTATTCCTTAATAAAATTAATAGTATTTTTCAGTTAAGTTATCAGAAAACATGAAGGCGTCTTCCTTTAAAAAACTACAGAAGGTGAGTCGTGCTTATACCTGGGATCCTTGGTTTTAAGTGAATGACCTACCTACCTGAGGACAGTCCTATGTAGGGGGCACTTGGGCTGTTCTCGCCCCTTGATGTCACTAGTGAAAGTTCTTAAATGCATGTTCTATACTTCAGGCTTCAAATTTACTGACCTCTATGTGTAATTTACACAATAAAGGCTTTCAGAAAGTATTTCTTTCTTACAAGTAGAGAAAACTGCACCTTTGTGAGTGAGCCATGGAGGCAGGCCTCAGAAAACCCAGATGGACAGCCTGGCTAGAACAGCTGGGAGGAGTGGGGGAAGTTGCGTATTAAGACTAAAGAGGTAGGGAGGGCCTGGTTATTTCAGATCACAGAGTCCTGGGAGTGAGTTTAGACCTTAGTTTTATTTTTGCTGTTAAATACAATTAAATTCATACTTTCGAAAACAAAAGTTGGAAAAATGGGTTGGAAAAAGAAAAAGAGCATCAGGAATGGAGTGAGTACTGCATCTGCTGGGCCTGCCACAGGCTATTGCGTTACTCCTGGGAGACACACTCTGGATTAGCTGGTAGCACTGGAAATGGTGGGGAGTGGTGGACTTAGGAAAGATAGAAGAAAGGAATTGATAGGTCTTCGTAACTGATTAGCTATTGAAGTGAAGTGAGAACTATCACCATCTTCCAGATGTCTGGTGTCAGCATCTACCAAAAAGGGCAGCACTGGAGAAAGGTACTGGCAGAAGTTAATGAGTATACACATGTTGAAGCCTTGTGCGATAGTCACATGGTTAGATGCTCGAAGAGCCTAGATGAGAAAGTGGGAAGCTGTCATGTTGTAGGTAGTCTAGGACAGCGCCTAAGTTTAGTGTCTTGTGGAGCCTGGGATGTAGCTGGCAGGAATGGAGGCAGCATACCAGGAGTCTCAGAAGTGGTGCCACAACCATCAAGAGAACGGCCTCCCGAGAGGGGGTGCTCTACAGACAGGTGCTGCTGTGTGGGGGTCAGCAGAGCTGGCACCCTGGAATGGTGGGCCCAGAGCCCAACTGGAACAGCACGAGATGGGGCAAGGCCATGTGCAGGCTATGGAACCTGGCAAGTACCTGCTGGGCCCAAAAGCCGGGCTCCTCCTGTGGTGACCTTATAAGGTCTGTCAGAGCCACTAAAGTTTAGATCTGGACGCCTGCTTTCCTCACAGCGTTGATGTGAGGATTTATTGTTTTCCTTTTTCACAGATGTTGAGTTGGTCTGTTCTACTTTTCCCCATTTCCAAATCTATTGTTTAGGCTCAAGTCCTCTTTCTCTAGCGAGGTGATTGCAATAGTCTGGATCAGTGCTGTCTACTCAAACTTTGTGTAATGGTGGATTTTCCGGCCCAGTGCTGTAGCCACAGGTGCTGTTGAGCACTTAAATACAGCTTTTGTGACCCAGCAGCTGAGTTTCTCATTGTTAATTAATTTAAACCCAAACCACTGGGCTGGTGTTGGCCATATTGGACAGCACTGACTTAAGAGAATTTTTAGAGGATGGGCTGTGAAGGGAAGTGATAAGATGGTATCTAAAAAGAGATTAAAAATTCCTATTAGTGAAAAATACCTTATAGTTCTGAAGCCACCCTATGTTTTGTGTAATATTGTAAAATACCCCTTCATATTTCATTGTCATGATAAATGCCCTCCTTAAACACAAGTATTGAGTGGGTTTAGTCTCTGCATACTGTTCATACTTTTCATGTTAAGTAAAGTTACTGATTTGATGCTTTATTAAGGTCTTAAAATAGCATTTCAGTGCTTTGTTTTGATGTAAGTTTTCCCACAAGCTTAATCGTTTTTTCTAAATGTAATGAAAATTTTTCTAAATGAAAATGTAGTTAATTTTGGAAGGCATGTATTTCTAAAGAGAAATCAGGTTGGTTTTTATATGTAGGTAATGCTTATTGTCTGCCAGTTTTAAGTTTTCTATATATAACTCTTGATCCTCACAAGGACTCTGAGGTAGTACTTCATTTTTTCATTCACAATCAAAAAACGAAGACACTAAGAACTTAAGTCCTTGTCCAGGACTAAACAGTAGTGTGTAGTAGAGCTGAGATTTGAATGCAGGCGGGTTTGTGTGCAGTGTGTATTCTTAGTGATTACACTATACTGTCCCCCAAGTCATCCAGCTAATTGTTTCTCTCCAGTTTTATATAGACCCGTATAAGCTGCTGCCGCTGCAGAGGTTTCTACCTCGACCTCCAGGCGAGAAGGGACCCCCAAGAGGTGGTGGCAGGGGAGGTCGAGGAGGAGGAGGAAGAGGCGGTGGCGGAAGAGGAGGTGGTGTCAGAGGCGGGCGAGGCGGTGAGTTACTTGTGAGGAAGACCTAATGAGATCCCAAAGTGGCAGCCAGTTCACACAGTACAGTTTAACACAGGCAAACCTCCCTATGTTTATCTCTTTTTAGTTAAGCTCTTTGTAAATTTTGGCACATTTCCAGAGTGACAGTGCTTAATTTCAATAACGTTTAGAAAGAAAATTAATATGGGATAATTTTGAGATTTCCTCTTCATGTTTTGTTGCACATTTTATAAAATTATACTGAATTTTGTTTTTTTTTAGTTAATGTCACTGTCTATTGAGTGCTGATGACATAAATGCTTTTAATATCCATGCACATGCCTTTAATACGCAGCAAAACTTTGAGGATGAGGAAGGGGAGCTTACAAAAATTAATTTGCCCAAATCAAACAGTTGGCAGCCCAGAAATAAAATCCCCATCTCTGATGTCATGTCAAAGACTATTACCAATAAATTCATTGCTTTGATCTCAGCGTTTTGGTCCGTTTTCCTCCAAATAGTTGGAGAATAAATACATTCATCATCATAGACAGCTAGAGATAAGCAGAGTTGGACTGAAGTGGGGTGCAGCATCCAGGGTGCTTAGATCGGGTTTGATGGGTCACAAGATGAGGACAGAGTCAAAGTGCTCACTCTACTGTGACTGGGTCTAGGCTGCTTGGAGATTCTCTCGTAGAGATTTGGGCATATATCTTTCTTTTTTTTTTTGGTAAAGATTTATTTTTATTTATTTATGCATATAAGAACTGGGGTATAGGCCAGAGGTGAGGGGGTGGGGGTGAGAATTCACCAAAGACAGTGGGGAGCAGAACAGGCAGATCTACTGCAAGAATATGTTTATAGTCTTTAGAATTGAAGGAATCATAGTGATATATGTAGGTTTATCAATATGTTAGGCTACAGTTATTTAGTGAATGTTTCCTTCATTTTTAGGTGGTTTTAGAGGTGGAAGAGGAGGTGGAGGCTTCAGAGGAGGAAGAGGAGGTGGTGGTTTCAGAGGTGAGCAAAAACAAAATCAGTGTCTGATTTCCTAGAATTGGTTTCATCTACTAAATTTTTAAAATTTAATTTTGTTTGCCAGCAGGCATATCCATGGTAATCTTTGCTTTGGCCTAGTTTATAGGTTCTTTTTATACTACTCTTCCTTTTACCTTTAAATTTTTCTACCTACTTCTAATTCAGTTAACATGAAAAATATAAAGTTGTATATGAATGACAGTTTAAATTCTGTAAAGTAGGTTTGTTTGCTGACCATTATTTAGAACTTGAGATTTGGGTAATAATGTATGAAAATTTCATTTTTCTGTACATCCTTAATATTTTCATTCTCTCTTGATCAGGGAGAGGACATTAAATGTAATGACGGAGAAACCTCTCTAGTTGACGTCTGCGTTTACCTGCATCATCTGCTTCCATGGATTGGAAACTTGTTTCTTGAGCAAGCCTTGAAGAGTGGTCACTTGATGACAGTGGAACTAAAATACCAGTGTCATGCAAAGTGAATGCAACGGATTGGCGATTTTGCTCTAAAAGAACATGAACAAGTATTTTAGTATTTTATACATTCGGGAGCTCTGGGTGTTTAATAATAAATGGACAGTTTTCATTTGAAGCATATTTGAATTTTTAAAATAAAATGTTTATTCCTATTTAGAGCTGTGCTTATTAATAAATCAGAAACAACTTAAGTTTAAACGCAGTGGATTGCAGACAGAAAAGCTGGTTTGTTGACACATGTAACTCATCTTCAGAAAATAGGCTATTGGAGCACTTCTTTGACATTCTTTATAAATCAGCACCGCCTTTCAGAGTGCCTCCTGTAAGAACATCAGCACCCTTTATGTTGACAATCACTTTCTCACAGAAGGAAGTGTTGTGATTTTACAAAGTGGAAAGGGAGGCTCTTTGATTTTAAATCCTGGGGTGGAACACCTCAGTGAGAGGGTTGGGATTTTTACTCTTACTCTGTAAAAGAGATGGGTAAGGGCATTATCCCAAGGATAAACCATAGTGCAATTCCCCTACACTTTTGTAACATTAAAAAAAAGTCAGAATTGTTGTGAAGGAAGTAATCGATCAGTCAGTAGACAATGTGGAGATTTCACCTTCTACCTGAAGTGTGGTCTTTTGGTTACTTGCTGGCCATCTTTGAACTTTTAAATCCACATTTTCCATGTCTGTTTGTTTGTTGTTTTTAACCTTAAATTTTTTCTGGGCTCCCTTTGGGGGTACTTAGTTTTGAATCAAGTTCATGTTTAGGGAGTCTAATGTTAATTTGGTAGTGCGGCAAGTACTGCTGAATTCCATTATAAGAGCTATTTTGATGAACTCTTGATATGTTAACTAGCAACACAGCAATTAAAACAACTTAGTGGACTACAAGCAGTATTTCCTGATACGCCCGAAAATTTGGGAAAGCTTATAAAAAGAGGATTGATTTTAGGGCATTAAAGATTCGTGAACTATGTAAGCATGAGAAGCTTACAGTTTTATTTCTTAGTATTCTCAGCCTCACCCCAGTAAAGCTGTTCTGGTTCACTCATGAAAGAAATGGGGAAAAGTACTTTGTACCATACTTGCATCTTTAAGACTTTTGTTTTGGAATTATTTTTCTTCAATTTGTATAAGTAGAAATAATTATTCCAGAAAAATTTTGATGGTACAAGAAGATATAATCTATTTCAGAAAAGTAAGACACTGAACCAAAGCAAACAAAATATTTTGATTTTACATCAATAGCTGTGTGGGAAAATGTTCACTCAATAAGAGGTGCAGGTGAGGGGCCTCCCTACTGGTGTAAGGGGTTAAATCTCAGCACTATGAAGCTATTGCCAGCCACTGCAGCATGAGTTCTATCCCCAGTCAGGGAGCTGACCCACATGGCCAGGCAGACCTCTCCTGTCTTGCCTGCTGCTCCCCTCAGCAGTGTATTTCAGTAGCTCTACTTGTTTTGCTCCCCACTCTGTCTCTGGTGAGTGCTCTCACTCCCCCACCTTCCCCCACCCTCCAGCACTTCTGGCCTATACCCTAGCGCTCTCGTATGCATTAAAAAATAAATACTTTTAAAAAGAGATGCAGGTGAAAACATATTCAAAAGACCCCCAACAAATGCTGGAGAGGATGTAGAGAAAGAGGAGCCCTTACAATGTTGGTGGACTATAAACTGGTGCTGCCGTTAAGGAAAGCAGTCTGGATTTCCCTTAAAAAACCAAAATTGGTCGGGGCCTCCCTGGCGGGGCAAGGGGTTAAGACACAACCTATGAAGCTATCCACAGCCACTGCAGCACAGGTATGATCCTCAGTCAGGGAGCTACCCACATGGCACAGCAGACATCTCCTGTCTCGCCCGCTGCTCCCCTCAGCAGTGTATTTCAGTCAATCTGCCTGTTCTACTTCCCACTCTGTCTCTGGTGAATCCTCTCACCCCCAACAATTCTGGCCTGTACCCCAGTTCTTGTATGCATAAATAAATAAATCTTAAAAAAAAAACACCGCAAATTGGAAATACCATGTGACCCAGCAATCCGACTGTTAGGCATCTATCTGAAGAACATGAGACCATCAGTCCCCAAAATCATATGTGCTGTGTTTACTACTGCGTTACTTCTAATGGCTAGGGTGTGCCCACTGATAGGAGAGGGCAGGATTAAGATGTAGTACATCCACACAAGGAAACTTCAGCCATAAATAAAGGCAAAATACTGCCATTTACAGCAAAATGGAAGGAGGCTGGAACTGTTGCAGTAAAGCAAGTCAAGAAGACAAGGACAGATGACATTCACATAAGCAGACGATTTTAAACAAATACTTGCAGAAACTAATGTTATGGGGTTCTGAAGTTAGGAAGGGGGTGGGAAGGGGAAAGGATCACAGAGGTATTAAGGGACAGTCTGGGGGGAAGAAATGCTTACAGGAGTGTGTGATTTATAAAATTTACAGTTTTATTCTGCATATTGAATTAAAAGACTTAAAACCCAACAACTCAGTTTTTTTTAAAGCGTTCTTAGTATTATGTTCATTGCTGTAGGATCTTCTGAAAATATTTTGATAATGGAATACTGAAAAAATTTACTTTCCTAGTGTGAACACTCTGAAATATTACTTTACATTTATAAGAATCTGAGTGCTGGTATCTCTAATATCTGGGACAGTTCCAACTTCAGTTAGATATAGCTGAGACTGCGGACGCAAAAGGGTTACTGTGGATGCCTTTCTGCTATGCCATTTTAAAAATGTATAAAATTAAATTGAGTGGGTCGATAGAGCCCCCTAGCGGTTCTGCTACGTGCTTACACGTTAACTGTAGTGCACCTAGCACTTCACAAATTTTACTTAAATTCACTATGGAGAAATAATTTTTAATAATGCTGTATGGCATAAGGAATATGAGAGGGGGTGGGGTGGTAGGGGTGTCTTATTCTAACAATAAATGGTCATTTTAGACTGTAACCACTTTTCCAATCATAAAGATAGTCTAGAACATTCGAATTGCCCTCTACAAGATGAGTGACTGAAAGCAAATACTTTGCTGATCTGCTATGATTATTATCGTCAGGTAACTACTTGGCATATCAAAGCAGGGGGTAAATCAAGGGAGGTGGATTATGGCGTACATCATGCTATCTCCTGCCGTGAAACAGACAGCTGCAAAGGCAGACTTGAATTTACTGACCTGGCATCGTGATGGGGAGAGAAGCTGCAGAATCACTTGTATATACACACCTCCCGGTTCTGTTTAAAAGGAGAAAGAATGGGAGGAATCTCAAACCCTTCTATGAATATGTTTGTAAAAGCAAAGAAAAGCAGAAAGGCTCTCACCAAACTATATTATGTCGGGGGGTGGGTAAGATTTGGAGGGATGGGGAGACATTACTTTATCTGTCATTATTTAAATTAAGGAAAAGGCAAAAGGAACTGAAATGGAAGAAGTGAAGGGTCAAAGAAAGCAAGAGCCTCATTCTAGTTTTAGAAGACTAAAGCTGCCTCTTAATTTCAGAGCTGATTTTCAGCATAAATCACCTCCTGCCCAGGTTTCTGGGGTCTGGTTATTAAGTGGGGTGTGTGCACTCTTTTAAGCTTCTTAGTTATAAAGACATGCCCACATTGGTAAAAATGTGTGGTGCTGATTTCTATTTATTTTGCTAATACACTTTTCCCTTGTTCTGGGAATTAAAATTCTTTCCTCGAGGTCAATTAAATTCGTTAAGTGACAGCTTCTGTGAAAAGGCCCTTCATTAAGGTCTTTACTTAGAAATGATTGGTTCTGAAAATTCTTCAACTCGGTGGTTCTTAAGACCCTTCATAATAACTGAAAGTTTATTGTGAAGGCTGTCTCAGTATCTTCTTTTCTACAATGCTAAGGAATAATTCAGGCAACTGTTCAGACTCTGAAAATGAAGATGGCTCGGTGTTTTCACAAATGGAACACAATATTGTTGCAACTTACTTGATAATGGCAGGTATGGCTGTTCAGTTACTCCATGACGAGCTGTCTGGCTTGCGGGTGGTGAGGAAAAGCAGAGAAGAGGTTTTCAGAGATATCGCTGGCCAGTTTGACAAGTCATTACATTTTCTGAATGGCCGTGCTCATGCGGCAGACAAAGATGGTAATACTTGCTCTGTTTTCCAGCCATACAGATCCACTAAGGGAGTATAGTGAAAGATGAATGGAAGAGTTATCAGTGGTGGTTAATGTCACACATTATTACGAGTCTTGATAAGCAATGTGAGACCAGTGCAGTGGGGCAGAGGTTTTCTATAAAATGAAAAATTTGTAAGAATCATCCAGGTATTCAGTGATTAAGTTACCAAAATAAGTTTCTACAGGGGGAAAATGTACACCACTGCGAGAGATGTATTTCTATATTCTTTACTATACTCATACATAATTTTTGCAGCTTTATCCTTGGTGGTAGACCACTATCATCTAGCTGTGAGTGAAAGGTGCTGGAAAGAAAATTAAAGCCATAAAAAGAAAAAAACAGAGTGTATTGTTATTGAGGAAAGAGTACAAACGTTCAGGTCACCGCAGAATGTTATACTGCAAAACTTTTGAGCTTTGGAACGTATGTTTTTGTGCTTTTGCAACTGTGAGCAAATTCATCTTTTGTTCTTCCATTTTCTTATCTATTAATGGAGATAAGAATAGGTTACCTGTTTCGACTGGTCTGGAGAGTAAAATTAAATGACCCATAAATGCACCTAAATGCCATATACAGTGGGTGTCACACATACATACTTACTGATGGGAATTTTGGATTAGGATAAAAGTGGGGTGGGGTGCAAGAGGGAACTGGAGTGTGAGAGGAGGGTGGTGAAAAGGTATTAACTTCCAGTTTTAAAATAAAGTACTAGCCGGGTAAGGAAGAACAGGATAGACAGGGAAGTAGTCCAGGGAAGAGAGTTCTCATCACAAGGAGAAACTTTTTTCCCCTTGTTTCTTTTTTTTTTTTACTGTGTCTATAGACAGATATTATCTGAACCTACTATTATCATTTCACAACAGAAGTAAATTAAACCATCATGCTATATACTTACTACAGTGATGTACTCCATTATTTCTCAATAAAACTGGAAAAAAAGATAACATTTTATTTGTGGCAATACACTGAGTGAGGAAATGACCACAGAATGTCTCTGATCATCTTGTATGAATAGGTTGAGTTGCATAAATTCTGTACTGAGCAATCGCTTCACTTACTACTTCATTTTCAGGAAGGAGTTATACTGGGATTGTTATTTTTTGGAATGCCTTATGAAAAATTTCAAACATATTTCAAAGTGGGCTGAAAAGTATACCAAGTTCTCCAGTACCTAATTTATTCTTTATAATGGCTTAGTTACAATTAGAGTATTACTTCAGTGCTAGAAATTGTGATTTCCTTTATTTTGTAAATTTTAATGACATGTGACTTTATTTGAACATCTCTGTATAAATGCTAGACAAGTTCCATTTTCTTTTTGATTGTTTTTTTTTGTTGTTGTTGTTGCAACCAAATCAGAAACCCATGCTACTTAAAGAGACAATTTCCTTAGTACAATCACAAACTAAAATACAGTGTTTTGCTTCAGTTTTTTGTAGATGACAAAAACAAAAAAGATAGCCTTTTTTCTGTTTACAACAGTAGCATGCAAAGAAAACTACCTGTTAAGAAAATGTTCTCTCTGGTCCTTATCCCTTTAACAGTAATCCTAATTGTGCTACTGTGCTGCTGCTGTGTTATTATTTGAATACTTGATATATATACACCAAGCACTGTTGTAAAATTATATCTGTAGAAAACTCATCCTAACACTAACTCAGTAAGCTTTTTTTTTTTTTTTTTAACATTTTAAAAGGACATGTTTACTATGAAACGGGGAAAGAAAAAGAGGCAGGAGAGCTCCTCAGCAAGCTATTTTTTTTTTAAGTTTTTTCCTCCCCAATTATAGAGATAAAGAATTTAAATAACTTGCTGGACACACGTGCCTAAGTACTGACACCAGGATTTGAACACAGGCATTCCTGATTCTAGAGCTGTACAAGGTGCTGTTGTGTTCTGGCAGATGAGCTGAAGGGGGTGTATTAGCCTCTCAATGCTTTTGCTCAGACATCCACTGTTCTTATGTCCTCTAGTTCCCCAGCCCCACACCCCCTTAACAAAACCCACTGAAACTTCTTATCAAAACCAAAACTAGGAGGGGAAAGGATTCAGTCAAGGCATTTATTTTATTCGATACCTTTACCAAGAGCCTACTAAGACCTTTTTGAGATTTAAATTTGAATTTAGTACTTCTTGTAGATTTCATTCTTACAAACTCACACCTACTTGAGCACGCTCCCTTTTTCCAATTGAGGCTGGCAGGTGAGGAGGCATGGTAAATGAAGGCTCGGAAATGCATTCCTTATAGATGAATTGTAAAATGAAAGGAGAGGGTAGACTGAAGGGGATGGCCTTGGACCAGGTAATGAAGGACCACGTGAGCCATAAAGGCGACAGGGCCACTGAATGGCAACAGTGTTTCGTGCAGGAGAGATTTACAACAAGACTGATATGTTTGATAAATAACCAGAGTGAAGGGCTCATGTGACAAGGGTGGAAATTTACTTTGAGAAGGTGAAAAAAGACAAAGGCAGAGGCTAGTCCATCGGGTTGGGGCAGTGGGTGTGCCGGAAGGCTCAAAGCAGAGCAGAACCCTCTTAGCGCCATTACACCACAGCAAGCTTACTCTGCCAGCAACATGGAGGAAGGAAACACAGTGCTCTGGACAACAGGGCTCTGTGATAACTGCTGGGGGTGCTGGCCAGGGGTTCTCTTCACGCTGGTGAACAAGCCTGTCAGTTCTGGTGTTTGTACTGCCCTTAGTCACTGGGAATCCAGAACAGCACAAACCTCTCTTAGGTGAAATCTATTCACTCTCCCATCCCCCTCCTTAATGCCTGTGTGGGCCCTGTCTGGGAAACATCTGCAGCCCTTGCAGCATAGAGGGAATGACAGTCAGGCTACTATGAACATCCAGCACGTTAAACAATACTGCATGTTCTAAGTTAATATGCTGGCATTCTGACCAAGACATCAGCCAGTCTGCAGCACCCACAACACCAAGTTAATAAAACTGCAAGGCGAAGAGCCACTCCCTAGACTGGGGAAACCCCTGCTCGTCCACCGGTGCTGCCATGGTCCTGAAGGCCAGCTCGACCTCCTCTCCAGGCAAAACCAAACCTCGCCATGTGCACCGTTACTGTGTGTGCGTGTTCGTGCCTTGCATGAAGAATTCAGACCTGGATGTGACAAGTTTTAATAATAGGAACAGTCACACGACCTTACAAACGTGGACGCTGAATAAATGTGTAATTTAATGGCAATACATTGAGTGGGAAGGATATGTGGACCTGGCCAGGGCCGGGAAGCGACAGATTTGCTGTCAAGAAAGAACGCTAGTGGAGGCTTGAGAAAGGACTGTAGAGAAAGAAGTCCCTCAGGCGCCAGGAAGGAGGAAGAAATGAAATTGCCCAAAGAGGGCGGGGTCATACAAATATTCTCAAAGTCTGCAGGGGTGGCAAAATGAGAGGCAGGGAGGGACTTCAGGGACGGAGGGTCTGCAGTGCTGGTGTTCAAACCAGCCCCAGCGCCACTGATCCAACAGGCTGATCCTTGGCTTTAAGTTCCCTCTTTCTGTTTCACAGGATGATGAAGACATTGCAATTACCTTTAAGAACAGCACGAACTTTTCAAATAAATGAACTAAAATGCATTTTGCTATGTTTTTAAAGAGGCTTAAATATTTAATTTGGATTCCACTTTTAAATATCTGAATTAAACAAAGCATGTGGATTTTATTTTCTGTGTTTGCTCTCAGGTATGCTAAGTATCCTCAGCAACATAATAGTTCTGGGCATTTTTGTCAAGTACAAGGAACTTCGGACACCCACAAATGCGATCATCATTAACCTGGCTGTTACTGACATCGGGGTCAGCAGCATTGGCTACCCTATGTCTGCTGCTTCAGATCTGCACGGAAGTTGGAAATTTGGATACACGGGATGTCAGGTATTGCAGAGCTAATGAAATGAAATGCAAAATAAAGCAGATGAAAGAGATGTGATGTAAGTGTCTGAAAAAAAACCCCAAAGGTTTCAATCAAGTAACACAGTGTAGGACACGGTGCTCCTATCGAAAACAACTTCAGGAGGGACTGGGAAATATGTTCTTGAAGAAGAGCTGAAATCACTACCATTAGATCTTCAAAATTTTCCCAACCTAAAGGAAAAACACTAACAAAACAATTAGTACTTAAGTAGAGAAGTAAAATTTTATATGCTTAAATAAAAATTTGCAAATTCAAGAATACCGTGCTCTTTCATTTGGAAACAATAAACTATTTAGTGACTATATCACACTATCTACAGAGGACAGTTTAGCTGTCATGCCAATGTTTTTTTTCTATGGAAAATCCTCCAGGAAAATTGCTATTATATACACTTACTATTATTTTCAATGACAAGGAAATAAATTAATATTAATTTGCATTAGGGTAGTAGACAATGACTTTTCATCTTTTTTTTAAAACGGTGCTATTTTAAGCTATAAAATTACCGAAAATAAAAAGAGAAGACTAGAGAATAATGAACACCATGTATGCACCAAGCCGTCTGACAAGCCTTAAATGTTTTACAATATGTGTGTCAGGTCGTCTTTCTTATGAAGGACTTTACAGACTGTTGAATGTCGCTGCCTACGACTCCAACCTCTCTCTCTTCTCTCCGTGGAGGCTTTCCATCTTACTACGTCCCAAACTAGATACTGTCTGAAAGTCTTAAATTTGTATAAGTATTATAGTTATATTACGTCATTTCCTTTCGTGGCTCATTTTTTGGTTAAGTGCCTAAGAGTGGAATTGCCTGGGTCATATAATAGATCTAATTTTAGTATTTTGAGAAACGTCCCTACTGTTTTGCATTGGGGCTGGACCAGTCCACACTCCCAACAGTGGATGAAGGTTCCTTTTTCTCCACACTCTCACCAGCATTTGTTGTTTCTAGTTTCTGCGCGGGCCATTCTCACAGGTGTGAGGTTGCAGCTCACTGTGGTTTTGACTTGCATTCCTGCTGATAACTGATGATGAGCCTTTTTTTCATCTGCCTGTTAGCCAGATGGGTCTTCTTGGGAGAGGTATCCCAAAACACTTTCTGTACATCAGTTACAATTTGACAATAGAAGAGGTACTTTAAAGTCTAAAATAAAAAACATCCAATGCATTTAAAATATATTCTAGCAATGAGATAAAATGTAAACATTTCCTGGCAGGTCGTTTAGGATGGTGGCGTTTCTCCTATTTTGATTTTCAGGTTTATGCTGGATTGAATATCTTTTTTGGAATGGCAAGTATTGGGTTACTCACAGCTGTGGCTGTGGATCGATATTTGACCATCTGCCGTCCTGACGCAGGTACAGCACACTTCTCAGCTTTCTCAACGAATCCATGTCTTCCCGCAATATTACTCAACCCACATTCACTGTGAAATATGAATACAATCGCTTGCAGAGTGAGTCTTATTTCTCTAGTAATCACTGTGCAAGTTTCAGTGATTTCTTATGCTCCTACTTCTCCTCTGACTGACCCATTTATCATGCAGTTTTCAGTTTTAATTGTCATTTTTCCCCCCAGAATGTGAAGTCATGTAGATAGGTTTACATGAATGAAAGTGTTGTGCAGGGAATCTACTTGATAACAAGTGTGAATAATCAGTTAAAACAGAGTGAAGCTATGAAATGTCATCGCTGGGAAATGATGCCAATACTTATCTCTCTGTTCACAGGAAGCAGCAGGACCACCCACACTTACACCAGCATGATTCTGGGGGCCTGGACCAATGGCCTCTTCTGGGCATTGATGCCTATTTCAGGTTGGGCAAGTTATGCCCCTGATCCTACTGGGGCCACCTGTACTGTAAACTGGCGGAGGAATGACGCGTAAGAGACACACGTACACTTTATAATCGACCCCCAGCCAGCTTCTACTATCCTTTCAAGATGATCTGCTGATAAAGCACCCTCTGAGAGCTACGCAGCAAAAGCACAGTCACTGCAAGGATTTGCTTGCTCGTCAGTGCTGCTGCTCTCTATTTACCGGAAAAGGAGAATTTAGTTCATTAAAGGAAAATCAAGATTGCTCAGAAAAATAAGCTAAAAACTTCTAAATGTTGATCTCGATTTAAATTTTTTTCTGTATGGCCTCCCTGGTGGCACAAGGGGTTAAGACACAGCACTATGAAGCTATCCATAGCCACTGCAGCATGAGTACAAACCCCGGCCTGGAAACTGAACCACAAGTCACAACAGACTCTCCTGTCTCACCCGCTGCTCCCCTCAGCAGTGTGTTTCAGTCACTCTGCCTGTTCTGTTCCCCACTCTGTCTCTGGTGAATCCGCTCACCTCCCACACCTCTGGCCTGTACTCCAGTTCTTGTATGCATAAATAAATAAATCTTAAAAAAAAATATTTTTCTGTAAAGGGTAGAAAAATACATGTTAGGCTTTACAGGCCAGTCTGTCTGTCATGACTGTTCAACTCTGCCTGTGCAAGCAGCTTAGACAGCATGAAATGACAGTGTCTATAAAAGAACATAGTTTTGATAAAATTTTGCAAAGATAGGTGACAGGCTAGGTTTGGTCCACGGGCAACAGCCTGCCAACCCCTAGTCTAATGAGCTAAAAGTCAAACTTCCTGAGCTATTTCCCCCACTACCTCCCCTGGACCCTCCCCCATTAACCTCGGACGCTCACTCTGTTTAACACCCCCTAGTTTTTTTTTGTTTTTTTTTTAGTAAGCAAGCATCTTTATTTATTCTCTGTCTTCATCTTTTATTTTTTTTAAATAATAAATTTTATTTTTATATTCCCCATACAATTGCAGCCCCCCCATTCTTACCCCAATCCCTCCCCTCCCGCCCCTCACCCCCCAAAAAGTGTCTCTGGTTCATAGTTTTTTGTTGATTTTGATTTTCACTTTCTTATAGTTATTCATTTTCCTGGTCCCTTATTTAAGTTTTCTAGATTCCTGCTATGAGTGAGACCATCCGGTATTTTTCTTTTCCTTTCTGGCTTATTTCGCTGAGCATGATCCCTTCCAGCGCCATCCATGTTGCTGCAAATTGCATGTGTTTATCTTTTTTGAATGCTGAGTAATATTCCATGGTGTATATGTACCACATCTTCTTGATCCAGTCATCTATTTTTGGGCATTTGGGCTGTTTCCAAAGCTTAGCTATTGTAAACAGTGCTGCTATCAACATAGGGGTGCAGGTGTTCTTTGGAATTGTTTCTGTGTCCTTTGGGTAAATACCTAGGAGTGGAATTGCTGGATCCTATGGAAGCTCTATGTTTAGTAGGTCCAGAAATCTCCACACAGCTCTCCACAGTGGTTGGACCAGTTTGCATTCCCACCAACAGTGCAGGAAAGTTCCTTTTTCTCCACACCCTCGCCAACATTTGTTGTTGCTAGTTTTTTTAATATGTGCCATTCTCACTGGTAACACCCCCTAGTTTTTTTTTAAGTATTTTACTTTGCTGACTTCCCACAGCGAATGTCCAATATTTATTTGTGTCACTCTGATTTGCTTTACTACACATAATTCTCTTGAACTCCTTCCATTTTGCTGTAAATGGTGGCTTTTCCTCTCTCTGGCTGAAGAGTGTTCTACCGTGTGGTGTGCCACACCTTCCTGATCCAGCCTGCTAGCAGGGGGCACTGAGGTTGTTTCCATGTCTGAGCTACTGTAAATAGTGCTCCAGTAAACACTATAGAGCACACAGCTTTTTGATTTGATAGTTTCACATACTTTGGATAAGATGCCAAGAGTGGGGCTGGGAGGACATAGGGTATTTCCACTGCCAGTTTTTTAAGGTGAATCCAGATCACTTTCCCGCTTTCCACATGGCTACACCAGTTCACGTCCCCCCACCATTGTAACAGGGTTCCTTTCTCACCGCCCCTCTCCAGCACTCTGGGTTATTTACAATGTAATGACTGTTGGATGGTGTAGTCTTACTCCTGATAGGGAGCCCCTTATCCTTGCACTCTGCAGGACGATGCCCGTAGTCATTATTCCCTCCTCTTGTTTTCAGCTCTTTTGTTTCTTACACGATGACAGTTGTTATGGTCAATTTTATTGTGCCCCTGACTGTGATGTGTTACTGCTATTGGCAAGTTGCCCGGTCCATCAGCTGCCACACCACTCATCCCGACACTGAGTCCCTCGACAGAGACTGGCTGGATCAGGTAGATGTGACAAAGGTAAAGCGTTAAAATCCTTATAAGGTGCTTGTAATCAAGTTTTCACACACACACACACACACACACACACACACACACACACACACACACTGCTCTTGGTCCCTGCAGTCTCTCTTCCCCACCCCCGATTCTTGCTCTCTTTTTTCTGGGCTTTGTCTCTCTATTTCTAATGAAGTGCTTATCTCCTGTTTTGGATAATTTCACTTGCTATTATACATTTCCTGTATAAGAGCCCAAACTTTCCTAGTCTTGTACCTCAACCCTTCTCTCGCCTCATCTTGTCAGCAAAAGCTAACAGCTTCCAGTTAGGTAAAGAGCTGACCGTACGCTGTTGGGATCACAGTTCTGCTCGTCACAGCTCTCTGCAGGGTTCTACTGTTTGTGGTTCATAGACATTCACTTCCTCTCTTTCTCTTTGTTCCTCCCTCCTCTCTCTCCCACTTTATTTCTCTCCCTTTGATCCCTCTCTCTGTAGTTTTAATTACTTACTGTCAGTCATTCATCTCTGAACTCTCCACCAGAAGTGCTGATGTCCTCTCAGTATTTTCAAACACACACCAGTCTAGGTTGACCCTATCTGCTTTGTGAGGCAATGCTCCTGGCAGCCTCAGGGCCCCTGTGCTCTCTATGCTGGCTCTTCTTTTAGGATGCCTGCCCAGGAGCCTGTGTCGGGGGACGGGTGTGTGTGTGACTAACATTCAAGAGACTGCAATAAGGAAGCTGCTCTACTACCTAGGAAGCCTCAGCTAGTTTTAATTCAAAAACAAAAAACAAAAACAAACTGTTGCCTACTCTGATTCTCACTCCTGTGGGGAGTCTGCCTTCTTAAACCTCTTTCCCATAATCTTACTGGGCAATCAGGAGGGACCACTGTAAAAATCATAAATTTTCATTTAAAGAAGCTGAGAGGGGAGTTACTTTACCAAACTCTCTGCACTGTACTTAGGATGTATCAAGCTCAAAGGGGCTGTTGCGGAATTCAATTAGCTCAATGTAAGATTTTGGTTTGTAGAGAGTCATTTCCTTAGACTGGCAGATAATGACAGTGGGGGAAGAAGGCAAGGCCAGGGGTCACGGAAGTGGGTAGGAGTGCACTTCACCTGCTCTCAGTAAAGCCACCTTTGGGATAACGCCCAGAGTTCAATGAGGGAAAAGTTCAGTTTTCGCTTCATGTCAGCAATGATATAAATTCATTCCAATTCCAATCTAGTTGATTTTTCATGCTATTTTAGACTCACCGGGTACTTAGAGACTTTAGACACTGGTTTGGTGAGTACTGGCTTCTTTTGCAGATGTCTGGGATGATGATACTCATGTTTCTGGTGGCATGGTCCCCTTATTCCATCGTGTGCCTGTGGGCTTCTTTGGGTGACCCAGAGAAGATTCCTCCCTCGGTGGCCATCACAGCTCCACTGTTTGCAAAATCCTCTACATTCTACAACCCCTGTATACATGTGATTGCTAATAAAAAGTAAGTAACGTCTAAAATGCTCCTGAATTAAAAAAAAAAAAAGGATAAGAAATAATGTTAAAAAGTCACTGAATAATGTTCTAAGACTTTTTGGGGGGTAAGTGACAGACAGTGATTTCAAACTACAGCAAGGGCTCCTTGACTCATGCATCAGGCCTTCAAATGCCCAGCGCTCCAGTTCTGTGACAGGCTCTTCCCAGATGGAAGCAAGATGATGATGGGCACCCAAAACCCAGGTTGTATAAGTTAATCACCCCCAAAGGTGAGTGTTTCATTTCAGATGGCTCTCTGGAAGAATGCTCCTGGAAGGCTGTTGGTGGGCTCAGTTTGGTTTGCACAGTTACCCCGCCCAAAATACATGGAATCAGGTTTCCAAAGGCAAGTGTGCTACTACTGTGGTGCATGGTTGCATGCTCACTGGAAAGAAGATCTATCACTCAAATGAGAGAGAGAATTCCAGAGCTGATACAACGGAGCAAGTAGTAATTCAGGATAATAAAGAACCCTCACCTTGCCCCTTTGTCAAGACTCTCAGTGAAGATTTTTCCCCTGCTCCTCAATGGAACTTAAACTATTTCATATCCAGTTATTGCTGAATGCTGAAAGAACCCATCCACTGTGCTTAGGTACTTGACCAGAAAAATCTCAGCAGAGGTCAAGTAATTTGACCCTAGAATGCCCATGTTGCTTCTGTTAAATTTATATATCTGTGCACATGGAAGAAAACAGCTTTAGCTACAGGTATGTAAAGAAACAAACACTTTTAAGATAAGACAAAAGAGACCACAGAAGAAGAAAAAACACATTTCAAATTCAGTCTACTGGTAGTTCTTCTAGTAAGGTCAATCATTTGCAAGTTCCCCTTAATTTCAATCAGCTTTTTGCTCAGTACAGATGCATGAAATACCTATTTCTGCTATAATAATCAAAACGGTATGGTATTGGAACAAAAACAGACTCACAGACAATGCAATACAATTGGCAGCCCAGAAATAAACACACACCTATATGGACAGGTAACCTATGGCAAAGTATATATTGTAAAAAGGAAAAGTCTCTTTCAAAAATGGTATTAGAAAAAATGGACAGTCACATGCAAAAGAATGAAACTAGACCACTAACACCATACATAAAAATTACCTCAAAATTGATTAAAGACCTAACACCTAAAATCATAAAACACATAAAAAGAAAATAGGCAAAACACTCCATGACCTGGGCTTTAGCAATGCCTTTGTGGATTCACAGCAAGAGAACAAAAGAGAATATAAACAATTGGGAATTATATCAAATCATAAAGCTTCGGCACCAGAAAGGAACAGTAACTAAAACAAAAACACACCCATCTGAATGAGAGAAAATATTTACCCATCATAAATAATGACAAGGAGCTGATGTCCAAGATCTACAAAGAACTCACACAACTCAACAGAAAGAAAACAAAGAACCCAATCAAATGATGGGTAGAAGAGTTAAACTGTCACTTATCCAAAGACGACATACAGATGGCCAACAGGCAGATGAAAAAAAATGCTCAACATCACTTACCATCAGGGAAACACAATCAAAAACCACAAAGAGATGCCATCTCATACCTCTGAGAATGGCCCATATCAAAAAGACCAAAAATAGCAAGTGTTGCCAATGACGTAGAGAAAAGGGAACTCTTTTACACAGTTAGTGGGACTGTAGACTGCTCTAGTCCCCAGGACGGAGGTTTCTCAAAACATAAAAAAATCAATCTGCCATATGATGCAGCAATGCCACCCCTAGGTTTCTACCTGAAGACTCTAAAAACACTGATTTGAAGGAATGGAAGCACTATGTCCACTGAAGGACTACTTACGATAGCTAAGTATGGACACAACCCCAGTGCCCAAAGACAGATGGGTAGATCAGGAAGATGTGGTCTTCCTGATGGAACACAATGGACTACTACTCCATTATTAAAAAAATAAAAATAAAAAACCATTGCCATTTGTGACAACTTAGATGGCACTGGAGGGAGTAATCCTAACCAGAAATCCTAGGGAGAAAGACAAATACCAGATGGTAGCACTTACATGCAGAATCTAGAAAAATGAAATAAAGGGTCAGATGAAACCAAACATGTAACAAACCCCAGAAATCTGACTGTAGAACTGAGACTGCCAGAGACAGTGGGAGAGGTAACAGAGGAGGAACACCGTGGGTGTCTTGGTAGTGACATAACCTGAAAGATGTGTTCCTATACTTCTAAATCTAAACCAGCGCTGCCTCAAAGAAACTTAAAGACTTCAAAAAGAAAGTATTTATGAATTTTTTAATTCTTTAAATACAACGTCACATAGAATTAGAGACTGCATGGTCTGACCTATATATAATAGACTGCTGTGGGTATGAATATTTAAAAAAAATCCCCTGTTCAAATAACTCAATTATTGAAGTTGACATTAGAAGCATCATTTTAGACACATAATTATTGATTTGTATTATATGTCTTCAATGCTGATAACGTAGGGCACAAAACTGGCCTTTACTGTACCATGTACTTCACACATCATTAAGGTCCTTGGCAGATGCTAAACTGAGGTGCAGAAATTAACTTGCAGATGTCAACTGGTGGTAGTGGCATCTTAGCCTTATCTGAAAAGTGCTTTAAAAGTTCCAATTCTGGGGCCTCCCTGGTGGCACAAGGAGTTAAGTCTCAGCACTATGAACCTATCGGCAGCCACCGCAGCAGGAGTTTGATCCCTGTCCAGAGAGCTAACCCACACTGTGCAGCAGACCTCTCCTGTCTCCCCAGTGCTCCTCTCAGCAGTGTATTTCAGTTGATCCACTTGTTCTGTGCCCCTCTCTGTCTCTGGTGAATCCTCACGCACACACACTGCCCGCCCCCCCACCTCTGGCCCACACCCCAGCTCTTGTATATATAAAAAAAACTTTAAAAAAAAAAAAGAAAGTTCCAATTCCCCGAAGGATAATTAGATTTTTACTTTCTGTTACAGATTTCGAAGGGCAATATTTGCCATGTTCAAATGTCAGACTCACCAAGCCATGTCCGTGTCGTGTATTTTACCAATGGATGTATCTCAAAACCCACTGGCTTCTGGAAGAAACTGAAATAAGAGGAAATGAACACATTATTACAATATTTTATTTCCTTTTTTTTTGTAATGGTTTAATTTCATTTCAAATATGAGGCCATTTAGATTCAGTGCAGCCAGATTACTGTCTGTGTCGAGCAGACTGTAATTTCAAATGCAGCTCATGGTTCTTCTGCTTGTATGTTAGTTGCTGAATGTCCCTTTACTTTCTTATATAGAAATTTATTTCTCATCTTTGATGAATCCAGGCACAGGACATGAAGATCCTTTCTGCTTCTCCCTATCATGGCTGATATTTACACATTCTGATAATCTGGTGACTCACCCAGGTTCTTCATTAAACTAGAAGCAGTTGCTACTTTAATGTCAGAACAAATTAATAATAATGATAATAAATAGTAGTTGATAGGCTTTAATAAATAATCACTAAACTGAACTGTTGAATGTTCTCAGCTAGAATGGAAAACATTTTTTCACATTTACAATTTCAAAATTTAATGCAATTATTAAATTATATCATTGAACAAAAAACCAAATGAATATTAAGCTGTACTGTCTGTAAATCACATGCCAGCCAATGCACATGTATATTTTATGCAGCAATATAATCTCTATGCATATTACATATTCTCAGTTTTTAATTGCCTTTTTCTGTGTATCTATTTCCATATATTCGCCACTACAATCAAAGTGTGGAGTTTTTATAAGTATATTCTTCTTTATCATATCTTTCTTGTGTTTTATTTTACTGTGGCGACATCTAACATGAGAGATAGCCTCATGATAAATTTTTAAGTGTGCAAAACATTACTGGTGAATAGAGCTACAAAACTGTACAGTTGTACTTTACCTGAATAAACAGAACGTGGAAAAAAATAAAATAAAGGAATGAAAGAACCAACCAATAAGCTTCAACCCTTTCTGTATTTAATCCCTAAATCTTTGATTGTCCCTGCACATTCTCCATGTTATGTATATGGAGGTCGCTTTTTTTATTATTTAAATTTTATTTTCTGATAGAATCTAATCTTTCTAGAAGGTGCCCATTACCTGGGAAAAAAGCTTTGGATAAAACATGTTCATGAACAGACTTAAAGGCCTTCATTTTAGCAATGAAGGTGCCAAATGAGCTCTGGGTGCATGAGACAACCTAGGGGAGTCATAAGACAAGCTCTTGTCAGAGTATAAGCTCTGCATGTGAGGGGTGGGTTGAGGCATTTGCCTAAAAGATCTGTGAACTGGACTGGACTTAGTTTTTGGAGACAGCTAATATGTGGTGATGTTGATTATCTTAAATAATCATGTCATGTGCTGCTATCCTTAAAGTTAAGATTTAAAAAACTACATGTTACATACGTTAGTAAAAAATCAAATGCAAAAAGTCAAATCTGTGATGTGCTATTTCCTAACCTCTAAAATATGGCATTACTTTTAACGCTGTTTCTTCGAAGTGTAATGGAACTGCTTACATTTACAGAAGAGGGATTTAATAGGCAATTCCTTGCAAACCTGGATGTGGGCAACTGCAAAGATTGTCCTGACGTGTGTCTAATTTTCATTTCCCTTATGCTGAAGCCAAAGTCAAAGGCTGGCCAGATGGCTTCCCTGCAAGATACACTTGAAGGTTAAGTAACGACAGGTCTCAGCTAATCCCGCCTAATCTGCTGTTGCTATGCGGCCGCCCAGACTCCTCATACTCCACTTTCTGAATGCTTAGGATTTAGTTTCTATCTCTTGTTTCGATAGCCTCTATGGGAGCGATGCATCACCTGGTGTGTCTATGGGTTCTGCTCAGTGTCTTGGAAGGAGTGAGCGGCATGTGTCCTTCCCGGTGTGCCTGTGATGGCAGCTCGGACCACGCAGGAGCCAGGTACGCCCTCCCCACCCCAGCTAAGTGTCCCTGTGATTCCCAGGAAAAGGACTCCAGCCAACCTGCCTTATTTTCAAAGCAAACTGCCAATCAGTAATCAGCGGAGGGAAGGTCTCGCTGACCTGAGCTTGGACTGTGTTGGTGTTGTCGGCCCACTTCCACGAGGACTCCCCTCTGAGTAGCTGAGCTCCTGAAAGTCTCTCACGTTTTTTGAGACTTTCAAGCACATTTTGTGTTACAAAAATAGCCACAGTGCTCAGCTTCACAAGACGTCCTTTTCGGGCAAACCACTGAGATGAGTGTGATGGGCTCAGCGCGAGCCCACGGAGAGGACACAAGAGGGGCAGGGCCCTTTGGGAGTGTGACCTGCGGGCCCACCTGCTTCCGGGTTTTCCATTTCATTCTAAGGGTTATTCACGCCACTTGGATAGACCAATGGAAGTGGGAGGAGGACCCAAGAGCAAAGTTAGAGGGGTTTATAGATGACATATTTTCATTTTTTAGATAATGGCATCAACAATGAAAGCCAGGGGTCTACCCAGTCTGTGGCAGCCCCTGGGGGCTTTAACATCTACCTGTGATGTGAGAACAGTGATCTGAAATATGCCTCTTGTTACTACCTCTTGTTTGTTAAACACGGAAGGCATCTTGGTTTTTTGAGGATATATTTAATAACGATCATTTCTTTTGTGACCTGGTTGAAGCAATCAATGAGCTTCTTCAAGTAATTTGTGGGGAAAAAAATCAGCCAAGTTATATCCCCTAACTCTGAACAAATAACATATTCTTGAGTAGTTTGCGTTGTGATATATAAATTCTACTTAGCCCACTCGTGATATCTTATCACAATCACTAGCTGGCTGAAGAAACTGAGAACATAAAAATTTAAAGATAAGCCACACTTACTGGTGCAGACCAGAGCACTTTTGAGAAAATCCTCTCAGAACCTTTCCTTCTCCCCATCATTGACGGATTTTATAAAAAGCAAAGCGTATTATGCCTGGCAAACGCTCTAGAGACAACCTAGTTCGACCACTGCCATTTTATAATGGCCCGTCCGGGGCCAGCGCACACAGTCCCCACAGGGACTGGGGTGGGGGGACAGGCAGGACTTGTGGCTTCCCACCCAGGTTGCCCCCCAAGACTGCACCTGATATGCTGGCCGAGTGGGCAGACTCTCCTCTGTGCTTGGTCACGCCACATAAAGCGGCTCTTTACTCTGGATGCAGAGTAGAAAGAAGAGAAAGAGGCAAGGCTAGAGAATTCCACTGGTTTCATACCATCTTCTCCTACATGTATAGAGGGAACGAGCTACGGCACAGCACAGCTTTGTGCTGCCCACCTCTTTCCGTTGTGGCTGGCGTTTAATTGCAGACTTAATATGAATGGCGGTTTCACTGTTCCTATTTACACATGTGTAATGTACTGTAATTCAGATGATGCTTTGTAAAACTTTTTAGGGCTCATTTTCAGCAATCCAGCGGGGAGAAGGACATGATGAGAGATAAAAAGATCATTCATTGCTCAGGTTGAAATGAATCTAAAATCCCTGCTCCTTCATAGTTTGCACCTACACATGGGGACAGGCTTGCTTTCTCTGCCTGTTTTACCATCAAATAAGATCACCATGTGCGTAATTCAAGGTCATTTAAGTTAGTGAGTTAAACTCAGTTTCTGGCTTATTCTTTAGGCAAGAGCAACGCACAGGTCACAGCGTTCAAACAGACACAAACTTTAAGGGTCTAGTGTGAAACCATGCTTTCTTCTGCCCCTCCTCCCGTCTTCCCTCTATGATAGTGCGAGAATCCTCAGAGCCCTGTGCATATGTCCGTTCAGTCTGTTCCACACTCTACACCTCATGTCTTATCCCCTGAGCCCTGGACTGCTGGTGCCCGCTGCACCACAAAACCCACAAACAAATCTGAAATACTGTTACGTGAAGAGGATGTCAGTTCTTGACAGACGAAAATAAAGAATTTCTCCTTGTTTCAAGAGTAGCCTAGCAGAGACAGAGCCAAGATTACCAGAAGGAGTGTCCTGTTCTGTATCTACTCGTGAGACATTCTTCCACCAGTTCTGTTGACTGAGATCAAAAACAACTATGAAGTCCAAGGAACAAAAAAGGGGGGCAGGACAGCGGCAGAGAGAATACGTTACCCCGGGATGGACGGTGGGTGTGTGCTAGAGTGCACACATGACTTGAGAGCACAGGCACAGAAAAGCTTGGTTCAAGCATGCCATGCAGAGAAGCAGAAGAATCAGAAATGGGATTGGAAAAGCAGGTAAATTATCATACTGTGAAGGACTTTTGATTCCAAGGTGAGAAACTTTTCCTATTTTGGTGGGAAGCAGAAAGCTTCCCAACAATTATGAGCAGGGGGCTTATTATGATCGGAATTGCTCTGAGAAAGTCTAGCCATGAGCTGAGACAGATGGAAACTGGAGGAAACAAGGTGGAAAGACTCACCATCACAGCAGTCTGACTGACCAATACAAGCAGCAAACTTAAGGACAAAAGGAGGAAACCTGCACGGCATATCTGACTCCTGAGCTGACTGTCCCCGCTGCCCAGCATTAGCCCTAGGCCGACAGCACCGCACAGGTCACACGGTGAAAACAGAGACTGACTCTGAGCACCTGCCTCCTCCTTTTCTCTCCCTCCTTCACTCCCTCCCTCCTTCCTTCCTCTCTACTAAAGTGATCCTTTCAGAAAGGATCAATTTATAACCTCAGCAAGGGATTCTTTTCAACTGGGATCTCGCCTAAAGGGGCTAAGAACATGCATTTTGGATAGACATGGGCTTGAAAGGCACCTCTGTAACCCACTAGCTATGTGACCTTGGGCCCATCTATGTGGTTGGTCGGCCTCAGTTGTTTTATCTACAACAGTGAGATCGACAATGGCATCAGCAAACACCTCTCAGAGCTTAGTATGATCATTTTACATCCATGTCAATTAAGCAGCCTAACAGAGCCACATGGGGCAATGAGGTTCGGAGAGTAGAGAAGTGGCCTTCATTGCCACAAAGGAGTCAGAGATTGGATCTGAACCCGGGGGGCTAGTCTGTAGAGCTGTAGAGCTAGTCAGCTGACATTAGGTCGAGCCACATGAAACTGATGGTTTGATCATTTTTGACTTACGAAAACGATCACATTATATGGCTTAACCCAGACAACGAGGATGAATTACTAACGAACAGGTTAGCTAAGCTGAACAGACATTCTGAAAAAAACCAGTAAGGAATGAAAACTTGATGCATGTTTCAAATAAGTAGTATTTCTTCAAATGGGTCTTGAAAAGCAAGCTTCCCCCTTGCCCCGTTGTGCTGCCAGGTCTGTGCTGTGCAATGACCCGGATATGACCGAGGTCCCCACGAGCTTCCCCGTGGACACTGTGAAGCTCCGCATAGAGAAGACGGCCGTGTACCGAGTCCCGGCAGAGGCCTTCTACTACCTGGTGGACCTCCGGTTCCTCTGGGTGACCTGCAACTCCGTGGCCAGCCTCGAAACCAGAAGCTTTTACAACCTAAAGCAGCTGCATGAGTTGCGCTTGGCTGGGAATTCTCTGGCTACCTTCCCTTGGGCGGCTCTGCGGGACTTGCCCCAGCTGAGGACCCTGGACCTGCACAATAACAGACTAGGCAGCGTGCCAAAGGAGGCCATCAGGCACCTGAAGGGCCTCGCCTACTTGGATTTATCAAGCAACAGACTAACCACACTGCCGCCAGATTTCCTGGAGAGCTGGTCACACTTCCTTACAACATCGTCTAGAAGCCTGGACCTTTCACCAAGGAGAATGATTCTCGGTAAGCTGAGAAGCCAGGGCTCCTCGGGGCCAGACGGTTTGTTCCACGTTCCTTCAGTCATGCTGCTTTCTCAGGCCTATACTGGCACTTACGATGGAATTTTGATGCAACTTTATAGATAATCTAGGGCAATTTTCCCACCCACTCTGTGTAAGGGTGTGTGTGTGTGCGCGCACCACAAAGGGCTGGTCTCATCAACTAAGACGCTCTAGACAGTAGGTAGCCTGGAGACATGGTCTACCAGCCTGCCCCATCGTGAGCACGTGGACAGCACCCCTCACCAGCCACATTCTCCTTTCAACACTTCATCAGAAGTGGGGGAGCTGGGACTTGAATACAGGCCGTTAGTTCCAGCGCCCACACTGTTAACGCCCCACGCCTTTGTAACACCGGGGATGTAATAACACCAGGCTTATTTCCTCGTATATAAATTATTTTACTAATCTCTTTATATCATGTATTTACTTAATAGGAAAAAGAAATTATGAGCAGTTTTCCAATTACTCCTTGTCTCTTCTACATGAGCAAAAATAACAACTTCATACAGTTACCTTTTCACGTGGCCATAAAAACATACACCGGTATCCTGCGTTAACTCTGACACTGAATTAGATTTTTGATTGGTAGTACAGGTGAATTTCCATGACCTGTTTCTCGAGAATGAGCAAATATTTACATAGGTAGACTCCATAAAGACTAAGACTATTTATCTTGGAGGAAAAGCCTGCAGTAGGAGAGGGCATGAAATGCCTTTTTTGGGTGCTTTTTACTGCAATTAAGTTAGCACAATTCTAACAAGGATGCCTCTCGTATTCAGATGGAGTTTGCCTGAAGGAAAGTGGTGGCCACAGAATTTTCTAAAATGACATCAATTTAGTTCAACCAATCCCCCTTAATCTCTGTGTGCTTCCTCTGGAAGGCCCGGAGGAGACAGTCCCACATGGTGAAGGCAGGAGTCCCTGGCAGTAGGTGCCCATGTTTTAGCTATCGTGAATAAAGCTGCTGTTAACATCCATGTACAAAGCTTTTTTTTAGCAAGCTATCATTTCTCTTTGGTAGATTTCCCTGATTGAAATTGCTAGATTGTAGGATGTCTATATATATAAACGTTTTTAAAAAATTGCCAGTTTTGGGCCTCCCTGGTGGCACAGGGGTTAAGTCTCAGCACTATCACTGCTACGGCCTGAGTTTGACCCCCAGCCAAGGAGCTGACCCACATGGCGCAGCTGACCTCTCCTGTCTCACCCGCTGCTCCCCTCAGCAATGTATTTCAGCAGATCCACCTGTTCTGCTCCCCACTCTGTCTGGTGAATTCTCTCACCCCCGGCACCTCTGGCCTGCATCCCAGTTTTTCTACACAATAATAAAACAGATTTTAAAATATGGCCAGTTTTCCCAAGAGGTTGCACTGTTTTCTACTCCTACTACCACTGTGTAACAGTCCACCTGCCCCATCTCCTCACCAACACTTGATGTTGTCAGTCATTTTGCATGTCAGTCATTCTTGGGGGGGCGATCAAGGAGCAGTATTATCCTGTGATTGCAATTTACATTTCCCCCATGGCTAGAGGTGTTGATCACATTTTCATTTGTTTATTGGCCATTCGTATTTATTCCATTACAGTATTCTAAGGTTGGTTGCCTTTCTATTATTGAACCTAAGTTCAACTGCAGCTATATGCAATGATGTGGTTTGTCTATTTATTTCCTTCATGGTATCTTTAGTAAGAACATTTTAAATTTTGATGACACTTGACTTACCAGCTTTTTCTTCTATAGTGAGTACTTTCTGTGTCCCATGGAAGAATCTGCCTATCTACAGGCCGCAGGAAGTCTATTTTGTTTATAGTTTTAGCTTTACAGTCTTATCTTTTATGTTTATTATCATGATCGATGTCAGAAAAGTTTTTGAGTATAATATGAGGAAGGGATGAGGTTTGATTTTTTATTTTCAAACAGCAATCCAGTTGTTCCCACATGCTTTATTGAAAAGACTTCCCTCACCCACCTGAACTGTGAAACCCCACTGCCTCCACAAAATTGACAAAGGCATGGGCTTTGCTTAAAGAGCTTTTCTGCAGAATAACATTTTTTTTTAAAGATTTATTTATTTATGCAAAGCTGGGGTACAGGCCAGAGGCATAGGAGAGTGAAAGAATTCATCAGGGACAGAGAGGGGAGCAGAACAGGCAGATGACCAAAAACACTGCTGAGGGGAACAGTAGGCAAGACAGGAGAGGTCTGTCGCACCTTGTGGGTATCTCCCTGGCCGGTTGGGAATCAAAACCACACTGCAGAAGCTATGGACAACTCCACAGCACTGCGCTCAACCCACTGTGCCACCGGGGAGGCCCTGCAGAGTAACTTTTATAGGGGAACTTATTGCTGACTTTTCACAAAAAATAGCTCATTTAATCCAATTGCTGTAGTGCACAAAAAACATTACCTTTTTTAGAAAAGGGATAAGGCAAAGTTCATTTGCCCCTATATGAGAACAGTTATGTAAAATAAATTAATTATCGCAAATTCCAGTGACTGTGGTTGGTGTGTTGCTTTGAAGGAATGTAGACCAAGTAACAATTTAACTTCAGAGAATTCTTGTCCCTTTGTCCTCAGAAGAAAAACCACCTGATGAATATGTTCAGCCCTCAGGTCATTACTATTACTCAGGCTTTAAAAGCTGTACTTTAACCTGAGATGTTTCGAAGCTGGGATAGGTAAACATTTTATTTTTGAGGAACTTAAAAATATTTTCCTGGTTTACATAAATTTTAGGGAGAAGCAACTGGATTTTTTTTTTTTAAGGATTTTGCTTCACTGTTAACACATATTTATAACAGTTTGCAACAGTTTCAAAGCATGAATAAAACCATTAATTTACAGCTCTTGAGTCTTTCCCAGCTCAAGGACTTTCAAGTCCTTGCTTAATGTCACTGATATGTTGAGAGCTTCAAGGTCAACATACAGATAGAGGTTCAAATCCCGACTGTATACTGTTGTGTGACCTTGGGCAGATCGCTTAACCTCCCAGAGTGCTGGTGAGTGATTTTATATTCTACCCGCATTGGATCGAATATTTGCTGTGAAGCTCTTTAACTTTAGAATTTGGGAAAGGCTGGAAGTAAGAAATGATTTTCACAGGCAGCAGTGCTAACACTCTAGAGATATCTGTAGCTGGGATATTGATGTCACCAAATGCTCACTACTGTCCATGTTAATGACAGGTGACACGGTTGCTACACTTGTGCTGCTCCCTCTCCTCTACTAACCAGTAACATTTTGCTCACTTTCTTTAGGCTCTCCCTGACAGTCACCTTGAAGGTAGAGTTCTGAAAGTTGAGACAGATCTTGAAGGCACTTGCAACAAAGGGTGTCAGCTTCTTGCATTCCTTGCTGCTGATTATTGAGGGGAGATCTGAAGGAGTGTACTTCCATGGCCACGACACATAGCATTCATTCCAAGCCCGATGAGCCTCTGCCAGTCTTTCCAACCTCCTGACAATGCCTCCATCTCGCTCTATGAGTTTCCTATACAGTACATGTACTACCTCAATATGTCTTCAAATTACACAAAACCATGACACATTTCTAGTTGAGTTAGGTGTCTTGACACCCTGTAACACAAGAATATAAATACGTTTATAGCTTCCTAGAAATATCCCAGATCACTATTCTTTTGTTTTCCTGGAAACAAATTTGGCTCTAACACTGATTTGGCTATGCAACTGGTCAAGCTACCTGGTTTCTGTCTCAGCTTCTTCAGCTTTAAGATAGGGATAATACTTTCCTGCAAACAGGATTACTGTGATTACATGCATTAATACAGGCAAGTGCTTCGAACAGAGTCTAGCACAGAGTGAATGCTCAGTAACTGTTAGCTATGATCGTGAATGGTCTGAGCTGTAAGAACATGTCCATCCAGCTGATGGGATGGCAGAGCCAAATGGACAGACATGTGACTCCATTTCATCCCTCAAAGCACTTATGTTTTAGGGATGGTGCAGATACCTCCTAACCAGATGTAAACCAGAATAACCTTTCCCAAATCCTTTCCTCCTCTGGTTCAGGTTTGCAGGACAACCCTTGGTCGTGTGACTGTCATATTTCCAGAATGATCGAATTGTCAAGAGTTGCTGCCCCTGCTGTCGTGCTCCTCGACCCACTGATGGTGTGCAGTGAGCCTGAGCACCTGACAGGGATTCCGTTTCAGCAGGCTGAGCTGGAGAAGTGTCTGAAGCCATCAGTGATGACCTCGGCCACCCACATCACCTCTGCTCTGGGCAGCAATGTCCTGCTGCGATGTGATGCAACTGGCCACCCCACCCCACAGCTCATGTGGACCAGAGCCGACAGTGCGCGTGTTAATTACACAGGTGTGTTTTCAATTGGAGACTTATGAAACCAGGGGTTCTCAATGACGGAACTCAATCTCATGTTTCTGGGTGATTTGCAATAAGGCTGGTTACTTCCAGTAAGATATACCAAGATAGTTAGACGCAAAGAATCTGAAGGAACATTTTATTGGCTAATGTTTCTTTCCCCACTTTTACTACTTAGATGAAATCAATCTACTTTTGTCTTGGATAGAAAGGAACACATAGCAGCGAATGAATGGTTGCAGATGAGGCCTTTGTCTTGTTCATCCCAGATCCAGCTCGCTTTAAAATGTTACAATTCTCATAAAAGGGATGTTCTACAAGTTTCTCATTTTAGAAAGGTGATTTAAAGAATAGATTGCACAGGCCTTATTATGAAACAAAAAAATCTAGTTTTAGAAGAGCAAGCACTGGTGAGCACCCGGGGACCACCACCCCACCTTGACGGAAATGTTCCGAGACATGTGGGCATCACAGTGCTCCGAGACACTCCCTTTAGTCCACAACTAGCAAGACCTCCATCGCTCAACCGAGCTCCTCAACATATCACGATATCACCGGAGAGTCACACGTCTGCGGGTGCTTGTGCACGGGGTCCCACCTGCTTGGTGGCGGTGGAGGGGGGACATACGACACGTACATGCAGCTCCTGGCTACCTCTGGGGGCTTCCTGGACACCCCGCCAGCGCATGAACACCTGCATCCTCACCTGCACGACCGGAGCTGCTGTGGCGCCCGACCCTGGGCACACGCTCCAAGTACAACACCCTTCTCGGCGCCTGCAAGACGTCACTCACGGCTGCTGCAAGCCCAGTGCCAAGGCCGGAGTCCTTTCTGAGCTTCGAAGCCGCCGCAGAACCGTCCCTTCCAAGTATAAGGTCAGCCGAGGCGAGGTCTGCCTGCGACCACGCGAGGTGGACATGCTCACGGCAGCACTGAGCATGCGCACTGAAGCGCCGGGCATGCGCACTGCGCCTGTCAGGCATGCGTACTGCAACCCCTTCATGCTGGCGCATGCGCGCTGCGCACGTCCCGCCATCACTGCGCGACGCTTCCTGGGGTTTGTGGACCGCCCCAGGGTCCCAGCTGTGGACCCTGGAGGCGGGGGCAGGGGCACTGGAGGTGGGGGTAGAGGCGGACGTGGAGATACAGACCCACGCTGACAGATCCTGCGGGGCTCACGCAATCTCTGGCGAAAGCACCTCTAGGGCTGGCACCTGAGCCCCCGTGTGCCCAAGGAGACGGTGCACTGGCTGCCCACCCAGGTCCGCCTGGAGCCCTACGGCAGCCACAGCCACCCAGTTTAGGGGTTGGGCCAGGAGGAATCCTTCACTGCTCAGATCAGGCCTTCGATGAGGTGCCATCTGCTTCCCAGACTGGCCTAAGGGTTGCACTTGGAGGCTGGAGGGAGAGAGGTCAAATTGCAGGGGGAATGCAACGCTTCCACCAGTGCCCCCCTGAGTTCCCAGGATGGACTGAGGGACAGCCCGTCTGCTCTCCAGCCACCAGTGGACACACTGGCTACCTCCTGATAGGTGGTGTGATTGAGGGGCCCAGAAGAGAGAGGGGTGCCCATGCCCCAACCCCCACCATGGCCATCCCTGACCAGAACCAGTGGAGGGGAGTCAACCAGCTGGTAACTGCTGTGTAGGAGTGGAGGCTCCCTTCCACTGAGAGACCCCAGGATGTGTTCTGCTGCATTTTAGGCCGTTATATTTCAGCTTGAGTTGCATGGTGGGTGGGAACACACACCTCTCCTACACAGGCCCTCCAAAGCACTGCAGGCCAAGTGGGGAGACCCTCTTACCCACGACATGAAGTTTATGCCCTTTTTCTTAAGGTTTTTAAAAATAACATTTTACTTACTGCTCTTTTCAAATCCCTATAAAACTGGTTTAAGGAACACTCATTACCCCTTTTGTAATATTCGCCCTCGGTCAAGTTGTTTGTTGTTGCTGCTGTGTTTTCTCCCTGTCATACCTTTGCTGTTTGCTTACCTGGGGTAGGAGCTGCCTGGTTTCTCCACTACTTGTGTGACTTCCAGTTGGTATCTGCATGTCAAGTCTGGGTGAAGGTGTTTGGGTCGAGTCACAGCTTTGTGAGGAGGGACAGAGCCTTGGCAGCTGGGGCACATGGGCACCACTTGCTGAATAATGTGCATGTCACAAAAATAAAAAGAAAAGAAATATCATTTACAAAGGTTTTGCAGATCCTAATATAACCAAGTCAATGTTCTTGTCTTAGTTTCAGCAGTGGTATTCTGATGATTCAAGGTGAAAGAATGAAATGATGACATTTTTTCAGAAGTCAATGCCTAATATCCTACAAATAGTAAGCATCTCATATGTAAGGTAGTGGAATCAGTGCATTGTTATTTTTCAGAGAGCTTCAGCAACTAAGACAGGATGGGAAAATATTCAGATGGGAGAGTAAATGTTCACTTTTCTAAAATCTATGTTATTCTACAAATAAAAGAATCCATGGTTTACGAGTTTATCTAAATTAAATATAAAATGGAAGATTGAGGTCACAAATTATAACTCCTGCATGCCAAAGAATGAGCTGTCATGCCTCCTGGCTATGTGGATAGATAGCATTTCATTACAATGAAAACTTATTGAAGGAAGTATTTCAGTCAGGTCTGCTGATAAATGTTTTATAGAATCACAGTGAGTTAAAATTAGAAGTGATCATCAAGATCAGGTTGTCTTATCTCCATATTTAAAAGGCCGAAAGACTTGAATTGACTTCTCTAAAATCACATGCTACCAGTGGACAAAAGTGTGCAACTCTTTTTAAAAGTCTCCAACTCTTTTTAAAAGTACCATTTCCTGGGCCTTCCCGGTGGCACAGGTGGTTGAGTGCAGCGCTGTGAAGCTGTCCGCAGCCTTTGCAGTACCAGTTCGATCCCGGCTGGCTGCAGAGATACCCACATGGTGTGGCAGACCTCTCCTGTCTCGCCCGCTGCTCCCCTCAGCAGTGTATTTCGGTCAGTCTGCCTGTTCTGTTCCCCGCTCTGTCTCTGGTGAATACTCTCACCCTCTTGCACATCTGGCCTGTTCCCTGGTTCTTGTATGTATAAATAACTAAATCTTTTTTAAAAAAATACCATTTTCCAGGCCTCCCTGGTGGTGCAAGGGGTTAAGTCTCAGAGCCATGAAGCTATCGGCAGTCATTGCAGCATGAATTCAATCGGGCCAGGGAGCTGACCCACACACACAGGGCGCAGCAGACCTCTCATGTCTCGCCCACTGCTCCCCTCAGCAGTGTGTTTCAGTCAGTCTGCCTGTTCTGCTCCCCACTCTGTCTCTGGTGAATCCTCTCACCCCTACCTCTGGCCTATGCCCCAGCACTTGTATGCATAAATAAATAAAATAAATCTTTAAAAAAATAAAAATACTATTTCCCTAAATCAGAAGAAAAAAGAAAAATATCAGATATCACTTGTAGGAAGAAGACAGGGAAACTGAACAAAGGGTCAAAAAAAGACAACATTTGTAGGCAACTTTACATCTGAGGCATACAGCAGGGCAGGGGGATGGAGGGGTCAAAACAGGGGAGGGAAGAGCAGGAGGGACTGTGGGAACAGATCACAGGTGATGTGGTAGTGGGAGGTTTACAGAGACTACACCTGAGGGGAGACATCAAATATTGTACAAAAATGAACAATGTAAGAAAATGAAAAAGTAATAAAAGAAACAATAAATAAACCATCTCCCATACATTGTGCCTAACATGACAAATCTTCATGTGAACAATTTACAGAATCCTCAGCAGCCTTCAAAGACACCACTGTGCCCCCTCCCTCTCGGCTGCTGCGGGAGGGGTGCATGGAGAACCACAGCGGCTTCCATTTCCATCAGCATGCTGCTTAAGTCTTTCTTCTTCTCATAGTGTCCTTCCTTCCCTTCCAGTAATTCAGGACTCTCCAGAGGAAGGCGTCCGGTGGTCCATAATGAGCTTGACAGGGATGTCTTACAAGGATGCTGGAGATTACAAATGTAAGGCCAGAAATTTGGCGGGGTCTTCAGAAGCTGTGGTGACTGTGACAGTGGTTGGTGGTGGCTCAACCATATCACCAAAAACATCCAAAAAAACCGGAGATCGCCTTGAGCAAGAGGTCCACGCAGGATCTGGAAGACCCACATCCATACCCGGCCCACCCTCCACTGCCTGGCTGCCTTCCTCCTCTGCGTCTTCCACTCCCCTTTCTCCGTTAACTTCCTATTCCTCGTCGCCTTTTTCCTCCTTCATTCTTTCTTCAGCCTCAACTCTAAGCACTAGCATCTCAGCAAGCGCCACCCTGGCCAGCAGGCTGTCCCTCCAGCATCCCCTGGATGGGAAAAGAAATGTCAAGGTGGAGAGGGGTGGACATAAGCTTCCCCCAGGCAGTAGCAGTAAAAGAGAAGAGCAGGCCCTGTCAGAGGAGGCGTTGCCTGTGGGGACGGATGCCGCAGTAGAAAATGTCAGGGTGACCAGCCAGACACAAGAGAGCGTGATGCTGACATGGAATGTGGTCAACCCCACACCTGACTTGGAGGTGACCGTGTGGTATTCCAAACACGGGGAGAAGGACCTGCTGCTGCTGAGCACAGACTCCAGCGAGAACCAGGTGACCTTGGAAGGCTTAGCGCCTGGCGGGCAGTACCTGGCGTGTGTCCGCCTGAAAGGAGCACATCCCCACAAGGACCAGTGTGTCACCTTTGTTACTGACGGTGCCGAAGAGGGTGCTCCAGGCTCCTTCCTCCTCGTGGTGAGCGCTGCAGCCTGCGGGATTGTCTTGCCATTGTTTTTTTTCCTGCTGTACAAAGTTTGCAAACTGCAATGTAAGTCAGACTCCTGGGAAGATGATTTGGCCAAAGAGACTTATATCCCATTTGAGACCCTGTCCCCCAGGCATCAAAGTGTAGGGGAACCTTGGACACGAAGGCACAGAGATGATTGTGAAAAACTGCTGCTTTGTTCTCGGTCAAGTGTGGAATCTCAGGCGACTTTTAAAAGTGAAGGTTCTAGACCAGACTATTAGTGCTGAGGTTTTATGGCTCCTCAGGTGCTTGTGACCTCCACAAAATATCTCCCACAACATGAAGGATCTAAGGATATAGCTGTCTGTCTGGATGACTTTTGGAGAGACTAAGATGAAAAGCACAAATAGAATGTTTTTTAGGTATATCCTAAAAAGCATCATGAGACTTCCTAACTGAAAAGACAACAAATCTTGATTTTGGTTATGTGGAAAATGTCCATAAAAATATTTTACAAGGTACTGCTTAAATAGTTAATGTTTTAGGGTAATTTTTGGTTCTTGAAAATAAATTTATGTGAAAATAGTTATAAACAGTGAACTCTGAATTTTGCTTTATTATATTTTTTAATTTTTACATAGAAGAAATGGGGTGTAGGCCAGATGTGTGGGGCATGAGAGGATTCACCAGAGACAGAGTAGGGAACAGAACAGGCAGATCTACTGAAATACACTGCTGAGGGGAGCAGCGGGGAGACAGGAGAGGTCTGCTGCACCATGTGGGTCACCTCCCTGGCCTGATTGAACTCAGGCATTCTGGTGATGGCCCCAAAACCACCAGGGAGGCTCAGAACTGTGAATTTTAAAATGGTTGTTATTTTGAGTGGTGAGCATAATAAGCAAAGCCTTGACATTCATTTAAGTTGAAAGTGCTTAAGGCATTTGCTGGGCTTGACCCTGGTGGAGAATGGGGTAGTGCAGAATTTTGTTCTCCCTGAGGTGAAATCCAAACCAAATGCAAAAAGAGGGCTCCAGCTCTTGGCACCATTAAGCATTACAGGACTGTGGAGTGTTTTCATATAGGTGAGCTTAATAGGCTCTAACTCTTGATTTGTTCTTTGATTTTATCAGGAACCTCCAAATGAAGGTTAACTGCTGGGCGAGTAAGTGTGAATAGCTCCAAGCAGTGTTGCATGTTGGAAAAACAAGAACAGAACTATCAAATGAGGTTCCACTTTAACATGAGTTTTTTCCAGAAAGATCTATTGGCCCAAATATTCAGTCTAGTCAGCAGGTTTACTCCTATGCCCCCTACCGTTGCTCTCAGGTACCTTCCTTGTCCTCACCAAGATGTGTTTGGATGGCTGTGGTGGAAAACAGGGGGTATCCTTGGATGTGAGACTCAGTTGCCACATGCCCAGTTCTCCCTGTGATGGTGGCATCTAAGAGCCACAAGCTAGCTTTGCTCTCTGGATGACCTGGGCATTCAGTGGGGTCTGCTTTGCTTCCCCTTCTTAGTGGCTCCATTTACTCCTAGGGTGGAAGTGACACGTCGCCATTCCCCTAAGGGACTCCTCAGAATTTTCCAAATGATCAAATGGGTTTTTAACCTTGGATTAACACGGTATTTGGGAATGACCAGCCCAAGGGAAAGGCACTTTACAAAACCATCAGCTTCATGGAAGATGTTGCTATAACTGTTTACCTGTGGGTAGATTTTTTTTTTTTTAGTCTTCATATGTGTACACACACACACACACACACAGAGGGAAGATGTTTTCCTTGGTTTCTTTTAACCTGCTAGTTACTCATTTCTTCACTCAACAAAGATACACTAAGTGTCCATTCTGTGCCAGCACTATCTCTATATTGACAAGATGTGTGGTTGGTCATGTGGTGGGAATCTGGGATGAGTAGCTCTTTGGAGCAGCTTCCTCTGAGATATTTCGCTTTCAGTGAAAATAAGCCAGTTGTCAACCAGTAATAATTTTAGACAGCCAGAGAAGTCCCAACACAAGCTTCCTCAGCTATACATGATTCTGAGTTAATTATTGTGCTTGATTTTTCCCTCACAGCACAGGAGTTCTTTGACTTAGGAACTAGACACTGAGTCTTGTTGTGCTACAAAAATGATTCAAACCAACCACATCGATCCCTTCAGATAAATGCCTCTTACAAATGTTTTCTGAATCTGGCATATCCTATAACTTCCATATAAATGATTTATCTTGAAAAGGATTTCTAGCAATTTCAGTCTGTGCTTTGGGTACTCTTCTCCATAAATTTGGGAGGTAGAAAAATTGTTTTTCCCCATAAATGCAAAAACCTTCAATTTGCAGCCTAAAGCCCTGCCTTTGCCTTTTAACCTGTAAACCAAATAATCCAGCTTTGACCTCACTCCCTCCGGGACTGTGTTTCGTGCCCTTCTGAGGATTCTGGCCATTTACATTTTGCTCAAAGAAAAGCAAATCATGAAACAAACCGTTCTCATCGAAGACTCAGAGGAGGCTGAAGAATACTAAATATCTAACATTCGCTACACATGAAACACAGCAAATGGAAATTTGTTTTAAAAATTCATCATACACCATTACTCCAGGGCTCATTCATTAACACTGTCAAAAATGACAAGCTTGATAGGAAGGGGTCGGAAGTCAGCTGGACAAGAAAGAGTGGTAAGTCACCTCCAAATATCCTCAAAAGGAACTTTGAAAGGCATGCTCTCGGAAATCTGTACACATTCATTAAAAGAATGGGTTGAAGGGGAGTTTGCTAAGTAGAAATATAAAATCTTCATATAAAAGACAGTATTGATTAAGCACACTTCCCCCAACACATACCTTGTTTCAATAATTATGTCAAATAAAATGCTTTCTTGGTAAATGTCAGAGAAAACCAGTCCTGTTGAAGATCAGTGTTTCTCTTCCCATGCTGGAAATGTTGTGTGTGCCATGAAACCTAATTGGCTAACAATGGGCAACATAGAGATTTGAAATTTTAAATCAAACATCCTTTGGAGAATCATTTTCTCTGTGTCTCAATTTTCAAATAGAGTGTACATTGTGGGCATCCTTAACACAACGGCACAGGTTAGAATGCAGAAAACTTACCTACAAGGTCTTGAATCCCAGATGGGATTCTGAATAGGAAAGTGTGGTTCTCCTGGAGGCAGAGGAACATTCTGAGGACACTTTAATATTTTTCTACTATTTTGATCATCAGTTTCCAAATCTTGATGTTTAAAGAGAAATCAATTACAAGAGCCTTAGAGTTAGAACAAAACAAGTGTGATTCATCTGGATTCCATCAATTAAAACTGCTAAACTCTTTCCTTGACTGGAATGAATTTTTAGCATTGCCTACTTGTAAAGAAAGGGTTGCTGAGCAAATCAGCATGAAAACATTTGCAGGGATCATATTACTTAAATGTTACTTAAAATAGCACTTTTTTTTTCTGTTCACATGAATTCAGAGGTGCAGGGTGGTAAGAGGATTCACCAGAGACAGAGTGGGGAATAGAACAGGCGGATTGCCTGAAATACACTGCTGAGGGGAGCAGCGGGCAAGACAGGAGAGGTCTGCTGCTCCATATAGGTCAGCTCCCTGAGCTGGGTATCGAAATTGTCCTGCAGTGGCTGCTGATAGTTTCATAGAGCTAAGACTTAACCCCTTGCACCACCAGGGAGGACCCTGTTTCTCTAACTTTAATAGGTATTTAATCCTCCAGGAATCTTTCATGCAGGTTCTTGCTCAACCTCTCTGGATGAGGCTTGAGAGTTTGTATTCTTTTTCTTTTTATTTACTGGAGCTGAGAAAACTTGATTCCAACAAGCTCCCAGCAGGCAAGACCACAGAGGTTTAGAAGCCCAGCTCTAGTGAGGCCCCCTGGTGGCTCTAAGTGTAGGGGTGGTTGACACCACTAGAGGAGAGGCTTGTTCCATGTAAGCTCAAAGAAACTTTTCCCTGGCTTTATGTACACCCATTCTGTGCAGGACTGTGATGCCATGAAATTGGGAAAAGGGCTGTACTCTGCTTTGTTTATAACTATTCTAGGCATTAGCCAACATTTTGGAAAACCTAGCTTTTGATGATAGCAGTCGAGGTGTTTGAGACTCTGATTCTATCCACAACTATCATAGCTCTTGACTCTGGTTGACCTCTGTAGGTAAGACTGATAGCTCAAGCGGTCTCTCATGTCTAGCCATGTGTAGACATTCATATCTCGATGTACATATTTGGTTTCCTTCTTTTACTTCTCATGTAATATAATTCAAATCATGATGATTTTGAACATATGTGGACAGGGAGGGTATTATCTGTCAAGGTAGTGCTAGGATATTAGTGGGGGAATTAGGTGTTGTCAAGTTGAAGTGTACTGAATTAGATCATGGAAGGAAGGAGAGTATGTAGCCAACCCAGGGCCAGGGTTTTTAGGTTTTAAGATCTGAACTTGATGCCCTTTAACTGAAAGTCAGTGACTAGCTTATTATTCCAAACTTAAGCAACAAAATCTTAAATTTTATAAAGGGGAAACCCATAATCCTACTGTCTGTTCAAATAAAGCATTTCAATTTTTTTCCTCCATCTGTTATACAAAATGATGAAATACTAGAATCATAACATAAATTAGATTTTGTATTTGTCTATTAATATTGTGGTAAACATTTCCCTTTAATTATACCATATTTTTATAATAATGTCTTAACTATTTGTTAAAAAAATAAGTTCAGAATAAGTTAAGAATAGCTTCTGTTAGCTTTCTAATCTTTGCTGCTATGAATAACATTATAGCACATATTAGCACGATTGTAACTTCTTTTTCCAGTGGAGAATTCATCCCTTGAGGGAGAAACTGCTAGGAGTGTGATTACATAGACATTTATGAATATTTTTATGCCTGTAAAATGTGATGCCAAATTGCTTGCTAAAAGGGTCACATCAAATGCAAGGTGGTTTTTAAGGTCAGACTTATTTTGATACAAGAGGAACAGAGATATCATAAACTAATAATTCATGAAGGGTGAGGAACAAAAGACATCATTTCCTAACATCTAGAAAATATAATGTAGGAATTGGGCCAAAGTATGTCAAGTTATGAACAGACCAGGCACTGACGACATTCATTACCATCATAATTATAAAATCGAGCCCTTCCTCTGGAAGTTACACTTTGGACAAACTCTTGCCCAAAACCCATGCATGATCAATCTCATTTTTTCTTTTTTGCCCCAGCACACATGAGTGCTAAGTCTCTAATTTTATAGACAAATTTGTAATATACATAAATAATATATATGTAATATATGTAATATACATAAATTTGTTATCTAGTTTGTTAGACAAATTTTATTTTGTAATTCTCCTGTAAGGATATGAAGATTACAGCTGGTTCTCCAAGTCCCTGAAAACAAAGTTCTTTTCCTTTTACTAAACAAGGCAGTTAGGTTGGGTGCATGGTCTAAAATGTTGCACTCAAGAGGTGTCCATGCACAAAGCCAGCACCTAATTCTGTTATTCTGGGTTTAGCAGACACATTTCATGAAAGGGTTACAATGAATACACCAAGGCACTCAGGGAACTGAAGTCACAGGTGACCTGTAAGAGAACCAGTGACTCTGCGCAGAGATTTAAATCAGGTGAGTTATCACAGTGTCTGAAGGTCTATTTTCAAAACAGTCCCAGGATGTCTTGGTCTCAGCAGAAGTGGATAAATCCCTTCCTCTTTCTCCAATATACTTAAGGTCTTTGTGTAGAATTTGGAATAATCCCTTTGGTAGGTTATTCCACAAACAAGACACTGGCATTCCTATTCAACTTCCCTATTTCAAGGACTGACTTCAGTGGCTTCCTGGGAGATCAGGACATCTCTTTATGGATCACCGAAAGAGATGACTTCTTTTCTAAAGCAGTACTGATTATGGTATTCACAGGCAGCTAGAGAGACTCAACAAGTGGAATTTTAAATGTAGGGAGAGATACCAAAGGAGTTGACAAAGGAAAACAGGGGATGATAGGATGACCCATATGTCCCCATTGGGTCCTGTCTCTGGAGCAGCCTGCGGGATGGGCTCAGCTAGCATCCTCAGAGAGGCAGCCCCAGACAGTGCTGCTTTAGGTGCATGCTCTAGGGCCAGTCAGAGGTAAAGTGTCAGTCCCTCTCCATCTCTACATAGCGAATGAGTCTTGGGGCAAGATCCTCAACTTCTCTAACCTCAGATTTGCCTTCCATGAAATGGAACCAATGCTTATGTTTCCTGAGGACTAGATGGAAGCTTTTCTTTCCAGTCTTCTTCCTGATGGGAACTTCTGAGTAGCAGCAAATAAAGGTTGTTAATGTATGAGCAAAACCCCACATCACGTGACTTTGTATCATAGTGTGCATTTTCCTTTGGCATTGTGGGTGAAAGTTGCAGGATACGAGGTTCATATATAAAAGTCAGTTTTATTTCCCTAAAGGAGTGACAGGCAACTAGAAAAAATTAAAAGAACTATTCCATACAGGGCCTCCCTGGTGGTGCAGGGATTAAAGTCTCAGTGCTATCAAGCTATCACCAGCCACTGCAGCCTGAGTTCAATCCCTAGCCAGGGAGCTGACCCACATAGCACAGCAGACCTCTCCTGTCTCGCCCACTGCTCCCCTCACCAGTGTGTTTAGTAGATCCCCCTGTTCTGTTCCCCACTCTGTCTCTGATGAAATCTCTCACCCCCCACACCTCTGGCCTACACCCCAGTTCTTGCATGCATAAATAAATAAAATAAATCTTTAAAAAAACCCACTAGTGACCTCCCTGGTGGCGCAGCAGGTTGAGCACAGTGCTGTGAAGCTGTCCGCAGCCTCTGAAGCGTGGGTTCGATTCCTGGTTGGCCAGGGAGATAACTACAAGGCACAGCAGACCTCTCCTGTGGCACCCGCTGCTCCCCTCAGTGGTATATTTTGGTCAGTCTGCCTGTTCTGTTTCCCACTCTGTCTCTGGTGAATCCTCTCACCCTCCTGTGCCTCTGGCCTGTACCCCAGCTTTTGTATAAATAAAAAAAAATCTTTAAAAAAAAAACCCCACTAACCACAAAGAAAAAAATTGCTAGATTGAGCTTATATCCTATCACAGACAGTTGTTTAATTAATCCATGAATCAGTTAGTTTGACTCAATCCTAGAAGATTAAAGGTATTTGGCCCCTCAAACCCATTAAGCGATAGTACAATTATGTTGACTCGCCTAGCATGGTTCAGTTTTATCCAGAGGACGATGACTTATTAAATCTCTTTGGGAGTCCTTTCTAGGTACGTAGTTCTGTTGTGTGGCTTGGCTCCCTGGGAAGCCCTGCACAGATCATGGTAGACTGGCTGGGCCTGATCTTACATGTCAGCCACCTGTGTCAGCATCTGCCATACCCACGTTTACTGCTAACAGCCTTTGACTCAACATCAATGACAATATTAGCCCAGGTGACGTGCAATTAGGAATATGAGGCTTTTGACAACCAAATATAATATGAGAGCTTCCACACCCGATAGAATGGAGGTGTGGGTTATTCCAGAGTTGTGCTGATGTCCTCTTCACTCATCGGCACAACACAACTCCATGTCTGGCTGTTGTCTGAACCTGTTGGATGGCTGTCAGCCTTGACACTGGTGGTGCCTGTGCTGCAGGAACAAGGTCAGTAATTTAGTGCTTCTGAAGCACTGATTGAATAAGTGTAACTTACTTGCAGGACACTCATTCTGAGGCTTGAGTCTAAGTGAGCCCCAAAGCAATGGAATATTCCATGTAGCCATCATGTGACTTCTGCTGCCCCCCAGGGTTTCCTCCTAGAAGGGGCCAGAGCTGCCCAGTGGAGGCTGGTTGGAATCAGAGAAATCCTGCCTACAGCGCACTCAGAAAAGTGGCCCAGTATTTGAGGAATGAGGAGGGCATAATTAAACACGAGTACAAGACTTGTTTCCCACTGTCCTCTGTAGGGGAGATCACAAGTCTGGGTGTTATTTTTGTGATTATCACTTTATCAACGTTTCATTGCCCTTGGAACACCACCTCTGGGCAAGCGTCAATGAAACAGTTTTCCAGGATGAAGTAAACTGGCAGAAATTTCCATCATTCATCAAGTCTGGTGTAAATGGTTTGCCTGGGCTGGATATTTCTGGGTTCTGGCCACACTCCTGAAGAGCCATCGCTGTCACCCCAACCAGACAGAGGCTACCGACACCTATCCCCATAGCTTTATTTTCTACCCAAGAGTAGTGAAAACCACGCCTGAGCATGGTGTGCTCAGGAAACGTGTGCCGCTCTGCAGGATTCCCAGCGCTTTCCAGATTGTGCAAGATTAGCTTATTTTTCCCAGCACAGTTCTAGGGTAGCACTGCACTCCTTTCCCTGCTCTCCTGGTCTTGATGATGTTTTATTTTGCTCACGGTGAAAGAAAAGGCGCATGTGTTTTCTCTCTCTTCATTTGGATTCAGGGATTGCCTTTTCATTTGGAAAGAATAATTTTCCAAATTCCACTGTAAAATGTACAGGAGAGAAAAAGGTTCAACACCAGGAATGTGCAATGGTGGATTTCCTTTAGGACTGTTCCTTAGAAGTGTGCATGGGGGCCTCCCTGGTGGTACAAGGGGTTAAGCACCGCACTATGAAGCTGTCTGCAGCCTCTGCAGCAAAAGTTTGATCCCCGGTGTGCCAGGGAGCTATCCATATGGCGGGGCAGACCTCTCCTGTCTCGCCCGCTGCTCCCCTCGGCAGTGTATTTCAGTAGATCCACCTGTTCTGCTCCCCACTCTGCCTCTGGTGAATCCTCTCACCCCCCGCACCTGTAGCCTATACCCCAGTTCTTGTATGTATAAATAAATAAATCTTAAAAAAAAAAAAAAGAAGTGTGCATAGTCAGTAGCTCTATCCACTGTGGGTATATATGGCCTGTTTATGTCCATCCTTCAAGATATTAAACCACAGCCAAAATACAGCAGGCACCCCCAAGGCTCCAGGACAGCACTACCACGTCCTAATTGCTCTCTCCCTGCTTCTGCCTGGAATATTTATAGCGAGTCACCAGTTATCTGCTCTTTGGCAGCCGGCCCTGCCTTCCTGGAGTGGAGAACTGCCCACATTTACTTGCAAACAGCCGCTCGCTCAAGTGGCACTAAAGGCCAGGAGGTGGAGCCAAGGGTTTTAAAAAGGGGAATCACTCCTTGACAAAAAGAGAACCGTGTTTAGGGAGGACGAGTCTTCCATATTTCTTCTTTGAGACCTACCCAAGGGTCGTGGCTGGAACGTTCCAGCAATTCCTTTCCAGCTAGCAGGTCGTGCTCTCTATCCTGGGCACCTCAGGGCCTCACAGTGGACTTGGCACACACCTGCTTGTGGATCTTCAACTCAAGAAATTTGACAGGAGGGTGTCAGGGATTTCTGGCTTCCCAAAAACTTGGATAAGAGCTCTTTCCCCGTGTGTCCTGGCAAGCTGCACTTGACACTGTTGTGAGTTCAAGAGAAAGAGCTGCAGGGCAACAGCGAAGCCATGGAATAAGAGATGCCTAGCCGGCAGGCCCACTGGGTTGACAGGCCCACTGGGGGCTGACCACTGGCTCGCCTGGAGGGGACTCAAGGAAAGACGAGCTATTTTCTATTGAAAGTTCAAGTCCATCAGGATGCAGCTGTTCTTGCTTGTTCTGTTGCTGGTAGTTTTTAGATTTAGTCGTGTTGGTCTCTCAGCACCCCAGCGCTGGAATTATACTGAATCTCCCCTGGAAGATGGGACTAATGCTTGTGCAGGTAAGTAACCCCATTCGAAGGAACTGGCCTCTTCCTGGCAAATGTCCTCAGATGCTTGTCTCCTCATTTGTCCCAAGCCATCTATATTGGTTTCATTTTTGTTTTCTCTTGCACATATGTGTCCCCGCTGGCTGTTAGAGCTCATGGGCTCCCCACCCACTGTAACAACGTAGAGCTCCCAAACCGTGTGTGTGAGTGAATAAGGCTCATTTTTAAGCAGCTGGACCTTTCATGTAAAACTTGGTGCTCTTTCTGATGTGAGCAGTAAGCAAGCGCTTAGGTGATCATTTGCTGTAAAAAACCAGTTGCAAAAATTAGTGAGAAATGGGAAGGGAAGTGGGAGCCAAGGGAACGCTGTCACTGAGAAAGTCCAGTGTGTTTTCCCGTGAAACCTCCCTCCCTGCTGCTCTCCTCATTCTCGGAAGTCCTGACCGTTCTTTAGTGACAGGTGCACAGTGACTGCTAGAAATGACAGCGTGCGCACCCCCTGCAGCAGAACGCCGTGCGGCTGGAGTCAGGGGAAATGGGAATTTTACTAATGCAGTAACAGTCCTGCTTAAGGACCTTGCCTGATACCCGCCCCGCCCCCTCAAGCCCTGGCTGGGTCTCCAACCTAGGCACAAATAAGGCTGTCATTTCCATCCACTGGAGGAACTGCCCTGACTTTTCAATGTTATTATCTTGCCCTTTTGAGAATTGCTTTGGCTCCCCACAAACAGCAGATGAAGGGAAACACAGTAATGTGTCCAGCAGAGAAATCTCTGGAAGGCAGCAGAAAATAAAGGGAGTCAAAAGAACACTTCCGAGCCAAAGTGCTGACATTGTGCCCAGGCCCTGGCTGCCTAAGAAGGAAGTTCCAAAGCAGGAACTCTGTGGTCCTTGCTCTGACCGCAGGCCTCTGCCCAAGCCTTGCTCATTGTAACAGGTAAGCAAGCAAGTCCTGGGACTGGATTCGAATTAATGTCTATGTTCCCAGCCCCTAGAACTTTTCTGCTTTCATAGAAAAAAAACTGTCAGTTCTTGCTGCGTGACCTGCTAATCGCATAGTCCTAGAGCATAGCAACAAAAAGGAAGGGCAAGCAACAGAAATGGCCCTGTGCACCTGTTACTCAGCTGCAGGAGGCAGAAGTACCAGCATCTGGACACAATCATGTCCAGTGAACTGGAGCCTTCCTGGGAGGGAGAATTTTCCCGAGAGTAGCTGCAAGTGACCAGGTGCGGGTACTGCCCCCAGCTTGGGGCAGCAGGGTAGAAGGGAAGCCAGTATTTAGGGGAGAAGGCGCACCCTGCTGCAGAAAGGAACATGACCACACAGCTTTGGAGACTCAGGGAACAGCCCCATCCCTGCCAGGCCACCAGCTACTGTCTGCATGCCCTCCAGGCATCCTTGCCCATGGCTCAGCAGTGCCGCCCCTGAGGCAGGTGGCTGCAACGATACCTGTAGGTGCACCCAAGGTGCGCATTGAGGGGACTGCGCCTCACTGCAGAAGGAGCTCGGGTTTTAGAAGCACACGCACATCCTTTCTAACCCATGCCGCTTGCTAAATATTTGCATTATCTTGGATTATGGCTAGAAATAATAATATCCACCCCACCCCACTTCGGGATTGGCTGGGGATCGCCCAGGGATCGCCCGACACAACAATGAAATGCACAGAGCTAGCAGGTCGTGCTCAATAAACTTCCTCTTGGCTCCCCAGGTCTTGGCTAAATCTTTGATCAAATCAAACCCTAGGGTGTCAGTGACATGACACGGCCAGACCCCATGGGGTGCAAATACTCTGCCTCTCTGTCCTTAGTGCCTCGAAAGTCACTGGGTTAAACAACCGGCTTGACTCTCCTGCCCTCCCGCTGCTGCGCACCGCATGGGTCACACCTGCACCCCACCCCCACCCTCCTGAATATCAGGGGTAGTATTTCTCCTCTGCAAACAGAATTACATTCTACCTGCCTTGTTTTGCCCTTGGCATGGACACAAACCTCCTCTGGCAAGCCTGACTCGGCAGGAAGAACACTTTGTGATCCAACATGATTCGGGCAGCTTCGCACCAGGCTAACACTCCCGTGCCTGTCCCCATATAAACCAAGTGAGACGACAAAGAATGGGGGTTTCTTTTCATCCCCCCTCTCCCCCATCCTGCCTGCGTTTTGTTTTGTTTGGGGGTGGACTGAGTATTCTGTGAGCTTCTATTTGAGCTACAATTAGTGAGGAGAGCAATAAAGAAAACCTGTAGCTAGTGGCTTCTGAACGTGCAAAACTCTGCCTGGGAGGAGAACCATTGAAAAAAAAAGAACTAACCCTGTTTGATGTCTGCACCTGAAGTACATACATTAATTTTCCAGGAAAATAAAGGCAGGATGCATACCTGCCAAGCCCCAGAGAACTGGTGGCTGGAGGGATCTTGGGCCACTGAGTTAGCCAACAGGGAGATCGATTTTAGCTGTAAACACTGAAAGCACCAATATCAGCACTAGCTCAGGCTTGGCCAGCTTCCCAGTCATGTGCAAACCAGCATAATTCCATGATCAGAGTCCTGTTTGTTTTTTCAGGAAGAATTATGCTAAAGGTTGGTTGGTTTTTTTTTTTTTAATTCAACTGCAAAGAAATTACAAAAATGACCTTTTAGGTACAAATTATGAATGCAACTCTCCCCCATGGCTTATGATCTTTGAGTTTAGTGACAGAGTTTACATTTTGGGGACAGACCTGGGTTCAAATCCCAGCTTTGCAGCTTGTGAACGGGTGTCTCATTTTCTTCTCTGTGAAATATATATAATTACCAGCCCTCCTTCTCAGACTGCTGTCAGGACTGTGTTGATGAATTTGTTTTCTTTTTCTTTTTGCATAGAAGAAGTGGGGTGCAGGCCAGAGGTGCTAAGGGTGGGATGGGGGGAGTGAGAGGATTCACCAGAGGCAGAGTGGGGGGCAGAACAGGTGGATTGACTGAAATACACTGCTGAGGGGAGCAGCAGGCAGGACAGGAGAGTCTGCTGTACCATGTGGGTCAGCTTCCTGGCAGGGGATCAAACTCAGGCCATAATGGTGATGGTGCTGAGACTTAATATCTAGGCTACCAGGGAGGCCCTTTGTGTTTGTTTTCAATGTTGACCTCGTGTTCGAACTGTTACAGGGCAGGGTGAGAGGCACCTGCCTGCTCTAAATAGGTCTGCATCTGCTGTAGCAAGACAAAATATTCTCTAATGTATAAGACCTTCAATGGAAAGGAACTTCAATACAATTAGAGAGAGAAAGAAGAGAAGAGAAAGACTAGCTTACAAATCACCCAAAGTTACTCATCCTCTCGAGGGTCAATGCCCAACCAAACAGGGTTAGGCCAAAGCAGGGCCACGGAGGCCTGAAAGCCTGCCACGAGTCTAAGGCACCTTCTGGTGGGGACCCACAGGAAAGGGGCAGAAGGGATCAGGCAAGTCTAGAAGGAAAAGAGCAAAATCAAAACCAAGGTAAAGGTATAGGCTCACACTGATGCTTCTTGCTGTGAGACGTGGCTAAAATAATCCAAAGAAAGCCACCGGGGACAGATCATGTAACCGGGGGTCCCCAGAAAAAGGGGAGGTCCCAAGTTCCCTGCCACATACAGGGAGGGTGAGCTGAGCAGGGAGGAGAAGCTGCAGAGGAGACTGGAGAGGGAAGGAGGCAGGATGGAGAGCAATGAGGAGACCTGGAGGAGGCACATGGAGCAGAGACGCATGAAGAAACTGCTCCTGCTTCTTGGTCCTGGACTGGTTGGAACAGACGTGGGTGAGAGACCCGTGGGAAGAAGAATAATGGCAGCTTTTATCTGGATTTGGATTTTGCTCTTTTCCTCCCAGACTTGTCTGGCTGTTTCTGAATCTTTTCTGTGGGTCCCTGTCGGAAAGTACCTTAGACTTGTGACAGGCTTTCGGGCCTCCGTGGTCCTGCTTTGGGCCAACCCTGTTTGGCAGGGCATTTACCCACAAGGGGATAGGTAACTTCGGGAGCTTGATTTGGAAACTTTGTTCTTCCCCTTATCTTTGTTGCACACTAATTGTATTAAAGTTCCTTCCATTAAAGGTGTTATATGGTTGGTCTTGATGCAGCGGAAGGCAGAACCTCTTCAGAATGAGCAGGTTTGGGGTCCTAGGGTGCCCCTCACCCTGTCCTGTAACAATTACAGTCTGTTCTTTTGTCAGCAACTAATACAGAAATCTGCACAGAGTGTATTACTGCAATTTTAAGGAAATCAGAATTAGAGAAAATACACAGTTGGATGAAAGTAAAGGTGTTCCTAATATATCTCAGCTTATGGCATTCTGTAGAATAAATAGCCAACGTTTACTGAGACCTTACTATAGATCAAGAAAAATTCCAAGCACTTGGCAGGAATTAATGTATTTCGTCTTCATAATATTAAAAAATGAGGTCATGATACACATTTCCAGGAGAGGACTACTACCACTGTCATCTGTAGCCCCCAGATGACTAGCTATGGCTTTATGCTGCCTTTTCGAGGTTTTCCTTCTCCCTGCAATTCATTGCCACAGTAGGGTGTGTTATCCCAGCATTCTAGTCCTGTGCCCAGACCCAACAGCGGCATGAATCTAGGACTGAGACCTTGGTTGTGGGAATTAGCCATGACAAATGGCCTTTGTGCAGCATCCTACAATTAATTAAATACTTTGCATCTTTGATTTCTTTTTCTTTCCTCAATAATCCTCTGAAACAGGCAGGGAGGTTCTGTGAGAGGTCTGAGGAGCCAGTGGAGCCAGGACTGGACCCAGGCTCCTGGGCTCAGAGTTCGATGCCCCGGCCCTGTCTCCTCTGACCCTGATTCTACAGCTGCAATGTCAGTGGAGACTCTGCTCTCTTCTTGGGTGCAGGGGCCTGGGGTGTGGAAAGGCTGTCGGGAGCATGAGTTGAACTAAGTCTCACAGACATTTAAAATGACTCCTATTTCAAACTCTTAAGCTACTGTTCTTTCCTCCTGCATCTCTATTCTGCTATGGCCTCTAGTATCTTCTGACTGCAGTGCATAATCCCCGAGGAAGAACATGTTACTCCATAATCTTGTTTGGTTCTCAAACAACAAACATATATTATGTCCATCAAGGTACTAACGTTTGATGTTCAAACAGAATGGAGTAAAGCCAGCAGGGAAGTGAGAATTAGTTAGAATCCTCCAATTTTCTGCTCCTCCCAGTGGGTCCAAAATTTCTAAAACAGTGTGAGAGAAACCTCCCTACCCTCAAGGGGAGGAAACCAAGGAAAAAACCTGACTGCAGGGAAGGAACTACCCCCAGGATAACAAAGGTGATGACCTCTGTGTGGGTGTCAGCTGGGGATTTGTGGGGTGGCCTCCCAAGAGAGGTCCAGGTCTTGCCAAGGGGAAGTATTTTGCTAAACGAGAGAAAATAGCGACAATATACAGTTTGGTGTCTTTTTTCCCCACTCAGGTCCTGCACCCTTCTTAATTTTCTCCCACGGAAATAGTATCTTTAGGATTGACCCGGAAGGAACTAATTATGAGAAACTGGCGGCTGACGTGGGTGTATTGGTGATCCTGGATTTCCATTACAGTGAAGAAAGACTTTATTGGGTAGATTTAGAAAGACAACTTTTACAAAGAGTTTTCCTGAATGGGACAAGGCAAGAGGTAAAGTATCATTTCCTATGGTGTTTGGAGGATATTTGTACAAACTGACGAGCTGGATATAATGGGAGCTTGTAATCCATAGATAAATTGTGAAAAACAAAAATGTTCCCAGACATTGCCGTATGTTCCCTGCGAGGGAAAACTGCCCCTAGCTGAGAGCCATTGGAATAGAAAAATAATCATGTAAATAATCTGTTTTAGCCACAAAATGGTGATCTCACCTAACAGACTACTTCTTTCCTTTTTTTAAAAATTTATTTATTTATGCAAGAACTGGGGTACAGGCCAGAGATGCAGGGGGATGAGCGAATACACCAGAGACAGAGTGGGGAGCACAACAGGCAGACTGACCGAAATACACTGCTGAGGGAAGCAGTGGGCGAGACCGGAGAGGTCTGCCACACCATGTGGGTAGCTCCCTGGCCGGCCAGGAATCGAACCCATGCTGCAGAGGCTGCAGACACCTTCACAGCGCTGTGCTCAACCTGCTGCGCTATAGGGAAGGCCCATCCTACTTATTTTCAAAATTACATTGACATCCTCTCTCTCTCCCTCTGGGAGCTTCTAAACACCGATGCCAGGTTCATGAGCTTGTTCAATGACATGACATCACTATGACACATATTGCATATCTACATACATATTAAATACACCATTACATATCTACAAATGCCTAAGAAATATTTGAATTGGAATGTAATTTATACCCATTTTGAAATTTGATTTTACAGAAAGTATGTGATATAGAGAAAAATGTTTCCGGAATGGCAATAAACTGGATAAATGAAGAACTCATCTGGTTAAGTAAACAGGAAGGAATCATCGCAGTAACAGATATGAATGGAAACAATTCCCATGTTCTCTTAAGCGCCTTAAAACATCCTGCAAACATTGCAGTTGATCCAGTACAAAGGTAAATTATGCATTTTCCAACATTGCCATGTATTTCAAAATCTGATGAAAATACTTAGAATCATACCATTCTGAACTCAAAGACCTTCTTGTCAAGACCACGACCCTCTTGTATGTTCTGGAGACACCATTTCCAACAGCATGGGTATTTAGGCTTAACTGAGGCAAGCTCCTTCATTTGGAGTCCAAATATATAGCATTTCTGATGAAGGCCTGATTTCTGGTTATAGAAACATAACCTCCATCTAACTTGAAATCACATGGAATTTCTGTAACAGGACAATAACTACTCACTGAATTAAATTTTTATGTAAGGGCTTCCCTGGTGGCATAGGGGTTACGTCTCAGCAGTATCACCCCTGAAGCCTGAGTTCGATCCCCAGCCAGGGAGCTGACCCACAGGGTGCAGCAGACATCTCCTGTCTCCCTGTTGCTCCCCTCAGCCATATATTTCAATAGAACTGCCTGTTCTGCCCCCCATTCTGCCTCTGGTGAATCCTCTCACCTCGGCACCTCTGGCTTACACCCCCGTTCTTCTGTGCAAAAATAAATTTTAAAAATCTGAATAAAACGTTTTTATGGAAAAGAATGAAATAATTGCTGTGATATCTAGCAAGTGCTGGGGCAACCGAGATCGAGCATAGAAGTGACTTACTTACAGTGCATCACGTCTGCGTGATGTGTTCCTCCTCAGGTTCATATTTTGGTCTTCAGAGGCACCTTGCAGCCTCCACAGAGCAGATCTCAAGGGCATGGGAGTGAAGACACTGTTGGAGACATCAGGGAAGATAGTTGCTGTGTTTCTCGATGTGCTTGACAAAAGGCTCTTCTGGACACAGGACAGTGGTTTGGGAAGCACTTCCCAGATTTGCTCCTGTGATTACAATGGAGGTTCCGTCCACATCCACAAACGCCTTACTCAGTAAGTGTTGCTTTTGGTGGGAAACAAACAACTGCCATTTGAAGTCTGTTTGAGAAATTAATTTTACTTTTGTCAGTGAGTTTGGAGTCCGAGCTCAAGTCCCGGATTTACCATTGATGGGACGAGTGACTTTGGGTCGGTCACAGGACATCTCCTGCCCTCAGCTTCCTTTCCTGTGGGGAGAATCATAGCCAATATCACTTGCTATTGTCAAGAATAAATAAATAAATGCAAATAAAACTAATAAATGGTATTGGGCACATAGTATATTTTCACATGTTAATTTTCATAGTTACTCACTGAGGATGACCATATATTTTGGCACCTGTCTTTCATTTGATTTGTTATCTTGCCGGAAACTGACTCACCAGCTTGTGGCAAAGGCATAAATGAGTCATGAATAATTGATAAAACCAGAAGTCGACTCATCCTATTTCCTATTTTCTTCCCTTTTTAACTGTCATCACAGTTAGGTGCTGACTTGCAAAAGAATAAGGCAATGACTTCGGAGTCCTACTTATTCAGATGCTGTCTATAAACATAAATGTTTACTTAATATCTGTTTCCAAGCCTAAATGAGAAATGATGGAAATAGAGGATTAACATTCAAACAACAAGGCGAAAGCAAGTGAAACTTGAATAAGCTCAGGAAGAAAGCGTCAGCATTCCTCATGTTTTTTTTCCTGTTGCTTCGTAGGCACCATTTATTTTCAATGTCCCTCTTCCGTGACCGTATCTTCTACTCAACATGGAAAAAGAACACAATTTGGATAGCCGACAAGCACACGGGGAAGGACATGGTCAGGATGCACCTCCGTCCATCACATGTACCACCTGGTGGAATTAAAGTCCTGCACCCACTTGCCCAGCCCAAGGCAGAGGCCGACACTTGGGTGTCTGGTGAGTCATCTTTTACCTTGAACAGCATCTGACGCTTAGTCTCCACCATCTACTTCACTCAAGTCACACACTTAAGGACATCCTTGATTTCTCCCACTGCGTCACCTTCCATTTCCAATCTAGCCCCAAATCCTCCCCATTCTACCTCCTAAATACACCTTCAGACATCCACTTCTTTCCTTTACTGGAACCACCATAGTTCAAAAAACCAGTATCTGTTGCCTGGTCTATGGTAGCAGTCATTCCACTAGAATGAGAAGACATTTAACAAATTGTTGAGGGCCTCCCTGGTGGCACAGGGGTTAAAGACAGCGCTATCAAGCTATCACAAGTTTGATCGCAGGACGCCAGGGAACTACCCACATGGCTCAGCAGACCTCTCTTGTCTCGGCCCTGCTCCCCTCAGCAGTGTATTTCAGTCAGTCTGCCTGTTCTGTTCTCACTCTGTCTCCGGTGAAACTGCTCACCCCTGCACCTCTGGCTTACACTCCAGTTCTTGTATGCATAAATAAATAAATAGATCTTTAAAAAACGAAACAAAACAGGGCCTCCCTGGTAGTGCAGGCAGTTGAGCGCTGCACCCTGAAGCTGTCCGCAGCCTCTGCAGCGCAGGTTCGATCCCAGCCAGCTGGCGAGAATCCTACATGGCGCGGCAGACCTCTCCTGTCTCACCCCTGCTCCCCTCAGCAGTGTATTTCAGTCTGTCTGTCCGTTCTGTTCCCCGCTCTGTCTCTGGTGAATCCTCTCACCCTCCCGTGCATCTGGCCTGTACCCCGTTTCTTGTCTAAAAATAAATAAATCTTTAAAAAAAAACAGACAGTTGGGAAAAAAGGAGGAAAAAACCCACCTTTTGGCACTCTCTCCCTTGAATAATATCACAGGAGACAAGTTCTAAAGAGATATAACATCTGAGTGCACCTCGACTCTCTGACAGACCTCACCTGGGCTGCCCCTTTGGCGTACGATGAGCAAATCCTGAATGTTTTAAATCAGTTTGTCTGTGGCTTAATTCTAAACCAGACCTTTGCAGCATGATTCTCACTGTGCCTTGAAGTCTTTTTGCCTTTTTTTGTTTGTTTAGGAAAAAATTGGTCTAGCCTCAAGAAAGAGGTCTGAGGTAGTACAGGGCAAAGCCCCAATTTTTTTTTTAATATTTTTATTTATTTATTTATACAAGCACTGGGTACAGTCAGAGGCGCGAGAGGGTGAGAGAATTCACCAGAGCCAGAGCGGGGAGCAGAGCAGGCAGAAGGACCGAAGCACACTGCTGAGGGGAGCAGCGGGCGGCAGGAGAGGTCTGCGCGCCATGTGGGACCCTCCTCCGGTGGCCGGGGAGCAGCCGGGGATCGAACCGGCGCTGCAGAGGCTGCGGGCAGCTTCGCAGCCCAGCGCTCAACCGCTGTGTCACCAGGGGGGGCCCGACAACCCCAATTTTTAATGGCTGCCTGACTGTGGGTCCTCACCCACGGGCTTAAAAGGGACTTAGAATGAGACTCGACTGCAGGCACACACAACAAGGTTAATAAAGGGGTTACTTGCAAAAAAGGGCAAATGAAGAAAGGAATAACTCAGGGAGAAAGAGAGAGACACATTCCTGAATGTGCCCTACCAGTTCCGCTGAGCTGGAACCCCAACAGCACGCTGAAGGCTGGTGGGAAAAACTGAAGCGCCTCAAGGCCCACAGGCCTGGTCTTCTAGGGCGCCTGGCTGGTGACCCCACCCTCGGCTCCCAGCAGCCCTCCCTTCCTCCGCCAGGACATTATGGGATTTGTAGGCCTTGGTGTCTTGGAGCTCTTCAGCTTGAGGTGGGGGAGGGGGGAGTCCATAAAACCCGTGATTGTGGAGTTCATTCAGGACAGCCTTTCCCCTCAACAGTAGAAATAATATTTTGGGGGGCCATGTGTGTAACTGGTGGCTGAGGCCAAAGACTGTTACAGGTGGTGCCCTCAGAGTAGGGGTGCTGGTGAGGCTAGATAGCCCCAGAGAAAATGCTAAAATGTATCGCATTTTTGGGGTACAGACTGATAAAAAACATAAAGGACCACAGAAAGAGCCCCAGATAATTCAGTCTTGGGGATTCAGCGTTTGATTCTTCAGCATTTTCGGATCTTCAGACATTGTGGGGTCAGCAGTTTCGGGCCTCACTGCGCCCACCTTCCAGGAGGCTGCTCCAGGCCTCAGGAGGATGTGGCGAAGCCTCCAGGAGCTGGAAAAGTTCGGAGACTTTGCAATTAGCCGAGAGAGCGACACTGTTCCCGGTTTTGCTGCTGTCACAGCCTGGCAGGGAAGGCGAAGACCCAAGCAGGCGCTTGGCTGTGCTGTGAGAGTAGCCGCCGGCGGGGCTGCTGGGCAGGGCTGCTGCTTGGATGTCGCATGTGTGGTGCTGCCCTGGGCCCCGGGCAGCAATGGGGGCGCCTCCTGTGCTGTCTACTGCTGCCTTGGTGAGTCGGAACCCGGCCTGGAGTCTGGTGCTGCATGTCGACAGAGGCAGGAAGACCTGCTACTTTGGTTTAGGGCTGAGAAACACTGGACACTGCTTTGGGTGAGCTAAATGGCCACTCTTGGCCTAAGTAGCTCTATGTTTTTCTCTGGTTTGTTAGATAAATCCCCTTGTTCTCTGAGCCTAACTAGTCTTGCAATTGCGCACGCCGGTGAAGTACTCAGACAGTGACTGGTGAACTATTTGGGCACGTCCTTGGCCAGGTATAGTGCCCCTGGCTGCCCTGTATCATTTGGGATAATGCATAGGAAGTAAAGCAGGAAAAATGTGACAGGTTGTATTGTTTTAAAAAATAATGCAAATGACCATCATTGCTGAGTGTGTACAGAATTATCCATCCTGAGCTTTACCTATAGTATCTCACTTAATCTTCACAACCCCAGGAATTGGCTGTGATTATTAGTACCATTTTGTGGATTTAGAATTTGAGATTCAGAGATATGGATACCTCAACAGCTACTCAAGGTCACGCTGAGGTGGAAGTGGAATTTGAACCCAGGCCGACAGCCTGCTGCTTCCGCAGCTACAGTCCCACTATGAGCTGTCATTTCTTCTCTTAGAAGGATCTGACTTGTCTTTGGGAGACCTGTCATGGGCATATTCCTGGCCTCCTGGTGAGATGCTTCAGCTTGCGTAGCTCCCAGAGCTGCTCACTGGAAACAAAAGTCTTTGCAAGAATGATGGAGTTTATTAGATCATCAAAGTGAGGATCCCAACCTGGGGAGTAATCCCTCCGATTTTACTCCATGAGAATTTTTCCAGTGCACACAAATATGAACTTAGTTAATGCAGGGAGGAAGAGTGAATCACTGACATTAAGAACGTGATTCCTCTTGGTAGGAGAGGCTCTAGGCTGGTGCTAGTGGAAGGCAAGGCAGGGTTTAATTTTTCCTTGCTGATGAATGACCTGCAGAGATGCAAATTGGATACCCATTGTTTCTTTCTTTTTTTTTTTTCTTTCCACCTGAAAACTCTGACTTTACCTTCAGGCAGTGGATTCCTGCTTGAGGGGTGGAGCCTGTGAAGCAGCTTTGCTCTCTGTGGACTAGACTAGGGGCAGGGACCCTGGAAATGTTATATGTTTATGGAGGCAAAACCTTATATCTCTCTCTTAAATATTTTTTTTAATTTTAGGAACTTTAGTTGGTGTGAGGTGCATTTGAGGCTTTTCTAGCTACCCTATCAATCACCTCTATTATCTGAACCTCAGAGTTAGCATGGGAATGTTAATAACATTATTTTAAGTTTCACTTCTTGGGTGTTTGATGTTCATAGATATTAGTTTGCAAAATGACTCAGTATTTTTGCTTTCTCCTGTATTCTTGAGATGCAGATGGAAGGTTTTTTTTTAAGATTTATTTATTTATGCATACAAGAATTGGGGTACAGGCCAGAGATGCACGGGGTGTGAGGATTCACCACAGGCAGAGTGAGGAGCAGAATAGGCAGATATACCGAAATACACCACTGAGGGGAGCAGCGGGTGAAACAGGCGAGGTCTGCTGTGCCATGTGTGTAGCTCCCTGCCCGGGGATCCTACTTGTGCTCCAGTGGCTGTGGATTGCTTCATAGTGCTGTGACTTAACCCCTTGCTTCACCAGGGAGGCCCTAATCTTCACATTTCTAATCGTGGGGTCTGAATACTGGGGGGTTCTGTTTACTCGCAGGACTGGTTCAGTAAATGGGTTCAAACAGAAGAGACTAGAAAGCTTTTGTGGAGACGGTTGAGGCTGGCATGAATTTGAGGCAGGAAAAATGGTGTGATCAGAGGAGAAAAGCAGGACAGAGGCTCCCCCGTGTGCTGTTCGAGAGCTGGTTGAGGGAGGAAGCCACAGCCATCCTTGGTTGCAGCGAGAGCCGTGTGTGCAGGGGTGATGGACATTAAACTCCACGATTAGGAGCTTTAATTTGATCTCAGAGGTGATTAAGCACAACGGCTGGGCTGTAGGAAGGATGTTATCCAAGGTCAGCAGCAGCCTTCAGAGTGCTGGCTTCGGCCTATTTTGAAGCTAAAGAACAGCAGATTAAAGAGATTAAACAAAATTACAGCCCTCAATCCTCTGCTTTGCCACTTCCTCAAATGACCTTTGAAGGTGTTTGGTGTCTGAATTCAGGTCACGGCATCAGCACTGCCACTTAGAGGTAAGAGCGACTGCTCTCCTGTTTATTATGTTTGTCACTGCAAAGGGATGTACATTGTTAATAAGTCATCAAAACTAGAGGGTAGCGTGGCCAGCGCCATCTGACCACGGGTTTGAGTTCCAGTTTGAGGCTGACTGGAAATTCCAGGAGTTGCATCGGGGTGGCGTGATTGGGGTCTTGTGCTTGGGTTCCAGAGGGGTGTGGTGCACACCCGGGCATCATGATGAATGCACAAAAGATGCTAGACTTAGTCGTGATGATGATGATGGACAGATGCCAGAGCAGGTGACAAGTAATGCAGAAGTCCAAAGGAGAAAAAATTAATACTGGATCTAGATACCAAAGAGAAAAGCATTTCCTGGCCCCTAGACATTAGCTGTGTTCTCATTAGTCTTTCTGCTCTTTGTTTATGTTCCAAGCAGCAGGTAAGGGTTGAGAATCTTTAGAGGATACACTTGGGGGAATTTACTACCAACACCTGATTCTGGATCGAACCTTAAAAACATTTTTGTTTTTTTGGTGAGGAATCTCTACTTTTATTTCATGGATTAAAAAATGAAGATCAAAGAGATTAAGTGATTTGAAGTCAAAGGCAAAACAAGACCAATTAGTTTCCCTAATACTGAATCTAGTGGCTCTCTATTATACTAGTTTGGAAATATTTTTATAAGGGATATATACAGGAAACATAATTCCTCCTTTTTTTTTTTTTTTTTTTTTTGGCATTATCTCAAAAAGTGGTGGTACTTTGGGGCTATTAAAAGGCCAAATCAGAACTTTCTGGATTTTTGTTGTCGTGCACTTTTGAAATTCGTACAATTTAAAGTTAACAGCATGATGTGCTTTTTTTTAAAAAAAGCAATATGAAATGGGTGCATTTTGTCACCAATAAATTTATAAATTTCAGATTTTAGTCATGTACTTTAAACATTTGGGTCATTATGTTTTTAATTTTGCTTTATTAAAATTTGGATGTGTGAAGCATTGGGAACATGAATGGCGATGTAACTACTCATGATAATTAGCAACAAAACTGTAGACAAGAAGCATAATTTTGGGAATTAACATCCAAAACTATTCATTGTCAGACTTGACTGCTGTAGCAGGCCATACTTGCTGGTGTTGCATAATTGGCAGGCCTGACTTTGCCTTTCATTCTGTTAAGAGATCTGAATAAGCACTTTTAAAATAGCCTGGAATAGCACAGACTAGAGAAAAGGTTGGGCTGTAACTGAGATGAAGCTGGGCTGTCTCATGAGAAGATTGGGCCTGTGTTTCTTTGAGTGTGGTGTGAAGACTTTCCATCTGGATATCTACAAACCTGGTAAAAATGCAGCTTGCAAGGCCTTTCTGTTGATTTGCCCAGGCAGACTCTCAGCAGGGCGTCCTGCCCTCCAGGGATTCTTCCTCTCCTGGGGTCATTGTCACCTGACTGTTCCGGGTGTGACTGCCCAAGCACAGACCTGAAATCAAAGGGAATGGTGTCCTGAGTCTGCTTGTAAGTGGATAAAGGGGGTCAGAGGGACCTCCAGTAGAATCTGGACCCGGGTCTGCGCTCAGGCCCTCCGTGGTGTCCTTTCTTGTGCCCTTCTCAGGCAGGCTGTCCAATCCTTCTCTTAAGCTCTGAATCATCTCTTGTCACAAGAGCTCCCCGGTCTCAACAGGCACCCCCTCAGTCTTCCTTTGCTGTCACGTTTGTGGCCTCTATAGCTTCCTGGATCCCGGCATCTGCCCTGAGACCTGAGCTTATCTCTGTATTTCCCAGAGCTTGTTATAAAACCCCTGGCAAAAAATAAGAAGGAGCAAAATTTGAACAGGGACACACTTGACTGGTTTAGTCCTTGACTTTGGCTCGGAAAAGCAAAGGTACTGGGTTAGCCATTCGGTGTTGCATCTATTTGACAAATTCAACCCACACACCTACCGCCCCGAGCAGATTTTATTTACCTTGGGTTTTGGTAAAATGTGAGCTGCTGGTAGTCAAAACTCAGACATTTGGGCATGAGACATATGGCAGTAGTTTATATTAAGTATGAAAAATGTTGTTCTTCAAATAATGATAAACAGCTAAATATTATAGGTCTGACCTAAACCTAAGATGTTCTTAGGTTTGAACCTTATTAAATAGGTAGGAAAGATGTTCTTTTTTGTTTCCTAAGTAGATAGTTCACTTACAGAATTTTTAAGCATGTGTTTTATTATTAATCTTTATATAGATAGAAAATAAGATGGAGTGAAACAGCTACGAAGTTGTGCTGAGTCTTTGTAACCTGAGGAATGGTATCTCCAGCAAATCAGATCCTGGGGTGGGCGCAGGAGTCATACAATCACAGAAGTTACTAGAACACAGTGGAATTCGGGCACCATGCCTGACCCCAGAGCTGTGAAAGGATCAAGCACTGTCCCCTGTCAAAACACACCACTTTAAATAAACCCCATCTCTTTTAGATCAAAACCTCTGCAAACCGAAGAGCAGTAACTGCAGCGACAGCATGTGCGGGCAAGACCCTGAGGCCCCCCGGGGCTCGTGTGCTGAGGGCTATGCTCTGAGCTGGGATGGGAAGTCCTGTGAAGGTAAAGTCACAGGGGTGGTCTGGAGGCCAGGAAAGCCCTCCCAGCCTGCAGCTGGTTTTTGGGGTGTTATCTAGAGCCTTTGTATGAAACCCACTTCAAGTGTTCCCCGCCCACCCCCCCACCCCCCAATGCAATTCTCTCTACCTCTGCCCCCTTTAAAGCCTTTTTAATACTTGCAGGTCATTACATCTTGTTTCTTACCTCAGCCTCTTTGAGAGCCTACGCAGGGGTTGACATAAGGCAGGGTTCCTGAGTGGCCTCCATTGGCCTCTGGGGGTTTGACGATGAGCAAAATGTCAGGATTTCAGATGTTTTAGGGGAGGAGTTCAGAACAACCGCAGGATTCTCAAAGCGTGTGTGGCTTCTCACCCCATAAGGTCTGGTAGGAATCTTGAGAAACTGCACCAGGCTGGTTTTCCAGGGCTCCGCCAATTTTGAGCCCCCAGGCTGAACTGAGTGAAGCCAAGAGAAACTTGTACCCTTCTCGGGGGGGGGGGGTCCTGATGAAAAGAACCCAGTGGTCCTGGCGCAAGCTGGGGAGAGACTTCTGGTCAACCGGGCAGTTGCCTGTTCATTCTAGTTCGCTGCTGACATTGACCAGTGGACCAGGGTCCTAGAATGAGCTGGAAGGCAGGGCACGAGCCGGAGTAAAGCAGGGAGCTGTCCCCACATTCAGGGAAAGGGTCCCTGTAGGTTGAGGGGTGAAGAGCAGGTGGAGGGGCTCCATCCTTGTCAAGAGCTGTCTGACTACCTGTGGCTTGGTCACTGTGCAGATGTCAATGAGTGTGCCTCGTGGAAGCATGGCTGTGCTCTCGGCTGTGAGAACACCCCTGGGTCCTACTACTGCACCTGCCCTAAGGGCTTCATTCTGCTTCCTGATGGGAAACAGTGTCACCGTAAGTCTCAGCAAGGACTTGCTGCATCGCTCCCTTTCATTTTCAATGATGTTTCTAAGTGATTGTTAGGGGAGGCACCGTGTTCCCACCCCCTCTTACAAGCAGCCACCCTGAACTAGCTGCTGGGATCTGTGGGCAGAGCTGGGTGGCCAGGTGAAGCTGCATGCCACAGGGCAGGTGGGCCAAGGAGAGCCCTTGCTTCTAGGCCTGTCTTGCATCCTGGTCCTGCTGGGAAGGAAAAATAGAAAGAGACATACAGAGGGGAGGCCTGTAGAGACACTTGCAAGAGACACGTGGGGGCTGACAATGGCATCTGTTATCCTGATGTGGTATCTCCTTTTGCCCCCACTTTCTGGGACCTGCTTCAGAACCCCTTTCCTATGGTTGCTGGCCAGGAGGTGCCTTGAACTTGTGGCCAGCTTCTGGGCCTCAGTGTCCTTGCTTCAGGCCACCCAGTTTAGCTGGGCATTTACAAGGCATTTTATTAGGGTTTTTATTGGGAAACTATTAGTAATATTCTCTCTCCTCTTCCCTCTCTGTGCACACGAATCCTGTTAAAGATCTTTCACACAAAAAGTCAGATTTTGTCTTTATGTGGGAGGTGGCAGGACCCCCCACATTTTAGAGCATGCACCCTGTTTGTTTGGGGTCTCTGGGTACCCCTTAATCACATGCTAACAGTCACGATCTGGGTGGGTGGTTCTCTATCAGCTGTATGCATCAGAAACACCTAGGAATTTTATTTTGTTTTGCTTCTTAAAACTTGAGTATCTGTACTTATCCTGTACCTATTTAATCAAAACCTCTAAGGTAGAGAAACAGCTACTCCAGATAGATAGAAAGATACACATATATACACATAGTACATGCATACATACATAGAGCTATGGATGTCTTAATATAGATTAGCATGTATATTCTGTCCTGTTTCTTTGTCCTTATCTCATTATGCATCCTTGAAAGATCAACATGCAAAAAACACAATCCTGGTACCTTATCTTATCTAAAATACTGTAATTTTGATATTTGTTAGCTGCCTCTCAGCCTCTTCCTGCTCCTCATGACACTCATACAATGTTCTTAGTTTTTCTTACACATACAGTTTGCTCTTCAAATCAACTTGAGCATCATTTAGCCAAGCTCCATTTAAAACATTTTGGCATTTTGATGACTAGTTATTTTAAAAATAGGATTTGGCATAAAAGAAACTTAGAGGATATCAGAGCTATTTTCTAGAATCCAAGGTCTTTGTGTTTTTAGATTTGAAATTTTTCCTTATTTTTTAAATCTCCATTATCTCAGTATTTCATACATGTTTGATCCTTTTTTGGCTTACTCTTTTCAGGAAAGCGTTTTCCTTAGAATCTGATTTTTACTAAATTTCCATGAATTTGGTTTGGTACTAATCTTGACCTTATTCTTTAGAGTTAGTTTCCTGCCCAAGCAATGCATCTGGATGCACTCACAACTGTCTGCTGACACCACATGGCCCCATGTGTTTCTGTCCTGAAGGCTCAGTGCTTGAGGCAGATGGAAAAACATGTTCTGGTGAGTTTCTGGACCTCTTGTTGGCTTGAGAACATCCATTTCCTAATTGATACCTAAAATTGATCTCGTGGACAAAGGAGAATAAATTTCTCAGCATTACACATTGAAATATACTTATCTAACAGAGTAACATAGGTTTAAATGAGGGTTTTGTTGCTTTGTCCCTACATAGCCGTAGTGTAGTGGTTAGGAGCAAGGGTTTGCTGGCAGGCAGCCTGAGGTTGCACTGCCAGTTACTAGCAGTGTTAGTGCTAGTTGCTGGCCTCCCTTGCTCTCAGTTTCCTCCTCAGAAGTGACAGTTTCTTCTGCATTTGTGGGCAGCATGAAGAAAGCTGGCGAATGCAGGGAACTTAGCCTGTTCCCTGGACATAATTAACACCTTTTTGCTTTTATTTTCATAGTGGCTGCAGCATAGAGAGGGCCGGTGGTAACTCAAAATTAGCAAGAATGTGATTCGTGAATCTTTTTATTTTTTTAAAAGATTTATTTATTTATTCATGCAAGAACTGGGGTGTAGGCCAGAGGCGCGAGGGGTGAGAGGATACCCCAGAGACAGAGTGGGGAGCAGAACAGGTAGATCTACTGAAATACACTGCTGAGGGGAGCAGCAGGCGAGTCAGGAGAGGTCTGCTGTGCCATGTGGGTGGCTCCCTGGCTGGGGATTGAACTCGTGCTACAGTGGCTGGGGATTGCTTCATTGTACTGAGACTTAACCCCTAGCACCACCAGGGAGGCCCCCAAATCTTTGTTTGTTTTTTTTTTTTGTTTTGTTTTTCATGTTTTTATTTTTTTATTTATTTATTTGTTTGTTTGTTTTGTTTATACATGCACTGGGTACAGTCAGAAGCGCGGGAGGGTGAGAGAATTCACCAGAGCCAGAGCGGGGAGCAGAGCAGGCAGAAGGATCGAAGTACACTGCTGAGGGGAGCAGCGGGCGGCAGGAGAGGTCTGCGCACCATGTGGGACCCTCCTCTGGTGGCCGGGGAGCAGCCGGGGATCGAACCGGCGCCGCAGAGGCTGCGGGCAGCTTTGCAACCCAGCGCTCAACCGCTGCGCCACCGGGGAGGCCCCCCGAATCTTTGTTTTTTAATAAAGAAAAGGAAAGCGTAATGAGACCAAAAGCATGAGAGAGAAACAATATAATACTCACTAGGATGAGGTAGACCAACTACTAGTCTCATCAGGACGCATTTCTTATTCCAACAAGCTGCCAGTGTGCTTGTCCTCAATTTCAGTGATAAAACAAGATGACAAAGGCCATTGAGATGTGAAGGGTTAACATTCATGATGCCAGTTACAGGGAGGTAGAGTAAGGTGACTCGCTCCTAATCTCTGCAAAATAAACTTTACTGCAGCTGTGTGGATGGTTATGGAAGTGGTTTTAAAATGTTTATTATTTTGGCTCACCTCGATTATTTGATTGAAAATTGTCTCATTTTGGAATGAGAGAGCGTAATTACCAAGGATTGTTTCTTGTAGGGTGTTCATCACCTGATAATGGTGGATGTAGCCAGCTCTGCCTGCCTCTCAGTCCGGTATCTTGGGAATGTGGTTGCTTTCCTGGGTATAACCTGCAACTGGACAAAAAGAGCTGTGCAGCTTCAGGTTAGTGCTGCGGGCACTTGAAAATGTGTCTGGAAAAAGATTCTGTTAAAACATTTCTTTTAGGAAAATAGAGAGTGAAATTGCTTTTGACTTCCGGGGAAAAAGTCTGATTTTTAATTTTTGGACATGGAAAGCTAATCACATTATAAATGTAAATAGTGGGTATATAAATAATCATCATGGTTTTGAAGAATATTTCTAAGTTAATTGGTATTCAGCAAAGACCTGCTGTAACATCAAGTATGCATCCTAGCAAATAGAGAAGTCGTGACCAGAATAATCTTAAAACATTATAAAGTTTTGAGAGGTATTTATTCATATTTGGTGGTTGATTTGATTTTCATCTCCCCAGTGACTATAATAATCCTAATACCTTGGAAAATTATGTCATTTTTATATTTTTAAAAATTTAAAAAATGTATACATACAAGAATTGGGGTGCAGGCCAGAGGTGTGGGGGTGAGAGGACTCACCAGAGACAGAGTAAGGAGAGAGAAGGTGGATCTATTGAAATACACTGCTGAGGGGAGCAGCAGGCAAGACAGGAGAGGTCTGATGGCACTGAGACTTGAGCCCTGGTCCACCAGGGAGGCCCAGACAATTTTGTCCTTTTTATGTCAAAATGTGTTGTATGTGTTGTATGTGTCTTTTTTCACCTTCTGATATGATAGTCCTTGTGTCCTTTCAACAGCTTGAGAAGCCTGGATTTAGACCAAATTCATTTAGTTTCTCCTGTGGTTCATTGTGCTTGTCATCTGGGGTAGTGTAATGAGTCTGCAGAGCTGGCCTAAGGGAGACCCCAATACTCTTAACTTCTCAGAGTCTTAGTTAAAGCAGCATAACCTGAATTCTGAAAGGATCAGGGGCTCATTTTTAGCTCCCATAGTCAAGCCTGCCTTTCACAAGTGCCAAGGACACATGGATGAACACAACCTGCTAACGTGAATATTTTAGTGTGTGTGAGCCTAGGAGAGCACAGCGCTAAGGGGAACAGGACATAGCTGTCATGTTGGTTATATATGGGTGTCTTTTCCTATAAGTAATTTGCATTTTATTTTATTTTATTTTATTTTATTTTATTTTATTTTTTTGTGGGACCCTCGCCGGTGGCCAGGGAAGAACTGGCGCTCAACCGCTGTGCCACCAGGGGAGGCCCTAATTTGCATTTTAAAAGCAGGCCCTGAGGGAGGGTGGAATCCAGTCATGGGGTTCCGGCAAGGTGTCACCCCCTGGAAGAGCAAGGCCTCCTGACTGTCCTACCCATACCATATTGGTGGGAAATGAAGAACACAAGTACTGCAGAACTGAAGGAAGAGGATATCATGTAAGGGAAGAGTCAGAGGTACTTTCTGGGCATCAAAGCATATTTTAAATATTTGAAATTTGGTTAACAGGACCGCAACCATTTTTGCTGTTTGCCAATTCTGAAAATATCCAACACATGTGTTTCGATGGAACAGATTATGGGATCCTGCTGAGCCAGCAGATGGGGACGGTGTTAGCCCTGGATCATGACCCTGTGGAAAATAAGGTACGGCGTTGTCACGGGAGCCTGTGGCCCTGCTTTGAGGACGGAGGAGAGGACTTTGTCCTTACAGATGCCCTGCCCTATCTGAAAGTCCTCTGCTAATTAAGCTTAGGAAGATTAGGCACAGAAACATTTAAATAAAGACCTACAGACATCATTTGAGAAATTGTAAGGACTTTTCTGTTACCATAATTCCACCCTGGTCTCTGTTGTGATTTGGACAATTTACTGGGGATGACTGCACAGGATCTTAACGTTCGTTTCCTCTTTCGAGAGGAGAATGGGAGGCTAGCACAGTACCATACTCACAGAGGAGCAGCACAGATATGTTTTTGTTTTTTCTGCTGATGATGGGAGGAATGAGCGGTGCCAGTATGGAGTAGGAAATACAGCTTAGTAGTTTGTATTTAATATATGTCACTGGGGGAGGCGATTCAGTGACCTCTTAACCATAAAAATCAGAAAACATCAGCTTTGTGATTCATTGTGTTGAATGGTTGGTTGTTCAACACAACATCATTTGCACAATAATCAGTTTTACATGGACTTTTTTTGTGTATAGTTCAGAATTTTAGTAATATCATCCTTATCAGCTGGCCATTTGGCCTGCAATTTCTTAGTTGTATGTGTTCTAGGTTAGAATGGGCTTGAAGTGAGGTATTACAGTGTCCACTTGGGAGATGAATCACCTGCCGATTATAAATTTACATAGCTATTAATCCACCTCCATAATTATTTATTACTGGATGGTGTGTTAATTCCAAGAATTTTAAATTTTGTGCATTTTTCCCTCTTGATTTAAAGCAATCTAGCTAAGACCAAAAGAGTAAAGCAAACAGATGCTGGGTTCACTTTTTGTGATAGCCAAATATAAAATTTTTTTTAAAGATTTATTTATTTATACAAGAACTGGGGTACAGGGCAGATGTGTGGGAGGGTGAGCGGACTCACCAGAGACAGAGCGGGGAATAGAACAGGCAGACTGATGAAATACACTACTGAGGGGAGCAGCAGGCAAGGCAGGAGAGGTCTGTGTGCCATGTGGGTATCTCTGTGGCTGGCGGTTATCGAACAGGCACTGCAGAGGCTGCGGACAGCTTCACAGGGCTGCGCTCAACCTCCTGCGCCACCAGGGAGCCCCCAAATATAAATAATTTTGCAAATAAATGTTTTGTACTTAAACATTAGCAAGCAATCCTTTCTGTTGCCTGAAATGAATCTATTTGATCCGTGGAAGACGTATTAATAGAAAGAAATGATTGATAGATTAAAAAATTCAATTCAAGATTCAGGTATTATCAAACCGGTATTGAATGCACTATCATACTTGTTACAAGCAGGTGAATTAGAAGACACAGAATAAACTTTACATCATGTGGCCGGCTTTCATTTCTCTAGTCAATAGTCTCATGATCTTTCTTCTCAAACTGTGGTCCTTGGACCAGCACCAACAATGTCACCTGGAATCTATGGAAACAGCAAACTGTCAGGCACCCCCCTCCTGATCAAGGACTCACAATTTGCTTTTTAACCAGATTCCCAGATGATTCATATAGGCACCCTAAGTTTGAGAAACAGTTCTAGCAGAGTGCTTTTATATATGCCAAGCACCACCCATTTTTATATTATGGAATAGAAACTTTTCTATTTTAAACAGAAAGATAACCCATTTGTGAATGAATTGGCAGAAATAAATATTCTCATCACTGAGCAGATTTTTATGTACCTGTGTGCACTCACAGTTAAAAAACCACAAATACATGTAATCAAATGTCAGCAGATCCACAGGAGTTTTAAACACTTGTAAAATTCTGTACCTGTTGATGGTCTACATACTCAACTGGAGAACCTTACACCTGCAAGGTATGCTCGGGTGATCAAAAGGAATTCATTAAAATGAAATTATGGGGTCTCCCTGGTGGCACAAGGGGTTAAGACGCAATCTATGAAGCTCTTTACAGCCACTGTAGCACGTGTTCGATCCCCAGCCAGCGAGCTACCCACATGGTGCAGCAGACCTCTCTTATCTCCCCGCTGCTCCCCTCAGCAGTGTATTTCATCAGTCTGCCTGTTCTGTTCCCCACTCTGTCTCTGGTGAATCCTCTCACCCTTCACACATCTGGCCTGTACCCAGGTTCTTGTATAAATAAATAAATCTAAAATAAAATGAAATGATGTATGGCTAGAGATGAAAGGAACTTTAGCAAACATCTAGTCTAACTGGTCATTGTTACAGTTGAGAAAATTGAGGCCAGAGGATGTGGTCAGGCCTGAAACAAATAAGCAGCAAAGTGGGGAGGGGAGCCTATATCTCCTGACGAGTAGGTGAGCACCGTGGAGTGAGCAGTGGAGAGAACAGCTTGGCCAGTGGCCTTGTGCAGACTGCTCATCAGTGTTCCCTTCCAGGCTGTGGAGCCACAAAGCTTCAGCACGCAACTCTGGTATTGACCAGTGATCAAAATTAATAAATGACCAGAAGAAAGAGAAGTACATGGGCATCCCAGGGCGATGGTGTTTTATATACACAAGACAAATGCAGCTGGTATTTTTATCTCCATTTGACCAATGAGGAAACTGAAACTGAGAAGTAACAGGGGTGAAGGCCAGTTGCCTGCGAATCATTTGCAGAGCCACCTCTTACCCTGTATGCGCTGTAGATCTTTAAACTCGTATGCATAGATTCCACATTCATTGTAACAAAGCAGACTCCCTTCTCTTTGTAGATCTATTTCGCCCACGCAGCCCTGAGCTGGATAGAGAGAGCCAACCTGGACGGTTCGCAGCGGGAGCAGCTCATTCAGGAAGAAGTAGGTGTGCCCGAAGCACTTGCTCTCGACTGGATCAACCGCAAATTATACTGGACAGACAGAGGGTATGTTTCCTCTTTCCATTTTAAGCCACGTGGGATGACAGCAATGGGATAGGTCATCAGCCATTTGTCTCTGACTTTGAACTCAGAAAAATATTGGGAAGCACTTGGTTGGGACTGCAGGAAGATGCCCCCATTTCTGTCCCCACACCCCCTCCCTCCCCTACCACCCAACGGGATATTCCTTGGTTCATCAGGACTAGATGTATATCCAAGGGAGAGATTTAAGAACCAAGAGTGTGGCATGTGTTTTTACAGTTCGGGCTGCTGTCATCAGAGAAATGCAAAAGCTGTCTGAATGCAGTCAACAAACATTCTGAACATCCGCTGTGTATAAGGCTCTTGCCTAGGGAACATGGGAGATGCGCGTGAGCTGGCAGGTGCCAGGTTTCCCCAGCCAGAGCCCATGCGCACGGGACTCTGGTGCCGACGTCTGGTCTGAATGTCAGGGCTAGTGATACCATGTGGCTGTGGTGGATCGTTGCCAATGAAGGGTGTGCTCTCAGAGGAGTGCTGGAAAATCTTCAAGAACCAGGAGGTCACCCCGCTCCTTGTGCAGAGGGAGAAAGTGATTTATTCAAGCTTACATGACATGCAAGTGCTGAATCTTGGGCGGAATCCATGTAGGAGAGCATGAAGGAGGAGCCAGAGCTTCGCGCTGGAGGAAGGACCTCAGGAGGGGCGAGGTGGTCTGTCCTCCTCTCAGAGGGAAGGGTGGTGGTTCTGCCCTCTGCACACTGCTTAGCCCGCTGCCTTGCTCGTGAGAGAGAAGAGGCTACCACACAGTCAGCCTTGTAGGGTATGAATAAGGATGCTATGTACTTTAGGGTATTTTCTCAGTCACTGAAACCCATGCTGGGAATGGTGGCCAACCTGAATATCCTATACCTGTGCCACTGTGTGAATGTAAAGGAAGAGAGGATTAGGTTTTCACCTCTGGAGTCAGCAGTCCATCGCCCATGCCAGGGACAGGGTGATATGCTTCATTTTCTTGGTCCTAGAAAATGGCTTTTACTTGGGCAACCCAGGGGAAACAAATGGGCTTTAAACGAGCCAGATGTGTGGTGTGCAGTGCAGTTGTAACATGGCGCTTGTAGATCAGGGGTTCATTCGTGTACTTTTTCATTCAACCACACCCCCATTCCTTCATTTTTTGGGTGTTTATTTACTGAATAACCACTGTGCCTCAGATACTGTGCTAAGAGCTTTCTACCTACAATACAACCGAATCCTCACAAGGTCAGTTTTCTTATCCCAAAGTTAAATATTAAAAACTGAAAATTAAAGTGGTAAAAGAACTTTCCCAAGGCCAAGCAGCCAGCAAGTAGTGGATCTGGAATTTGAATTCAAGGATGAGTGTTCGCAAAGCTTAGACTTTTTTTTTAGGGTTTATTTATTTATGCATACAAGAACTGGGGTATAGGCCAGAGGTGTAGGGGGTGGGAGGATTCACCAGAGACAGAGTGGGGAGCAGAACAGGCAGACTGACTGAAATCCACTGCTGAGGGGAGCAGCAGGTGATTCAGGAGAGGTCTGCTGCGCCATGTGGGTAGCTCCCTGGCCGGGGCTTGAATTCATGCTGCAGTGGCTGCGGGATAGCTTCATAGGCTGTGTCTTAACCCCTTGTGCCACCAGGGAGGCCCCAAAGCTTAGACTTTTAATAATCATAGAGAGGAACCACCTTCCCAACTGCCTTGGTTAAAATGTGCTCCAACTAGGGCCACCCTGGTGGCTCAGGCAGTTGAGCACAGCGTTGTGAAGCTGTCCGCAGCCTCTGAAGCTCAGGTTCGATCCCGGCCAGCTGCAGAGATACCCACATGGCGCGGCAGACTCTTGTCTAGCCCGCTGCTCCCCTCAGCAGTGTATTTCAGTCAGTCTGCCTGTTCTGTTCCCCACTCTGACTTTGGTAAATTCTCTCACCCTCCCACACATCTGGCCTGTATAAATTTAAAAAAATAAATCTTTAAAAAAAAATGTGCTCCAACCAGATCATATAACAAATGAAAATCAACTTCAGTTGTAGCAGTGACAAAAATCAAAGTAATGGTCTCCTCTGTGTTGAACCTACTTAAAAGGACACAGAAAAATGTGGGTGGTGTATAATAACAGAGCAGTACCCTGTGGTTCTCAGGAGAGTAACCTTGATCCAGATGACAGATGTCAGCCCTCTTGGCCCCTCCGAGGATACGGGGGTCTCCTCATTGTTCCCACATTCCACAGCACCTCTAATTTTAACAGTGTGTGGTTAATAGCACTGTGGTCCCCCGTACTGAGTCGCCCCATGCTGGAGAAACAGACCTCAAATTCCCTGGTTTCGTTGTCTTGGGTAATAACAAACCCTTCTTAAGTTATCTTCCCTCTAAAGGCAGCTGTGAAAAGCAACCTTTAATTTGTCTGGAAATGAGAGGTTTATAATTTGAAATCCTTGATATTAGCTAGAAATTGGATTTAAATAACAGAGATTCCAAGCTCATATGAGATAACATGGTGACTCTTAACCAAGTGAAAGCAGCAGAGAGGAGCTTACCCCTTCTGGTGGCTTAGAGTCAGGTGCACATGTCAGTGTAGGAAGGCAGCTAATTGCTCGTCCCATTGGCCAAGGTATTATGAGGTGACAAGGAACCCTGGTTCCTGAAGCCAGTTGCCCAGTAAAGAAGAAATAAGGGGGAAAGCGCATATTATAAGAGAACTGTTTGCTCATTGCTTTGAGACAACAAAGACGGCAGGAGATAAAGCAGATAACCATTCTTGACCTAGGAGGGTCTGAGGATCCAGCTGCAGTGGTGGGAATGAGATGGTTCAAAAAGAAAGGTTCTGCCAACCCAGACGTCTGTGTGGACTTTGCTTTCTTGTCACCCACCTTGGAGTTTGAGATTTGCTTCTTGGCTGAGTCAGAGAGAAGTGTATGATAAGGTGACCCTCGAGAGTAAATTCCAGCAGTATTTTTGCATAGAACTGGGGTGTTGGTCAGAGATGCGGGGAATGAGAGAATTCACCAGAGACAGAGTGGGGAGCAGAACAGGCAGACTGACTGAAATACACTGCTGAGGGGAGCAGCAGGCGAGACAGGAGAGGTCTGCTGTGCCATGTGGGTCAGCTCCCTGGCCGGAGATCCAACTTAGGCCCCAGTGGTGACAGTGCTAAGACTTAAACCCTAGGCCACCAGGGAGGCATGAAAGTAAAGTGCATGTCATAAATCTCCTGACATTACATCTGTTTTAGGAAATCTCTCATTGAAGGGAGTGATTTAAGTGGAAGACATCGTCAAGTCGTCATTAAGGAGGACATCTCCCAGCCACGAGGCATTGCTGTTCATCCCAGGGCCAAGTAGGTGTTGTGAAAAGGCCCCTGCAGAGGTCAGCATGCATCTGACAACTCGAGTCCAGATGTGTCCGAGACCCCAGGGGGTGGGGGGGATGAGGCACACTGGCATCCTTGGGGGTGGGGTGGGGTGGGGTGGGGGAGCGCAGCTGGCCAGACTCCTCACGCTGTTCCTGTGTCTTGATTTCCTCTTCTTGTATAGAAACATTGTTGTTCAGCTACCCTGTCATTTTAGGCAAATTTAATTTCCTTTTGAAAAGAAACAAGCTATTTTTAATTATTCCATTAAACATAAGCCCATTAAACTACTTTCTTTTAAAATCTACATTATGGCTTTCCTGAGCAGAGGGAAAATCATAGGATTTTCGGGTTCAAATAAGAGGTCATTTCTAGAATTAGAAGACAGAAGCAGAAATCACGAAAGATGAGAATACTCTATTTGTTACTGTAAATTAGTGACCAATGTTGGGTTAGCGTCAGAAAATTACAAAGAATAATGGATTCCTTTCTACCTGTGAAAAAAACAAGGTTGAAACTGACCTTATTGTTTGTGATGGTCTTTAAAAAATACATTTATTTTATCCCAAATATTTATTTTATTTATTTATGCACACAAGAGCTGCGGTACAGGCCAGAGGTATAGGGGGTGAGAGGACTCACCAGAGACAGAGTGGGGAGCAGAACAGGCAGACTGACTGAAATACACTGCTGAGGGGAGCAAAGGGGAGACAGGAGAGGTCTGCTGCGCCATGTGGGTAGCTCTCTGGCCAGGGAGCGAACTCAGGCCGTAGTGGTCATAGCACTGAGATTTAACTTCTAGGCCACCAGGGAGGCCCTCATGCAAATTTATTTGTTGTGTGCTTCCTTGATTAAAGGAGATTATTCTGGACCAATGTGGGGACTCACCCACGAATTGAAAGTTCTTCCCTTGAAGGCTCTGGCCGAAGGGTCATCGCCAGCTCTGGTCTGGTCTGGCCCAGTGGACTGGCCATCGACTACCTGACCGACACGTTGTATTGGTGCGATGCTGAGCAGGCTGTGATAGAAATGGCCAATCTGGATGGTTCCAGACGCCAAAGACTTCCCCAGGATGATGTAGGTAAGGCTCGGGAGGGTGACTTCTTCATCTTGACCGAGTGTTGATGAGTGTTAAAAATAAAATATGTTCACACTGACATACACAGACCCGTACCTGTGTGATGACAGAGGGACAGACAGACAGGACACAGACTTCTTTAGGGATCTAGGAGGCAGGAGGATTACCTTAGCACTGGAACACTGGGCCAAAAATAGTGGTGGATAATCTGTTCTCTCTGCTAAGATTTCCCCAAATCAGAATGAAGATAATAAGATTTTCTGTAAGAAACACAGCAAAGGAATGGACAAAAACAAATCAAAACAAACCCTGAAATGTGACTGCAGAATTGAGGCTGCCAGAGGGTGATTTGAGTGGGGAGTAGAAGGGCAGCAGTCAGTGGACTGAAGCATACAGGTGGTCTGGTGGTGGGCATGATGTGGTGACATGCACTACTGGAGGGGTAAAACTGCACCCCTAAAATACTTACAATATTGTAAGTCAGCATTGCCGCAATAAACATACTTATAAAAAATCACATTGTGAGCTTAAAAAAATAAACAAAAAACAATTGAAGTACTGAAAAATTTTTTAAACTGCTCTCAGAATGAGAACTTGATTCAACTGTTATTTCCAGTGTTTTACAAATGGTCATTTTTATAGTAGTGTAGTATCACCTCAGACATGAATGAATATCTATGCCCAACACGTGCAAAGGTTAATAAGCATAGTTCTGATTCTGCATAGGGTGTCATTTATTTTTGTAAATACCTTTGAAACACTGCCCTGTGCTGTTAAAAGCAATATATGATTATACAGCAGTGGGATATTCGTTTGCCTCAGGGAATCTGCAAAGACAGATTTGAACCAGGCCAGACAGTGAGCAGATGGTGATAAGGCTGCAAAATTTGGTCTTTGTATGTTACTACTGCTTGGATATGCAGACTGGACTTAATTCTGAATGTAGTGGGGAGTCACTGCATGTCCATGAGCAGGAAATGCACATGATAAGATTGGCATTTGAGGGTGATGACCACTTAGATTACATACTGTGTAGGGTTGGACTGGAATTCAAAGAGAAAGAAACCACTATGAGGCTCCAACACTTAATTAGTACACTCAGCAGTTAATGAAGTGCTAAGTTAGAAATTCATTTTTTCAGTGAATATAAAGATATTTATTTTGACCATTATCTTTGGTTTTAGGGATAATAAACACCTAGATTTGTACTATGCATTAAATAGGTCAATGCGTGTATACTTGCAAATTTTACATATTTTCAAGTTTCTTTAAGAATCAGACACTTCTCACTAAGTGATAAACTTGTGTATAGTCAGATTTTGTTCATTCATTCTCTGAACAGATATTCACCGTGTCACTATAGGGAGTGGAGATAAAATGGAGAGTAAAACAGTTGGGGTTCCTGTGAAGTCATGGAGCCTAGAGGGGAGACATATATCATTAACAATATAGATATTCCAAACAAATATAAAGTTATTTGTGGAAGTATGGAGGGTAAAAATGAAAAATTTTACTTTAAATATAAAGATGCCATGTTGTAAACCAAAAAGTATAACAGATATTTGGTCAATAATTTATATTTCTACTTTAATGTACAACTAATGCAACTTCCTATTAAAGGCCATTATCAAACATCAAAATAGCCATTCCCATCGTTACAGCGCCATCTACTGGTACAAAAGGGGTAGGTTCTTAGCCTGCTTTTTAGGATTTTTAAAAATTTTTGTTTATTATTTAATATATTTTATTTTATATAATTCTTACATCAGTTTTCATTTTTGCACAATATATGCATTTTCATTTTGGTTATATTCCCCATACAATTCCACCCCCCACCAGTGTGTCTCTGGTTTATAGTTGCTTGCTGATTTTGATTTTTTCTTTATTATAATTAGTCTTTTTCCTGGCCCCTTATTTAGGTTTTCTAAATTTCTGCTATGAGTGAGACCACCCGGTATTTTTCTTTTTCTTTCTGGCTTATTTCGCTGAGCATGATCCCTTCCAGCTCCATCTATGTTGCTGCAAATTGCATGTGTTTATCTTTTTTGATTGCTGAGTAATATTCCATGGTGTATATGTACCACATCTTGTTGATCCAGTCATTTATTTTTTGGCATTTGGGCTGGTTCCATAGCTTAGCTATTGTAAATAGTGCTGCTATAGACATAGGGGTGCAGGTGCCCTTTTTAATTAATGTTTCTTAGGATTTTTTCTAAATTATTTCTAAAGATTGAAATAATCCATTGTTAATTTAAAATGCAGTATGGGTCATCTATGAATAGAAATGAGGATTGTATATAGTATGTGGTGGTTGTTGGAAATTGTCAGCTAATTCTGACATGTGCTGTAATGTGGATGAATCCAGAGGACATTGTAATACAGTGACGTAAGCCAGGCACAACAGACAAGTATTGTGTGATTCCATTTATGGGATCCATATAAGCGTCCAATGTATAGAAACAGAAAGTGAGTGCTGGTTGCCAGGGACTGGGTGTGGGGGGTTTATTGGGTATAGAGTTTCAGTTTTATGACTGCGTGAATATACTTAGCACTAAGCACTACCGAACTGTACACTTCAGTTAAGTACATTTTACATTTTCTGTTTTCCACCAAAAATTAAGAAGCAAAGGATAAAAAATTCCCTTGCCTTTATGGTTCTGAGTCGGGACTAATGGCTAGAGTCTAGAACATTTTTTACCAGTCTGGATGGATAACGATGGGTAGAGGCAACTGTCTCCAGGACGGGTTGTTTGAGTTTGCTGCCAGACGAGCTGATGCCTCTGACCGCTGCAGATGGGAATGTCCATCCCTCTGCTCACTAAATGCTCTGTTGCGTCTTCTCATATGGTCTCAGGGGCATGAAGGGCGGGTGTCAAGATTCCAGGCTGGCAGTGGGGCTGCTGCCATCAGCAGAGGCCAGTCAACTGACAGCAGATAAGAGGCAGGAGAGGAAAGGAGGTAGGAGCTGGAGGAAGAGAAAGAGAAACATGTTGGTGCAGATGGGAGTTTGAGGAGATTGTTACTCAGTTGTCCCTAATTACACAAAAAATCCTTACAACAACCTGTGGATTTAATCTACAACTTTTCATTGTCATTCAGAAGACAAGGAAGTTAAGCCATAGAGGAGTAAAGTATTGATAATTCACTGGGAGTGAATTATCAGTGACAGAATCACTGCACAAAGAAAGAGGGAGCAGTGGTGAGAACCCAGGCACTCCCTTCTGAGCCAGACATAACTATAACAATGTAGAAGTGACTTTCTGCTCCCTCACACCTTCTTGTTTTAAAAGATACATAGTTGGGGTCTCCCTGGTGGCACAAGGGGTTAAGCACCTCACTAGGAAGCAATCTGAGGCATCTGCAGCGTGAGTTCGATCCCTGGCCGGCCAGGGAGCAACCCACATGGCACAGCCAACCTCTCCTGTCTCGCCCGCTGCTCCCCTCTGCAGTGTGTGTCAGTCAGTCTGCCTGTTCTGCTCCCCGCTCTGTCTCTGGTGAATCCTCTCCCCTCTCCCCATCTCTGGCCTATACCCCAGCTCTTGTATGCATAATAAATAAATCTTAAAAAAAATAAAAGATACATAGTTATTTCATTTATTTTCATAAGGGTATGTTGTGTTCATATATAATGGAATATTTAAGAGAAGTCTTTATTTTCAGGTGAAGTCTTTAAAAATGATCTGGCTTCCTTCTTGGCGCGGTTATGTCAATCACTCCTACATTCTCAGATTTGGGTGGCTTCTCCCCAGGTTCCCTTCTCGGATGAGGGTCCTCCCCTTGTGGGGTCTCTGTGATGCAGGTGTAGTTGCTGGCTCTCTCCTTGCTTAGCAGCTGTCTAAAGAACTGACTTAGTGTAGGAACTGTGAGGGGGTTGGTTTCAAGCCTTGACTTGTTAAAAGTTGTCATAGCAAAGGCAAGGTTTGTGTGATGACTTGGGATTGATTGCAGGCTACCCCTTTGCTGTGGCTGTGTTCGAGGATCACCTGTGGTTCTCTGACTGGACCCGGCCATCGGTGATCAGGGTGAACAAGAGGACAGGAAAAAACAGGGTGCGTCTCCAAGGCAACATGCTGCAGCCCTCGTCTCTGGTTGTCGTTCACCCTCTGGCAAAACCAGGTACCTTGGGCATTACACCGGCTGTCATTGACTGAATCTGCAATTATTGTAATCGTTTGATGGAGGTGGGAGGCTGGTGGCTCTCTCTGATGTGGATAGAAGTTAAGATTTTCTGACATTTGGATTTTGTTTAAACTAAGACATTCTGGGGTGAGTTTGGGCTTTATCCCTCCAATCTTGTCTTTGCTTCTCTGAACAGTTTACTTAACTGCTACCTGCATTTCAAAGACTTTTGGGTCAAAGACATTATAAAGGTGGGTGGGGTACAATTTAAAGACCAGCCCGGAAGTTCTACCTACATTGGGTGTGCCCACCCCCTCCCCAAGAGTGCCAGTGAGTGCGTGTCAGGCAGGAATAGCATCTGGGCAGGCAGCCCGTGCCCCCTGGGATCTGTTTCTGGATTGTCCTTTGCACATTTAATTAAATTGCAAGTCACGATGAAGAATGTCATGAACAAAATCACTAACCATACTCATCAATGGTCATAAGGTAAAGACATCCTGCAGATTTTAGAATCAGTGGTTCCTCACAGGAACTCTTCTGAAATAGCTCTAGAGTTGGGCTTCCTGCAGAGACACTGAGTCTCTCTCTCCAGAATCTAAGGGTGTTGATTTGCATCAGTGGCGGTCTGTAGGTGTCCATGTCCATCTATGAATGTCCCTCTTTTCCTGCCAGGAGCAGACCCCTGCTTACACCAGAATGGAGGCTGTGAACATGTTTGTGAACAGAAGTTTGGGACCGCTCGGTGTTTGTGTCGGGAAGGTTTTGTGCAAGCCCCAGATGGGAAGGCATGTGTGGCACTGAGTGGACCCCAGCACCCAGCAGGTAAGATGCGAGACCCCCGGCTCCTCCCATCCTCTCATCAGCTGTGTGAGTGAAGCCGGGAGCGTGTGGTCGACTGGGGGAGGTTTCCTAAGTCAAGAAGACCCTGCGAGTTTCCCTGAATCTTCTTATTCTAAGAGAGTCTGAACTCACAGCAACAAATAGCCATCATTGTCAATTAAGCCAAAATTCTCTTGAATCATAAGAGATAATTTAATGGCATCTGTTGACTTCAATAGGTAGCGAAGCAGATCTCAGTAACCCAGCAACACCGTCGGGCATCTTATTCATGGGTGGAGAGCCAGGAGATAACATTGCGGAATCTCAGCATGAACTTGTGGCCGAAATCATGGTATCAGGTATGAATACTGGGTTTTCCAATATAATTTTGGTTTCAACACTTTCCAGGGATTGAACTCAGGCCTTAATGGTGATAGTGCTGAGACTTACCCCCTAGGCCACCAGGGAGGCTCATGATTCTTCATCATTCTTAAAGGATTTTGAAAATCACTTTTTCTTCGAGTCCTTAGAACGACCATGTGAAGGAAGCTGGACAGTCATCATCCCCCAAGTTTCAGAGAAGAAGGTGATACGCAGGCAATTCTTCCAGGGCAAGTTTGTGGCAGAAACAACCTCCTTTTTCCTCTCCACCTCCTGCCCCCAGCTTCATAGCCGTTGCTTTACTTGATGCAAGTCTGCCTTGGGGTTTGCAAGTTACCATATAAATCCTGAATCATCTTCTAATTGAAGATAATTCTGCAAGTGATTTAGGTGTGTTGGGTAACTGGATACTCCACATGTGCTCGGCACAGCCATGTGATTTGGGAGCTAGTCTTCCAAATAAATTCCAGCCCATCCTGAAGAGTCCTGAGTGACAAGTGATGACACAAGTGGGGACAGCATGTGTTCCCACAAGCAACCTCCCTCAGGTAGCAAAGTGACCAATCCAATGTCTGCTTTCACATGGCGCTTACATCCATCCCACTTAGATCATTGAACTTCAGCTTATGGGCAAGTTTGGAGGCTTTCTTTAACCTCCTCTAATCTCAGATGAGCAAACGTACCAGTGAATAGACAGATGACAGCTTCCATTGCACTGTGAGATGTCATCCCCTGCCCCCCAGACCCTCAGGGAGGAGGCAGTTGGAGAATGAACATGGACATAGTCATTAGGGGAAAAAAGAAAACTTGTGTTTATGGCTGAACATGCAACTATGTCCCCTGAGGCATTTGCTTCTCAATGGAGTATGACATCAAATGATCCATGGATAGCATTTAGCTCTTAAGGTTCATGACTTTGTAAAAGTGCCTCGGGGCTTGCAAGCCACTGCATCAATCTTGATAATAAACACGCACGGTGACATGCATATTCTGTTATATATGAAGCAGAATTTTGGTAGATTGACAAGAAGTCTTTCCCTTTGCTGTGTTGAGACACTGCTCTCTATAAGCTACAAAAGGGACCAGAAAATGCTGTGTCACAGCAGTAAGAGAATGCTTAAATACGCAAATGTGAAATTTGAGTCGATGTACTCCTAATAACTTTAAAGTTCAAATTTGCAAATGTTTTTTAAAAATTATAAATAAGATCCCCTAGGGCTACTTGAACGTCAGCCAGCTTCTTTCTTTAAGGCTAAAGTTTGCCGAGGGCACGTACGTGGAAACACATGCCTGCAGGATCTTTTAATATAGATGGAGCTTACAGGTCAACCAAATATTTCTATTTGGAGGTGAGCCTGCCTTACACCCTGGGAAAGGAAGTGCTGCGATAGTCTGCAGAACTCAGAACACGGACACGCAGCTCCTCCTCTGTCCTGGAAATGATCAAATGGCTCTGACTATTTGCAGATGATGACGACTGTGGGGGGTGTGGCCCCCACGCTCTGTGTGTTTCTGAGGGAGAGAATGCCACGTGCCAGTGCTGGAAGGGGTTCGCTGGAGACGGACACATATGTTCTGGTAAGAACAGAGACTTCTGAGACCTCTCTCTAGACAGCCCATCTGGAAAACAGTGACCTAAAATATTCCTTCAAGACATACTCACTCAAGATCTCCAGAAGGATTTCCGTCATTAGCAGGATGGACTAAATCAGGTGATATTACCTAGAAAGATAATGACTAGCATACAGAGAAAAGTATGCTTTACATGACATTGAGTTTATATTAAGACAATATCATATATACAGTTGTTATTTTTTTTTAAAGATTATTTATTTATTTATACAAGCACTGGGTACAGTCAGAAGCGCGGGAGGGTGAGTGGATTCACCAGAGACAGAGCGGGGAACAGAACAGGCAGACTGACAAAATACACTGCTGAGGGGAGCAGCGGGCGGCAGGAGAGGTCTGCGCGCCATGTGGGACCCTTGCCGGCGGCCGGGGATCGAACCGGCGCTGTAGAGGCTGTGGGCAGCTTCGCAGCCCAGCGCTCAACCACTGCACCATCAGGGGAGGCCCTATGCAGTTGTTATTAAGGAGAATTTAGGATTAGCTTCAGAAGCATGAATGTGAATTCAAGTCGAATGTACAAATCCCCCAATTCCAATGAAAACACAACTTTTGCCCTCCACCACCCAAAGTTCAGGTCTTCAGTTTTTGTTTAAACAATAGGTTGTGAAGGGTAGACTTCTATTTTATACCGAGAACCTTAAATAAGTGAGTGATTACAAAAAAAGATCTCAGTCCTTATGGTCTGAGTCTGCCGCAGTGATTGATTGACATAGGGACACATGTATTCCGGTGTGTGAGAAATTGTAATCCATCCACTTGTGAACCTCACGTTCTAGACACTGGGGTTGTCTTCTCTCTGCCAGCAGTACCTGAACAGCTGCGTGACACTGGGTATTACACTTCTTCTATTCTCACCCACACCGGGGCCGCCCACTTATGTCACGGGTCCCTCATTCTGCCCACAGATATAGATGAATGCAGGGATCCTGTCACACTGTGCCCCCCCGCCGCCTCCACATGCGTCAATACGGAAGGCAGCTACGTGTGCCGCTGTTCAGAGGGCTACCACGGAGACGGGGTCCACTGTGTGGGTAAGTGGGGTGCTCCGGAGGAGGCGCTACAGGCCCTGGTGGGCATGGTGGGCAAGCAAAATGGAAAAGCTTCCAGTTCTCGGTAAAGAGTCAAGTTGTTGCCTCTGTGTCAAGGGCCCAGAGGGCTGACCCCTCTGCCTTTCTAGTTCTTTCTGTGGGGTGGGTATCCCCGGTGTCACATGAGGTCTCCAAACGGGAGCCAGCATGGGGTGGACTAGATAGCCTTTTCTTTGTCCCTGAGTGTGGCGTTTAGACAGGGTGACCACAGAGGGGAGGGGGCTTGTTGGAAGGGGCAGCTGTGTGTGGGTTCAGGAGAAAACATGTGGTCGGAAGGGACTCTGGAGAAGTGCCCCAGCGGGCATGCCCGGCCCCCGACATCGTTGGCACAGGACAAGTCATTAGGCCTCTTTCCTCATCACCACCCTCTGCCAAGCCGGGGCGGGGCTGGCCGGGCGGGCCCTCACCCCGTTCCAGGTGTGGGTGGCTTAGCATCACCGTACAGGCAGGGACCTGCCTGAAGCCGTTGTGGCCTGGAAAGTGGTTACCTGAGGTTTACAGGGCTTCGCAAGGCCTCTTTCGGTGTTTGCTTTTCCCTCTGAACATAAAAATCTTTCCACGGCGAGGGACAGATGCCCTGATAAGAAGCTGAAAGGGGACTGCGTTCTCCCACACGTTGAAGTCGAAGATGAAATATCAGTCAGAGCTCCCAATTTTCTGGATCTGGTTGGTTTAAATCAGACCTTTATCAGATTAGTTTTGTGGAATCCACAGACATCTGTAAATGCTCTTTTAAGCACATATTTGGCTGTCAGTCAGGAAAATGTCACTGCTCTGATTAAGCAGGCTCAGAAGTAATTTAGACAAACAGGCTTCATATTTAATTTACTCTGAAGAGACAGGAAGGTATACTCTCTCGGATGTTTAAATTCATTACACTCTGAATTCTCTGGACTAACCCAGCTCCTGCAGGCAGTGAGCCCACAGTGGGGTGTCAGGGCCGGCTGGCCTCTCGGTCACCTAGTCCCAACCCTGTGGGGGCGCAGGGCCTGTTTCCATGCGCTCATCTCCCCTCCCCGTACACATGCAGACACGGCTTGGAACCACGCCTGACATCTACTAAGCTGTGTAAAAGTGTTGTCATTTGGGCCACGTGAGCAGCAAGTCGATGTGCCAGATACCTTCTTGGCTCTTAGTTAGCCCAGGACTGGGAACCAAGGGGAATAACAAGGTGGTACAGGCAGGAGAAGATACTCTCCAGAGAATGCAACTGGGCTAAAAGAAATACAACTGGGTAAAGAAAGGTTTGCATTGTACGAGAAGGAAAAACAACGATGGAATTTCAGAATGGGAAAGAAGATCTTCAGTGTTAAAGATTTTATGGGGGAAGTGCCATTCTGGATGCACCGTGGGGTGGGAGTAAATGTTCACCAGGAAAAAATGTGAAGGGGCTGTGGGCATCCAGGCAGGAAGGCATCACGGGGCTGATCTGGGGAACACTGAATTGTGAGACTTGGTTGTGTTGCAGGGAGACAGAGCAGAGTCCGGCCAAGGGGTGTCTCAAAGACTGGATAGACTGCAGGGTTTGAACTAGACATTTATTTTCTCTCAGCTCTGGAAGCTGGAAGCTGGAAGCCTCAGATCAAGGTGCTGGCTGATTCGATTGCTGCTGAGAACTCTTCCTAGCTCCAGGCGACCTTCTTGATGTTTATTTACTTGGCCTTTTCTCCGTGTGTCTTCCTCTTCTCAAAAGGACACTAGTCCTATTAGATTAAGGCTCCATTCCTACATCTTTCTTTAACCTTAATTACTTCCTAGAAGTCTCTGTCTCCAAACACAGTCACATTGGGGCTGAGGGGTTTCACATGTGAACTGGGGAGACTACAGTCAGTCCCACACAGGTAGATTGGCATACACTTGAAGAGGACTAAAACCTGACCCTGGTCTTGGCTTTCACTCCCCTAGGTCAGCACCTGAGGCATGCAAATGTCACGTCAGTTAGTCACCAGTTAGTCAAAAGAATCAGGTGAAGCTCATTGTGGCATTTTATCTAATCTAATATATTCAAAATATTCACTTTTACACATGCCATCAATATAAAGAATATGTGTGTTTACAGTGTTTATTTTTTTTGGATATTGAATCTTTAAATTCCGGCATGTTTGGCCTCGCGTACATCTCGGTGTCCATCTCTGTGGTTCGGGGTCCACACCACAGGCAGTGAGGCCCACCTGGCCTCTTGTCTCAGAGCTGTCCTTAGAGTGACTTCATATGGAAGGGAGTATGCACCTAAGTGTGAGGGGAGTGGTAACTGAGAAAGAAAAAGGCAGGTAGCTCGGGAAGAAAATGATGACTTTCATGAAGAAAGCACAAATGTTTTCTTTGATGGAATTTGAGCATCAATATTATACATTATTTGATCAATAAATAATATAAAATGTGCATGTCTTTTTGCAAAAGTGAGGACTGAATCTTTAGAAGCTGAACTTCCGAATGTTAGCTAGAAATAGCTGACCACACCCCAGCTTACCTCTTGGGCTCCCCGAGTTGGGAAGTGGCTTTCAGTTCCTGGCAGGAGGAGAGCGTCCAGCTGTGAGTCAGACACCTGGCTGGGCTGCAGCTGTGGGACCCCCACTCAACTGTCTCCCTGACCCAGAGAGAAGTCCTGAATCTGCACACGTGCAGCACAGCAGAGCTGAGGATGCTTCCCTTCCAGAATGTCGGGTTTTCCAATTGTGTGACCTCTTTCTTCCTCTGCACCCCACTTTTCTCTTCCCACTTTTGTTCTTGGCAGATATTGATGAGTGCCAACTGGGCACACACACCTGTGGGGAAAATGCCACCTGTACCAATACAGAGGGAAACTACACCTGCATGTGTGCTGGCAGCCTCTCTGAACCTGGACAGATGTGCCCTGGTAGGTGGGCTGATGATCTAGATCCAGGGGACTCTGGAAAGTCCTGTTCCCGAGTGCATTTGCATTGCAAATTCTAGAAGTCACTTGATTACATCAGGCTGGCAAATTCACTCCTAATTAGGTTGGTCTTGAGCTTGAGAATGTGAAATGGTCCAAGTTTTCTCCATGGATTAGCATCTGGAATAAATCTCACTTTTTATTCCCAATTCAATAAAGGTGGGGACATAGGTAATTCCCCTTAACCTGAGACTAATGTCCTGATTTGTAATGCTGATTTCTGGGGCTGCTGGAAAATCTCTGCAGGGCAAGACAGGTTGGGGAGGATATCTGGAATTCAGCATTTTGTATCACTTTTGAAGCTTTAAAGATATCACTTTCAAAAGTCAGTATTTCTGATCTGAATTAGAATCGCACCTCTTTGCTCTTTCTCTTTAAACATTAATCACAGTTGACACCTGCTTCGTGGATCCCCATCATGTAATGGCAGTATCACCTGACCACCAGCACCCCAGAGTGGAGCTGGCTACATCTAAACTCAGGGTTCTTCCCTATCACCGCCAACGGTTCCCCTTCTCAGCTCTGCAAACAGAAAAATCCTAAGAAAGCAAAAGTTCTGTCCTTGCTTGGACATGCATTTTTTTTTTTTCCAGCACATCGTGTTTCTCAAATATGCTGTTCTTCAAGGTACTAACAGGCTGTTAATATTCATATAATCAACTAATACCCTCGTGGTTTCCTCTAAGGAGCAGTCAACCATTCCATGAAAGGGTCCTTCCCAATTTCACATTCCCTTTTTACAGGAACATTTCCTTTCTGTCAAAGTTGCCAAAGTCTTCACAGATTCTCCTGAAAGTAAATTTTTTTAAATTTCATTTTTGTATAGAAGAACTGGGTATAGGCAAGAGGTGCAGGGGGTGAAAGGATTCACCAGAGGCAGAGTAGGGAGCAGAACAGGTGGATCTACTGAAATACACTGCTGAGGGGAGCAGCGGGCGAGTCAGGAGGGGTCTGCTGCGCCATGTGGGTAGCTCCCTGGTCAGGGGTTAAACTCAGGCCTTAGTGGTGATGGTGCTAAAACTTAACCCTAGGAACCAGGGAGGCCCCTGAAAGAGTTTTTAAAAGAAAGGATTGTATGGGAGAAGTTTCAGAGACTCCTAGGATCTTGGGGTGACAGACTGTGTTGTGGGTGGTTTATAGGCCATCAGGAGATAGAGTTAGGTGAGACCCTCTGAGGTGCCTGTCCTGTTACACACAGCTTTGTGTGTTGGGGGTGACAGATTTGCTTTTGAAACAAAGCCAGTAACTGGGACTAGGGCCTGACCATTCTTTTCCTTGCCCCCAGTCTGCTTTCTGTCAGGTAATTCTGAACCCAGAGAAAGAGGGGCTTACTCAGGGTGAGTGAGCTGAAGGCAGATTAGGATACAGAAACACTTCTGGTCGGGGCCTCCCTGGTGGCCCAAGGGGTTAAGTCTCAGTACTATGAAGCTATTGCCAGCCACTGCAGCACGAGTTTGATCCCCGCCAGGGAGCAACCCACATGGCGCAGCAGACCTCTCCTGTCTCCCCGCTGCTCCCCTCAGCAGTGTATTTCAGTAGATCCTCCTGTTCTGCTCCCCACTCTGTCTCGGGTGAGTCCTCTCACCTCCTCACGCTTCTGACCTACACCCCAGCTCTTGTATGCATAAATAAATAAATCTTTTTTTTTTTTTAAATAAACACTTCTGGTCATTCTCCTGATACTAAAAGACACAGTATCACAAGTAGGTCACAGGAAAGTAGTTCCTGAAAGACCCCGGTCACTTCAGAAACAAAAGTGATGTCTTTGCTTTTTGCAGGCACCACCTCTCCCCCTCCTGTCACAGAACGGGGCAGCCATTCTGTGAGAAATTTCTACCTGGACTGTCCCGTGTCCCACGAAGGATACTGCCTCAACGGTGGCCTGTGTATGTATTTTGAAATAATCCACGAGTACGCATGCAAGTAAGTCCGGCTGTCCTTCTGGCAGCCCAGAGATTATTGCCATCCTAGCATCCTATAGCATATCTTGGCTAATGTGTAAAATTTATATGGAGGAGGTTTTTCTACAATTAGATTGGATATTCTAGAAGTCACTTGATTTTACCTCAGGGACAAAATAGAAATACATGTAGAAATTAGTGTGTGTGTGTGTGTGTGTGTGTGTGTGTGCAATGCACCCTGCTTATCACTCCACTCCCAGCAGTAACATAAACTTGAGGGTTTGGCAATTCCCCCTTTTATTTAAATAATTCATTGTTGCTGCAGGTACCATCTGGGATTAAACCTCTTATTCTAGTGGAAAACCTGAGGTTTGTGAGAGGATTCCTTTAAATGTTCGTTTATTTTCTGCCAAATCTATGGAGAGCAAGAACAAGGCGTTTCTGGCTTGACAGAAGCGTGGCACTATATTCACAGTGGACTTTTTCCCTTCTGTTTTCAAGACTCAAAAATAAACATGATTTTTATTTCCTAAGAGTCGACACTGATGTTTTGGTTGTTTTAGTCACAACTATGGTTGTGGCATCTGCTTCCTCTCACCACTCCTTTTGTCCCCATGATGGTTTCACTAAGAGCAAAGTGTCAAAGTGTCCACTGAAAGTAGGTTCCAGAAATTTTCTCACTTAGAAGACCTTTGTCCTTGCAACCAGAGGGAAGGACAGCAGCGGGGAGCAGGGGTGCGGGCAGTGGAGGTCAGTGGAGAGTTATTGGGGCTCTGGTGCTGGCATGGTGTGAACACATACACTTACAGAGGTTGAAACCCCCCAACGCAAATACGGTGATGTCAATCAGCTTCACCCCAATAAACATAAATTGCCAGGAAAAATGCAAACCTTTCTCTTATAGGCTTTGATGAAACCTCACTCATAATATCTACTTCTTTCTAAGACTTTGCTTGCCATGAATTGTGTATTTTGAAGGCAGCATAAGAGATAGTGAAAAATAATTTGATCTCCCACAACCAGCCTCCTCACTCCTGATGTGGTTCTCCATGTGAGAAGAAGGTGTGATAAAATATTCTGATACTTGTGACAAATGCCGTAAGCATTTAAGATTATTATATCAGTAACGATGAGCAGAAGCACAGTTTAAATTATTAGAAAGATAAGTTATATCCTGTGGCAAAGTATATATGACCTTGCATGATAAATGGTGTCAGCCTGACAAAAATAATGAAAAATGGTTGTGAATATGAGTCAACATGGCTCACTTCATATATAGGTCTGCTTTCCTGTTGACAGTTTCATGCTGTGATTTTTTAACCCAAGATAAATCTCCTACTTAAAATAGTTACCCTTGATTTTGATTATAAGAATAAAATTGTCTTGGCTTATTTATTTCTTACGGTCCCAAATAACGTAATTTTGAAAGCAAATGTCTTAGCTTATTAGTTCCAGGTTTGTTTTTCTCTATGACACTTTAGCACCGGGCTTTAAAAGACATTCTAATAATTTGAAGGGCAATGCGGGGTGATGGGTCACACCCAGTACTTTCTTTTCATTTGGTCTGTTCACGCAATGATTTGCACTGTCCAGCACTCACCCGGCTTTTTTTATCTGTCTTTAAATCCTGGTGAAAATACATATTCCTATGACGTTTTAAACCTAAGTTGCTAAAAAATGACAAACTGAAGATAATGCTCAAATGTAAGGACCTTTCATCAAAAGTCACATTTAAAATAGCAGAGTTCCCAGCAATCTGGCTCAGAATTTTTGAATTCTACATTTACTAAAAATGTCATTGAAGCAAACATTTGGCCCTTCTGTCTCCAATGATGGTCTCATAGGTATCATGGTACATAGAGTTCTTGACCCCACTGGAGGCCGTGGGGATACCCTCAGACACAGGGACCCCAGGGTGCCTTGGGGGTGCATAGGATGGGGAGACGTGTTGTTAGGAGCAGACCAACCCTCCTGAGCTCAAGCCAGGTCCTCACTCATCCGGTCTGGCTTTGAACTTGCCCACACTCCCCTGGGCTGTTCTTTAACACCCTTGCTGTGAAATGTTTCATGCAGACAGGGCTGGGAGGGTGACACCAGCTTGAGAACTGACACCAGGCCAATGAATAAAGGATTCATCCTTAATTCCCAGGACACTTGGCACATGAAAAAGGCTGGCCGACATTTACTGAATCCAGTAAAAGTGTATTTCTTGAAATTATGTGACCATGGAAATGCACATTTATTCAGCCAGCAGGCATTTGGTATAATAGAAGAATGAGTCAGTAGCTCAAAGAACCATGGTGTGTGGCCCTCCTGGGAGACACAGGCTGGCTGGCCTGGGTTGCAGGCTGCCTGGGCTCAGCGGGGCTGGCCCACCTCGAAGTCCTCAGAGCATCAGAGGCGAGGCCCTTAACTTCCAACCCACTTTAAAAGTGGCGGCTAAGCTTAGACAGTCAGTGGCTATACCCAGGGATGGCTAGAATTGAAACGGTGCCAGGAAAGTAGGATGGCCTGAAGGTCCTTCCCACTCACTGTGTCATCAAAAATGAAATGCGAACGGTGTCTCATGTAGTGTCATTTTGCACATAAGGTGCAAAATGCTCCTTCCTTTCCCTTCTTGTTCTGAGGGTGATCACCAGTGCTCTCACCACCAACTCAAGGCAGGCCGGGGCTGGAACCCCATTTACTGAGCTTCACTCCTCTCCCCAAGCTGCCTCTTCTCACCGGGGATCTGGTGACAATTCTCTGTGTATTTATTCCTTGAGGGCCTTTTGGAATAAAGTAAGGACGTGGATCATTAATCCAGGGCCACGGGGAAGAAACCTCTAGCACGTGAGCCTATGACATGTTTAATAGGATCTGCTGCTTCAGTGTATGCTCTTGTAACATCAAAATAGCCCAGAGTTCCGTCCAAGAGCCCTGGTTTTAGGCGGCCGCATTCCCAGCAGATGGCAGCGTTGCCTTGATTACCTCCCTCTGAAGGTTCGTGGTGCTGGTCATTGTTCCAGTAACTATTCACTCCCGAAGCAGCATGATGTTTGTGGGAGAATGCCCCTTCTCCCCCCTCAATGAACCCCCCTCCTTGAAGTAGCTAAGCAAATGCTGGGCATCACTGCTGTGACATCTCTTGGGCCATTGGTGACTTTTGTCCAAGAGGAAAAGCTGTTTGCTCCAAAGACTTGTTTGCAAAGAGATGACACATATCCTTTTGTAACCTGGCAGCAGGTGAGGGGCCCTGCCTTCAAATTCCTCCTTAATTTGACTCTTACCCATTACTAGCTGACCAGGCATTGGCTGGAAAATTCGTATCTCTAGGACAGAGCTGTTGTGTTGAACTGAGAGGTGGCTCCTCTGCATTTCCTAACCGGAACTGATCTTTAAAGATTTATTTTTATTTATTTATGCATACAAGAACTGGGGTGTAGGACAGAGATACAGGGAGTGAGAGGATTCATCAGAGACAGAGTGAGGAACAGAACAGGCAGACTGACTGAAATCCACTGTTGAGGGGAGCAGGAGGCGAGAGAGGAGAGGTCTGCTGGGCCATGTGGGTTGCTCCCTGGGCAGGATGGAACTCGGGCAGCAGTGACCGGTGATAGCTTCATAGTGCTAAGAGTTAACCCCTTGTGCCACCATGGAGTCCTCTGAACTGATCTTGAATTCCTGTTCTGCAAAGCCTCTGAGAGGCATGATGCAATAGCCCCCCATCCATGGGGTATACAGACCAGCGGGGACATCGGTGCTGTTGGCCCTCACACGTCAGAGGGCTTGACCAAGCCTGGTGGATTCTTCATGGGCTTCCAAAGAGCAGTCAGGAAACGCAGAGCCGGGGTCTGGGACGTGGAAGCGTGTGGGGCGAGGGGTTCCTGCTGACGTCTGCGTGTGTCACCACAGGTGTCCTGTTGGCTATATCGGGAGCCGATGTGAGTACATGAACATCTGGGACATGCGCCGCGCTGGCCACTGGCAACAGCTGGACGTCACCTTGCTGGTTGTGTGCGTGGTGCTGCTGGTCTTGCTGCTCCTCCTGGGGCTGGGGGGTGCGTACTACTACAGGTGAGCCTTTCCTTTCCTCACCCTTTCATTTTTTTTTTCTTATTTATTATTTATTTATGGGGCCTCCCCTGGTGGTGCAGTGGTTGAGTGCAGGACTGCGAATCTGCCCGTGGACTCTGCAGCACCGGTTCGATCCCAGCTGCCAGCAAGGGTCCCACATGGCGTTCAGACCTCTTCTGCCGCGCCCGCTGCTCCCCCCAGCAGTGTACTTCGTCAGTCTGCCTGTTCTGTTCCCCACGCTGGCTCTGGTGAATCCTCTCACCCTCCCGCGCTTCTGACTATGCCTAGTGCTTGTATAAATAAATAAAAATAATAATAATAAAAAGATTTATTTATTTATGCATACAAGAACTGGGGTACAGATCAGAGGTTTGGGGGGAGAGAAGATTCACCAGAGACCCAGTGGGGAGCACAACAGGCAGATCTACTGAAATGCTGAGGGGAGCAAAAGGCGAGACAGGAGAGGTCTCCTGCGCCATGTGTGTATCACCCTGGCTGATCGAACTCAGGCTGTCCTGGTGATAGGGCTGAGACTTAGGGAGGCCCTCCGGAGGATTTTTGTGTGTTGAAAATTTAGATACAATGGACCCCGTATGACAGAACTCAGGAGAGCACACACTGGCTAGAAGCGAGACAGTGACACACGTTGTCATTTTTGGCAGGAAAATGAATGAATTCCTAAGGCCCGCCTGTGCTGATGGGTGTTGAGAGAAAGAAAACCCATCAGTGCTCTTTCTTTTTTCTTTTTACTAAAAGGCACCGGAATTGTAAATGTCTTTCTGAGCGAATCTATGGCTTTGTAAATAACAGTTCTGATCAGGGGAACTACTTACCCCACTTCCAGTTTTCAACTGTGTCTGACGTCTGTACACCCACGAGTCGATTCTGACAAGATCAAATTAAAACTGCTAGAGTAAATATTGCATGGCACCGAGGCAGACTGAAAAATACGGCTCTAGCATTGAGTTTTTAAATTAGGCATGTTAAGAATCAGAATCCGTTATTTCTTCCCTGTTGTATTATGACTCCTTCCTGTCTATGAGATGGAGGGTTCGACATTTGTCTTATATACCTTTCAAAAGATGAATGTTCATCAAGCTAATAATTGCAAAAGCTTTTTATTATTATTGCATAAAACTTGATTTCTTGGAAAGACCTCCTTGTGAGAAAATCAACAGGGAGTAGTTTGCCACAAACATTGTCTTTGTTATTTGGCAACTGTTCACATCAGTTGCTTCAACTTTTCCTCAGTGCCTCTGATGAAAAATAATAACAACCCAGAAGCATGTGCACCTATGTCAGAGCGAGATGGTGCTCCCCAAATTATCTAGTTAATGCAAATGACTGGCATCTCAATAAAATTTGAAAATAAATAAGTAAATTAAAGAGCATTGACTCACATGATAGCCACTCAGTAAATTAAAATTAAAAATAATAACAACTCACAGCATGTCCTGGGATGGGGCTTTCCCAGCAGACTGTACCTTCCCATGGCCCTTCCTCAGTGTCCACAGAGAAAGGGAACTGGGGTGCCGGCACCCTGAGACAGCAGCACTGTGGAGTCTTGAACTGTCTATGGTCTTTGCCCCCACATTTCCCACACAGTCTCCCCTTAGGGGCGGCTCAGAGCAGTACATGTCTCTTCCTACTCCTGTTTTGGGGATGGGACTCACCTTAACATTAGCTCCCCTTCCCTTCACCCCTCTGCACCTGCTTCACTCCACTCCTCCCTAGTACCTCCCTAGACACCAGGCCTGCAAGAGACTGGAGTTTGATGTTTGTGAAACAAACAAATATTTATAAAAGTGGGTTTGCTGGACAGGGACCTAGTGTATTCCTGGCTTGGCGCTGATGAGACAGCATCCTATTGGGTCTTCCACTCCTCATGCTCTTGTCTCTTAATGCTTTTGAGCGGAGGGTGGCAGGTGGCCAGTGGAGGGACCTCAGGCTTTGCTTCATGACCCAGCTCCTGGGCTCACCTAGAAGTTGGGTGCCTTGAGTGAGTTGCCCCTGTCTTTGAGCCCCGCTGGCTTCCTCCGTCAAGTCTGAATCACACAGTTACTATGATGACATTTCCACAGACACCCCCTACACTGTAAGTTCATTAAGGAGGATTTTTAATTGTAACTTTTCTGTTGCTATATCCTGAGTACTAGGACAGTCCCTGGAATATAGTTAGTTTTCACCATGTACCCATAAATGAAGGCTTGATGGCTACCCCATAACCCCAACAGTCATCTCACAGAACCTTGGAAAGAGGGAGACACCGTCTGGAAGGTTCTATAGAAAAATTGCCCTAAAACCCAAAGGGCTGAAATAGCCCCAGCAGTAGTCATCTCTGTCTACCACGGAATGGGTGGGTGTTTTCTTTTGAGATTGTCTGGTTTTATCACATCTTGGCTTTCTCCCAGGACTCAGAGGCAGCTGATGAAAACTCCAAAGAATCCTTATGAGGCCTGGAGCAGAGAGGTGAGTGGAAAAAGGCCTGTGGACAGAGTGGCTGGGTCATCCTCCTGCCCCCAAACTTGGGTAATGCAACCTAGCAAATGAAGAAAGAAATCGGCTTCCTATTATTCTCAGTTCATTTTTTTCCTCATTTTCACTGAATTCAGAGAGCCTGGAATCTGTTACAGCTAATGTTAGCTAACACCCCAACCAACATATCAACTGGGGTGACCCTGGGGGGTGGTGGGAGTGGAGAACTGTCTCTGAAATTAATCAGCTGGGCCACTAGAATTAAGGGCATAAGTTTAGGCAATCTTTTTTATCCTACGAGGTATCTTCTTCCTGTGACTTCCATTTTTATATGTTTTGTGAAAAGTCTGTTTTGATTTATCGGTGATCCCTTTCAAATGGGTGTCTTAAGAACCCAAGATTAAACTTCTAAATTCCTCTAGATTTCTTTTCTCATACACCTTTTCAGTGCCTTAACTTCAAAAGCAAAATAGTTGCCAAGTTTAGCAAATAAAATAATTCATGCTAAAGCAGAAAGTTCAGATTTAAATTTACAGGCAACCAGGTGGCCTGTGTTTTATTTGGCAGCTCTATATGTTTTCCAAAAAAGCACAGGGATTGGGAAGTTGGAAATGCTTGGTAGACCACCCAGTCCAGGAGCTGACCTGGGGACACTGGAGGACAGACTTGAGACGGGCTGGGTTCTGTTAGCAATGGGAATGGAATATCCCTTCCAGAAACCCATTAGATGCAGCGTGACTGGCTCTGTGTATGCTGTTGTGTTCTTTATGGCACATACTGTGAGGCTGGAGGATTAAAACTGTGGGCAAATAGGGGAAAGGCTACTACTGAAGAGAATGTTGGGAGATCAAGGCAACATTGGGGGTCCGTCCCACCTCATTTCCCTTGGTCCTCAGTCTCCACTGCATGCGCATGCCCCAGAATAGTTTTCCTGTGGCTCAGTGCACACTGACTTTTTGGCTGAACTTGAATGGGCTGATGCAGTACATGTACCCTCCCACCATTTGGCAGGCCCGTCATCAGCAAGTTATTTAACCTTTGTGTCCTCTTTGTGACCAAGGGGTGTGGGTGAGACGGGTGCTAACATCCCCCAAATCTTGTGATTCCTTAAGTGTGAGGCCCCTCAGTTCTTTGAGGACTTGAGACTTTTTCGAGCTCCTAAGTTACCCACATTGCACATGCCAGTCCCCATACAACTTCATTCAGGTTTGAGTTAGCAAGTTTAGTTCATCTTATGTAAATCATGGGGGAGAAAGAGAAACAAGCTCATTTTTTAAAAGATTTATTTATTTATGCATACAAGAACTGGTACAGGCAAGAGTGGGAGGGGGTGAGAAGATTCACGAGAGACAGAGTGGGGAGCAGAACAGGCAGATCTACTGAAATACACTGCTGAGGGGAGCAGCAGGTGAGGCAGGAGAGGTCTGCTGCCATGTGGGTCAGCTCCCTAGCATGGGATCGAACTCGTGCTGCAGTGGCTGCGGATAGCTACATAGTGCAGCGACCTAACTCCTTGTGACTCACCAGGGAGGCCTAAGCTCTTTTTTTTTTGTTTTTAAAGAAAAATTTAAAAACAATCACTGGGAGAGAGGCCATAAGATCAACCCAGGTTCTTGGGCTGTTCTGAAAGCCAGTCTGCTTCAGGTGGAAATGGAGTTCAATGAACACCCTTTGACAAAATTCTTTGGCTAAGAGTTGCATCATGATAAATCTATTGGTCTTGGGTCTCAGATATCACGTTCTGTCTCATAACTCAGAGGATAAGGGTGAACCTGTTTTGCATCATGAGCTGTTAGAAGGGCCTAGAAAAACTTGGGGCCAACCTAAACAGTTCCCTCACTGGTGAGGAAGGTCCAGCTCCACTTCTGATATTTCCCTCCATGGCTGTTCTTATTCATGGCACTCTCCACCCGATGTCCTTGGAGAAAGAACACAAGCCTCTTGAAACAGAAGACTCATGCTAAATTCCTTTCTGTTCGTCTGTTGCCACATGAATCAAATTCAGAACTTGATTTCCTACTTTGAGGAAATCCTGGATATTAAGGGGCACTTAAGAATGGAATATTAAAACTACAATAAACATTGTAGTTTTCTACATATGTTCTGTTGCCAGTGTTGTTGCCTGGATGATGAAGACACAGTGTTTTGTTGTTGTTCAGAGCATTATTAGAAAGCAATGGAGTGTCTTGTGGAGACATACTACTGTTTCTTGAATAAATAACACATAGTTCTTTATTACAAAGATGACTCACTTTAGAAAAACAGCATGGAGGGTTCTCAAAATATTAAAAATAGATCTAACATATGATCCAGCAATTCCACTCTTAGGCATGTAGTCAAAGAATACAAAAATATCAATTGGAAGGGAAATAAGCTATGGAAGCAACCTAAAGATGCAAATATAGATGACTGGATTGGGAAGATGTGATTTGTATACACAATGGACTACTACTCAGCTGTCAAAAAAGATAAACTCTTGCCATTGGTGACTGAATACACTATCTTATTAGTATTCATTTTATTAGATTCCACTAGAACTATTAAAAATGTGATATTTTGTTTGGAGGGCATAAAAAAAGGACCCACTTAAAAGGTGCATAGCATGTAATTTTTGCAAGCTGATCAATAGCCCAGTGATTTGATGAGCTAAATACCCGTGAGCCAGTTCATCTCAGAAAGGAACAAAGGGCTGAGCTGAGCTCTCAGGAATAAATGCACTTCCTGTGGCACATCTTTGGCTCATTCTCTGTGGGGCCCTCATGGCAACCATCACACTCCTGGTCACATCAGCTGTCTCATGAGCACCTGTGCTGAAATGTCTTTTTTCTTTTGGGACAGAGTCAGTGCGGCCAGGCTCCTGGAGGAAGTCTGGATGTGTACAGTGAGCACCCAGCAGGGCCCCCACCTCCACCACCCAGTGAAACAGGCTGCCCCTCGGGTGTCGTCCCATCTCCCCAACATGGGGCTCCTGGGTATTGCACAACACACTGTGGCAGCCAAGTCCCCCAGATCCATCGCACCAAATGGATCTGATCCACTGGGAACTGGAGCAAAAAGAAGGGCCAAGCAGAACCACCTGTATTGACCCCGTTAGCACTTCATTTCAAGAAGCAGAGATTGATTTTCTGATTCTGTACACCTACTCGGTGTCCCCGAGACAAATCTGTGGCTGTGCTTTTGTTTCTCCCTTCAGTCCTTCTGCAGAGTTGAAGAAGACTATCCTGGATAATCACCAGCTCACTCTTTACACAGCAAGGATGGAAATGATCTGTAAACTGTGTCATCCTCAATAGTCAGAATTTTTTTTTTTGTAGCCTCAGAAAAAATCTGGGGCTAAAAGCAGGTGATCACACTGGTTGGGTCAGTTCTACTTTCTTTGATCTGGGCAGAACATTTAGCTCAATCTCACAAACGGTGAGAGCATTCAGTTTATAGTTATGATACATTATAGGCTTACACTTATCATTTGTGTGATCCACACTGGTAATTTTGTAGTAAGTGATGACAAATGAAAATGTGCTAATTTAGAAACTGATTTCTTTGGAATTCTATGACTTTTTCCTGTTAAAACCTTTGAATGAAAATATTTCAAGGCAAACACTCCCTACCTAACAAGGGGCTTAAGAGAACACTTACTTCTTAATTAGACAAGCATAGTACAAGATTACAGCCAAACTCAATTATTCTAAAAGTGCAAAATGTCCGATCAAAGCATTAAAAAATGAATTCAGATATACATTCAAAAGATAATGTATGACCAAGTGGTGATGATATAATACATGAAAAATTGGTTAATTATTGAAAACAAGTTAGCATAATGCAACACAATAAAAAAATCAAAAAAGAAATAAAGTTTTCAATAAAATTCAATATCTAGTGCCTCCCCTGGTGGCACAGTGGTTGAGCGCTGGGTTGCGAAGCTGCCCGCAGCCTCTGCAGCGCCGGTTTGATATCCGGCCACCGGCGAAGGTCCCTCATGGCACGACAGACCTCTTCTGCCGTGCCCACTGCTCCCCTCAGCAGTGTACTTCCTCAGTCTGCCTGTTCTGCTCCCCGCTCTGGCTCTGGTGAATTCTCTCACCCTCCCACACTTCTGACTGTACCCAGTGCTTGTATAAATAAATACACAAATCTTTAAACAAATAATAAAATAAAATTCAACATCTATTCATGGCAAAATCTTTATGTTATGTATAATTTTTCTACTATTGTGTATAAAAATTACCATTGTTTTATGTCCTTGTTAATATTTGGACAGTACAGGATTTCTCCCCCCAGGTGTACCCACCACTGAAGTACCCACCATCCTCCACCCTCGTCCGCTGTGCCCGCACCCTCCTCCCCGCTCTCCCTGGCTCTCTGGATGCCTGAGATATAGGGCAGCTTTCAAGGGTTGGTTTTGATGTTTGCCTTTGTCATGACAAAATCTTAACATAAAAACATGATATCTCAGGGACCTCCCTGGTGGCGCAAGGGGTTCAGTCTCAGCACTATGAAGCTATCCGCAGTCACTGCAGCATGAATTCTTTTTTTTTTTTTTTTTTTTGTGGGACCCTCACTGGTGGCCAGATATCAAACTGGCGCTGCACAGCCTGTGGGCAGCCTCTCAGCCCAGCGCTCAACCGCTGGGCCACCAGGGGAGGCCCTGCAGCATGAATTCTTGACCCACATGGCGCAGCAGACCTCTCCTGTCTTGCCCGCTGCTCCCCTCAGCAGTGTATAAGTGTATTTCAGTAGATCTGCCTGTTCTGCTCCCCACTCTGTCTCTGGTGAATCCTCTCACCCCCCACACCTTTGTACCCCAGTTCCTGTATGCATAAATCTTTAAAAAAAGAGAATCTTACATGCTAAATAATTCCAGTAGAGAATGTCTGTGAGCACATAAAATTAAACAATATATTGTTTGTTCAGCAGGGTCAAGAGGTAAAGTGATAAAGAAATGCAAGGGGTCATTGACAAAAAAATCTGAAGGGTGGCTGCCCTGGGCATTGAGAGAGAATGTCCTCAGTGACCAGCATTGGGGCCTCTGAGAGCCTGCTAATGTTGTCTCAGTAGGGGTATTTTTAATATTATTTCTCTGTAGGACAAGCTGCCCATGTCCTATAAATTAGTAATATCTATGTTTATGTATGTTACATATGTACTTCATGGTTAAAAATGGCAAAAAGAACACGAAAGAAATTGTTCCTCAGTCCTGCTGAGCCCTTGGTAGATTCCAGAGGAGAATTCTTCACATTCCTTGCATTTGGCTGGGCTGGGTCTGCTGCGCGTTCCTGCTGGATGAAGATGATTCTGAACTGGGAATTTTCCTTCACAGTTGGAAGTGCCTTAAGAGGTCCAGAAAATGTTTCCTACACACTTTGAACACTTTTGTAAACAGCGAGATTAAAAGAGGGATGAAATAATGGAAGTTATGTGGCGCAAAAGGCTGTACGAAACCTAGGAGGCGATATTTAGAACAATTAACAATTGGCCTTTGTAATCTCCTCACAAATTATGCAGTTGGGGATGGTTAAAATAAAAGCAGCTTCCATAATGGTCAAGAGGAGGGGCGTTCTATCTTCCAGGAACAAATCTGACCTTCAGCAATTCATTGCTTAGTAACTTTCAGTTTTAGACGCTGCTCTTCAAATCCTTTTACACTCTGTGTGTCTGCTAAATTATTCAGTAATGGCTATACTTGTCCTGAGCTGGAAATGGTCATGAGCTGTCTCTCCTTCCTGCAACCAATAGCTAATAGGAGGGATCCCTTTCTCTGTAATGGCAACAGGAAATCAAGATCACGCATGGAGGGAAGCAGAAGTGTCAACAGCTTTTTAACCTTCTGCCACATCAGAACTCTTGGAATCAGCTTTTCCCTTTCTCCTTCCACAAACATGGCTTTCTTTCCATTTGTCTTTTAGATTCCAAATGAGTTCATGTTCCCTCGCTGTTGTTACCATGTTCTTATTCAAAAACTGCCATGAGGGCCTCCCGGGTGGCGCAGCGGGTTAAGCACTGGGCTGTGAAGCTGTCCTCAGCCTCTGCAGAGCGGGTTCGATTCCTGGCCGGTCAGGGAGAAATCCACATGGCGCGGCAGACCTCTCCTGTCTTGCCTGCTGCTCCCCTCAGCAGTGTCTTCTGTCCATCTGCCTGTTCTGCTCACCACTCTGTCTCTGGTGAATCCGCTCACCCTCCCATGCCTCCTGTACCCCAATTCTTGTATGCATAAATAAATAAATCTTTAAAAAATGTGAAATGTCTAAACAAACAAACAAATAAATAGGCAATTCCCAAACTGAGCACCACTCTCCAGAGGGGTCCCAGATCTAGTTGCATTGACAACACAGTCCAATGGGAGTCGTGGAGCAGGCTACACACTGCAGGATGTTGCTGAAAGAGCAAGCTCCTGGCATCTTATTGATGGAATAATAATACAGCATCAACTACACAGGACAGGAGAACAAAAAAAAAAAAAAAAAAAGGATGGATGAAACGGAGCAAATGTGCATATAATTTTAGGGTTTCCAGGGGGAAGAGGAGTCTGCTGACATCTGCTTGATGACTTGATATTGAGATGGAAACCATACGCCAGACCCCCTACTCATGATTCCAATCTTATTGACAAGGCATTCTGTTGATCAGACTCTGGGAGGGCAGAGTTGTACAGTCAGTGGCCCCGCAGGCATTCCCAGTCATACCTCATGATGCATACCCACTGTTCCAGGATGAGCAAGCATCCTGCTCTTGTTAAACTTGAAGGAGCCTTGTAACTAATTGACTGGTTTGGACTGACCTTGTATTTGAATGCAGAACTCCATGTAACCAAGGAGATGGCCAAGCAGGCCATTTAAGTCTAGCAGACCCACAAGATCCTGTGAAGTTCTAAGTGATTTATTTCCTCTTACACTAAACTTCCAATTTTGTAAGGTTTCATCAAAATTCCATCACACAGGAAGCTCCTGTAGGCATGAGCAGGGATTAACATCTCCGGCACAAGACCTGGGTGGGCAAATTGAGTCTAGCTTGGGGAGGTTAGGAAGAAATCTTATGGCACCTCATTTCACCCCTGGATTGTCGAGATTGGCCCTCTTGCTCATTCACTTTGTAGAAAGCAATCCTAAAAAACAAAAACAAAAAACAAAAAACATACTATCCCTTTGGGGTTTGCAAGAGGCCTTCCATAATCCAGAGAACTGGCACATTAATTTAATCAGAAACTTGGCTTCTTTTCCATCTCTTCAGTTTGACAATTAAGAGGCATGACTGCAATGGATAGGTTCATTTTGGAGGCAAAGAAAATCAAAGTACTCGCAGAGATTTGTTGGGCCAAGGAGACTCTCTCCGGACCACTTTCAAGGTCGGTTTTCAAAGCTCACGAAAAATATTTTATTTTATGAAAAATAAATGGGAATGTCCTTGGTGAGTGTGTCAACACCTGCACGCCTGCATGTGCATGGCCCTGGCGTGTTCATGCCCTGTCTGCTCACCATGCCATGTCATTGAGATTTGTCCACTTCAGCCACCTGCAGTTCACCTTTGGTGTAGCTGTGGCAGCTTGGCCTCTTCCCTGAAGGGTGGTTTTGAAGTCTTCTAGACCTTTCCCTAGTCTTCATCTATGTGTGCTCACTTTTCTCTTTGCATCATCATTGTAAAAATAATTTCCAATACAGTTACTGTTAGTCTGTCTGCATCAGGTAGGTAGTAAATGAGTGGCTTTCGTGTAGATATTAAAACAAGAAAAAAATCATAGATGTGCTTCTTTCCCTTTGGCAGATGACACAGCTCTACCCAGGAAATCATTTCTTTCTTGTAATGCTAGAGTGGGTCAAGTGGAAGCTTGCATTTGCACTGTAATTCCAATCAACGGGAGCTTTATAACCGCTCACTTAGAACGGCTTCTGCGTCTCAGGCGAAAGCCCAACTGCCATTTTTCTTTTCTTCCACAGATGTGATCTCAGCAAATAGCTACTCAGACTCATTCAGACTGTTGAGTGTTTGTCTTCTGTGCTTTTCCCCCTTGATCAAGATAGTGTTTTTGCTAAAAAAAAAAACCCCACTATTTTGTGTATTCTGCCTATGCGCTTCATCACTAATGCCCCTTGTGTTGCCGGCTCTGCTGTCCCAGCATTCTCTGTTTCTCCTGACTAATGACCATTGCTGAAACTCTGAGTAACAGCCATTAATTTAAAAAAAAAATTTACTCCAAATCACTGTTGGTGAGGATTCAGGCATTAGACATATGTTGCATTCAAATATTTGATAACGCATCATACAACTGTTCCTTTCCTGCTGAATTTTATCAGCATCTCAGGCTACCGGTTAAGTGATGGCTCCTATAAAACTTACAATTCCCACAGTCATCAGCCTTGAGTCTTTTTTCCCTCCTGCCCTTAGAGACACATTTATGTAGAGACCAAGATTTTCAGAAGCCAGATCCCTTTCTTTTTTGAAAGAATGACCTTCCTGAAGGTGAACTGAGTCATTGACAAATTTTAGTCGGTGTTCCTTGGCTTCAGAAAAGTTGGGAATGGAGACAAATTGGAGGAAATGTATAATTTTTGACGTGCAAAGTGGAGCGATGGCTATGAACTGAAGCCAGACATTTTCACTCAATTTGCAGGCTTCCCCCGGGCAAGAGTCATGTTCTTTTGCAATTCTAGCCGTGCAGAGCAGTGCCCTCAGAGCCCGGCCACTTCCCTGGAGGGGGCAAGCACTTGCAGGTGGCTTCTATGTGAACAGTTTATTTTAGTGGTTAGGTATTTGCTTTTCTTCAACAGTTTATTGTGGAAATTTTCAAAAATATAGCCAAGTGGAAAGAATTTTACAGGGAACACCCATCAACTTACCACCTAGATCCTGCCATTTTAGATTTTACTGGAAGTGCTTTATCACACACATAACCTCCTATGCGTGCCTCCATCCAGCCATCAATTCACCCCACTTTAACACATTTTATCCATCTCATTTTGAATGCACTGCAGACACCAGTACCTTTCCCACCAAGTTTTTCAGAAGCAGGTTACATTAAAAAGAATTCTATATTTATTATTAGCTTCCTTTTCTGTGAGTAGAATTTGCTGGATTTCACAGAGACATACGTGCACCTGTGTAACCCAAACTCCCATAAAAACCCTCTTCTGCAGAGAGCTCCCAAGCCCGGTCTTCCTTAGTCTCTGTCTT